TGCCAAACGCAAAGGATTTTTTATGCTTTAATAACGATTTAGTTTTATTCTTTTTTCAAATGAAGTTTATAACAAGATGCTATAAATGCTCAAATTCTTATCTCGAGTGATTCAACCTGTTTATTTTCAGATGCCAGATTCATTGCCAAGGTCTGAAAGTAAAATTGTATTGAACGTAATAAATTTGCAAAACACATGAAAGCACTTAAATCAAATATAATTTGAAACATCTATAAGATATCACTTCGTTTATAATCTTATTTATGAGATAAAAGATTTTTCGTAAATAAAAGCTCGTGTATCGAATTTTGTTCGTATGTCGAGGCAACGAATCGCTCCTTTGGACACTCATATCTTGAAACATATATTAAAAATTATTTGAAGTGAGTATTATCTGATTGGCCTTTCTAGAAATCCGCTCGAAAAATTTAACAGATATGTTTCCAACACATAAATTCATATTAAATTAAATAATAAATCTATACGTGCACAAACACTGAGGGACATGTTCATAATCAGAATATGACAAATCAGTCATTTCTATATTTAAGATATATTTTATGATTTTGGCACAGATCCCATTGGCATTTCTGAGAGTGCGTTTCTAATGCGTTTTGTTAAGCTGATGGGATTTTGTAATAATAATTTTCAGTACTATGTAACTATATATACAAATAAATAAATCATCGAGACACGTAGCAGAAAACATGAAGAATTTGGCTGACCGAGATTGAAATTAAATAATAAACTATGAAACTATGAATACTTGTTATTGACATGTGTTGATGGGATGGAAAATAAATTGTCGAATACACAGTGTAAAATAAATTTTGAACTGAGCCAAAGATAAAATATATGTTAGACTGAGATATAGAAAAGGTTCGGGTTTGTTCAATGGATAGCACAAGGTTCAAGGTACTATGCGCATCTCGGACAGTCTGATATCAAGCAGTAGTAATAAACAGTTACACCAACAGCTAGTTATTTTTGTCCACTGTTGTCTCCGGTCAATATATAATAAATATAAAAGTCTGTTTACCCTATTTATATATAAAAGAATAGAGTTTCATTCGTTGGTTTTATTATTGGCAAACCATGTATTATTCATCTCCCCACTAAATAGAGATACTGAACCAAGGAAGATACATCCGATGCATTCGACATTATTTCGATTATCTTTTATGCAAATTGACTCTATTGTTAATGAATTAATCAAGTAATTTATAAACACGTTTGTTTATCGTGTCATAAACTAAGTATGCAAAAATCACAAACATTCATCGTTCACAATAAGTGAAATGAATGACCCACAATTGGCATCCGTCTATTGCTGATGTAATAATTGCAGAATAAGTATAATGATGGTACATCATCGTACATTAAACAAACATTCAATTTATTCCACCATCCATTAGATAAAATCGACAAGCGATAAAGAACTTCGAAAAGCATCAGTTCGACACAAAAAAAAAACAGAAAATAAATAATATATCCTTGAAACTATTCTTCATTATATTTAATAGGCCTTTTATTGCTTAACTATAAGCTGAGTAATTATAATTTACTACATATCTGATTTATTTGCAGACATAACTATAAAAGTTATTATTTTCCACGCAACTGACATTTTCAATGCAAATAAAATATATAAAATTTTCTAACAGTTTTCGAATATCTGCAGAATATGAGAAAGTTGAAATATTTATCATTAGGATATGATTGATGAATGGGAATGGAAATAGTATGAATAAATATAAACATGGACATTTTAGTTTTATAGCTGTGTGTTATTTATATGTTTGTACTTAAATGTAAACGATAAATATGAGCATATAGTAAATTCATTGTTGAAGTAAATAACGATGTAGTACATATTTATAATAATTTTTCAATACTCGAATTTAATACATGGATTATTCCTATATGAGATTCCGAGCCAATCTTCAATCTAGTGCACTAGAGAATTCGACAGTAAATCATCAATTTAAAATTTCGAATTGGTTTCCTCTTGCTTTTCCCAACCTGTGTCAGATATCTTAGATATGAGATAAATCAACCAAAGAAGGTGGCATTATGTATTAAAATATTACATATAATTATAGAGCAATATCACAGCATCGGCTTTTGAGTCAAGTTATATTTATTATAATGTGTTCGTCTTTTCGTTTTTACGCTTTTCATATTCTTGTCATTTTAAATTAGTCTCCATTAAGTCCCTTTCTCGCCTACCATGTCGTCCATGTAGCATGTGCGTCGATTTTATCATATGCATAATATGATATAATATCATCTATACGGGTTTTTATATCAAGAAGAGACTACTGAACATTAAATCATTCTTAGCCATATATAGATGTAAACACATTATATCATATATAGATATACACATACTTATATATGTGTGTATGTATATATTAGGTTGGTCCTTAATATAGATATTTTCAAATTTATTTGCTCCCAGGGGCTAAAACACTTCCAGATTATTAAAAAAAAATCTGAAAGTGTTAGCTCTTAATATTAACTTTAAGATAGTTCGCTCTACAATCAAAGTTTCTTATGAAATTAATGAGTAAAATTCCATTTGTTTTTTAGAATTTCATAACTTAGCGACAAGTGAACCAAAATTTTGAGAATAACGTTGTATTTGCTTATTTTGATCATAAATAAAAAATTTACAAGAAAAATATTATATATTTTATAAAATAAGTATTTAACCGGGAAGAAGAACCAAGAAACTTTGGATGGAAGGCGGGCCATGTTAGAGTTAATATTAAGAGCTAAAACTTTCAGAGATTTTTTTTATCAATTCGGAAGCATTTGAGCCCCTGAGAGCAAGGAAATTCGAAAACATCCATATTAGATCCAGCCAGATATTTAATAAAAAGTATAACATCATTGATATTTGTCATACATTCGATTATTCCTAATTGATCATTCAAAATATTAAATAAATAGTTCAAATCGCCCAAAGAACGATTGTAGCTCGTAAAATCGTTTTATAGAATCATTCGATTCTTATATCTGACTATTTAATAAATTGATGTATATAATTCGTGTTAACATCAAACGAGACGATAAAATTAATTGAAGATTATACTACTGATTTAATATCGTTTGAAATAAATAAAAATTTATTGGTCGAAAAGAAAAATCGTAAAACATTTATTTATGACTTGTCAATAATCAAACATGATGTAGTAATTTATTTTTATTAGCCGTTTATATCATTTTTTAAGTATCAATATTTAAATTGTTATGTATATGTTAAATAGCTGCATAACTCACTAATTATTTAAAATATTTGAGATAAATATTCAGTAAAGATGAATGTTTGTCTTATTTTATGACTTAGGCTCTAATGGCAAATCATGATGCCCTCAAGGGACAAGTTTGCAAATGATAAATATCCACGTTGAAGATTACCTTCTTGAGGACAAAAGTTTATTAGTTGATTTATTAATACCATTATAGATTTTGACACCAGCATCTACAAGAATCTAGTAAATTTACCCAGACTGTAGACCATCGTTCCATATAATTATTTCTTAATCGATTATATTTATAACGTATTTTATATAATGTCAGGTTAATTAACATTCATTCATAAACTGTTAGAAAAAGATTAGATAATTGCTCAATCATCGTTATATCTATTAATGCGATTTTATGCTTTTTGCCAATTAAATAGACCGGTTAGAAATAAATATATACGTATATATATATATATATATATATATATATATATAATATAATATACTTATAAGTACTATAAGTACTATAATATACTTACACTCACAAGGACAATCTCTTTCATATGTTGTATGTTTTGGAATTTTCGTATTCCTTAATTTTATATTTTTATTATATTTAGATAATTTGGGAAGTTTTTAAATAAAAAGTGTTGAAACTATAAAATTTAAACATAAAATCCTATTCGGGTTTAGGGCGACCGCGATTTTATATGAGCAAACCACATTGCATTTATGAGAATATTGAACTCTTTCAACACATTTATGTTCTACATATTGGAAATGCTATCCAACCAATTATTAAACAAAAATATAAGTTATATTTAAAAATATTTTTAATACTATTTCAAGTCCCAAGTCCCATATTTCAAGTATTTGACTCAGAGCACGAATAAATAAAAAAAAAACACAAAAACCACAAACAATTAACAAAAGACGTGTATAACAGTAATATTTATAAAATAAATTATTTATTTTATTTATATTTGTTCAAAAAATTAAACGTAAACATCAACTATGTTGAGTTGCTTCTCATGAAAGTGCCAAACTTATTTTTAGCTATCAAATTTTAGTTACCTTGGAACTACAGATTTTTATTTATAATAAATCAATAATAAACATATTATTATTCTCCCAACCCACGATTTACACCGATAAAATGGGTCACACCTTATGATGAACTTATGAACTTTTCATTATATATCTTTACTATTTCAATTTCTGTCCAATTTTATGGTGTGAAACGATATTAGATCATTGTTGTGTCGCCTTATTGAACGACTAAGTTATTAGAATTTTCTAACTTTATTATAGTTAACAAGTAAGGCAATAATCACGTGTTTTATTATTCAAGTGCGTATATTTTATAGGCACACACATTAAAGACCTTCGAGACCTGAACCATAAACATTGATATATAAAACCGGCATTCTAGAAAACCTCATGATTCAAGTCATTGCCAGGGGATCATATAGAAAAAATAAGACAGTTAATAAGTCAAATATTGGTTTGGATCACATTTTTCAAATTGTAACAAGCAAAATATAGGACAGCAATCCAGATAGTTTATTAAATTAGAAATAAATTTGCCAAAATTATATGAAACCAGAAACCTACTAGGTCTGATAATTACCTTATCTTTCTCTTACTTAAAATGAAAAAAAAGACTATAATCAATTTAGTCGACAAAGCTTGATATACAGAAATAGCACTAACAATTAATCATTTAATAATATTTATCGATTCTTTCAGACGGTGAGCCTAAACAACAAATCAAGCGTAGAACGTTTAAGTTTTGTGAACCACACCGAATGCGCCTGCGTGGACCGCAGAGTGGTTCCTGCACCAGAGGAAGAAACCGACACCAGCACCATGGATGAAGATTCTGAAAGGGAATCGAACGAACGCAGCCAGGCCATGTCTGTAATCAAAGTGACTGAATCTCCATTAGAATCCAAGGCTAATCCACAGGGGTTGAGTCGGAGATCGGCTGCTACGAACCATGGAGCTGGTGTCCATAATGTGCAAGAAACACAAGATGAAGAAGGAAAGTTCCAGAAAGAGCAACAGGACATTCTTAGGAGGTAGGGATTATTTTAACATCCTTCAATAACTAATTAAGTGAGTAAATTCACGTTTGTTTTTAGGTGTCGTTGTCCTAGTCAATTCAGTGCTCATCTGCTCCAGGACGGAGAATGCCAATGTGACTGTTTCGAGGGACAAAAAGACTGCGCCAGGATTAAACGAGGAAAAGAATATTTTGGCATTACTGACAGGATGTTAGTATCAATTGTAATATATCGATTACAAAATATGTAATTAATATTAATTCATTCAATCTAAATTATATTTTCCAGATGTATTCAGCGAGGAGATTGTAGATTGCCACAATGTGAATTCGGAGCCTATAAAAGGCCAAGTGGAAGATGTCCAAGAAGACAAGAAAAACTGGAAGCGATGGGCAGATATGGAAAAAGATCGCTAATGTTTGACTGAAGACATCTACATTTTCGCTCAATTTTTTGAGATCAAGTAATAATTGATTGAGTTAACATCTGCTGTAGGGCAGGTGACTCAAAGTCGACATAGGGCCTTCAAAAGGCGCTTGCAGAAAGGAAAAAATTAAAAAGTCAAAACATGCCACGAGAAATCAAGTGCTCAAAATATTACGTCCATTACTAAGATTTCTTTTAGAACCTTTGGTTCAAAATCCTTGTGAATACAATAAAGATTATTGTATATCACACATGAAAATATTACCTATTACAATTTAAGTCGATTTAGATTTACAAACTTAAAAGTATTATATAATATATTTGCATAAAAGATTTTTATATCGAAGTTTCAACAATAGCTAATTTTATATTTAATTGTAATTGTATATATATATTTGTAAGTGATTGCCATTTCTTACATCGGCCATAAATATTTAGTTTGATAAAATTAGGTGAAATATAATAGTTTATTAAGTTATTATAAAGTGTCTGATTTGTGGATATAACATTAAAATAGTATATCTTTAATTGAGCGACTAGTCTAATTCGATGAGTTCTTATTATGGAAAACAGTCATCATAAGGATAATGTAACAAGTTTTATAAAATAAGCCAGATAATTCATAAAATGTTTATTTTCTCAAATTCATTAGATTTTGCAATTATCTTGACGACTTTTGGAAATTCTAAGTAAAGGCTAATATAAAAAATATTAAACCAGAAGCTAGTATAAAAACTAATTCAGTTGCATTTTCATTGATATATTGTATTGCATTAATGAACTGATATAAAAATTCTATTTATAAAAGAGTACTGCTTATTATTAAAATAACTATAGGTAATCAGATAAATTTTGTAATTATTTCTTTCTATTAAAATATATTAGAAAAAAAATTCTTATACATGCTTATATATAAAAAAACACCAACATAATTATTGTAAATATAGCTGCTTCAAGTTTACGAACATATATTCAATTCGAATAGAAATAAATTAACATTGAAATTATATTGCTGCTAATATAAATGATACACAATTAACCCGACTTAACATTTTATTATAGAAAAAGTATGTATGATATATTGTCAAGTTTTGACTATATTTTAATAAATATCAATTTCTTGTAAAGCATTTCATTATTTTTGACTGAACAATAATTTACTTTACTACCATATAATCTGCATACTATTTTTTGCTTCACGAAGGGGAAGTTTAGGTTTTCGTCAAAAATTACATATTATTATTTAAAATATAAATATTGATTGACTCACCTTGCCAGCCGTCGGTCGAGACTCCCAAGGCGTGTGAATATTGATTAAGCAACACATTAGTACACATTAGGAGGACGTTTATTAGCACTAACCGACATGCTAAATCCATTCGCCATTTTATCTCTTTCCATTTCTCGCAAACTATTCCGAATAACGATCGTTATTATGGAAACTTGGACTTGGACTGTTGCAAAACGCATTCCGGACAGAAACAGAAGCACGGCCTCCGCGAATAGGCGAGCTGGCACATTCTCAGCACACTGAAAATCTAATAAATAAATCACACAATATATATTGAAACCTAAAATGATATATCGATTTCAGTCAACATATTGAGAATTATATTCATAGATATGCTGCTTTATAAAACCCTTAAAATGTTATCTATGAAAGATGAAAAAAAATAGGTTGATGAGTTAAAATTTCCAATGTCTCGACAAGATGATCTTGCTTTCAGTTTCTTTGATCTAAGTTTGTTATTATATTGCTTATTTGTGCTATTTTTTTATTAAATTAAACTTTCCATTAGTTTTTATTAATCTAATAACTTATCATACCTATTACTATAATCTAAATTAACAATTACAACCTCCTTTCATCATCTTTTATAGATAACACTTTTTCAGGGTTTTATAAGCAGCATCTCTCTAAATATAATTCTCAGCCATATATTACATGAGATGCATATATTAAATGAGACTCATAAGTAGTAAAAATTATAATAAAATTATTACTCGTGGTCAAGGTTTGACCAACCATGTTGTGACCAACCCTTTCTCGAGGTAGGATGTGATAAACGTTTAAACACATAAATACCTGTAGATTATTGTAAGTATGGAGTTAAGCAAGAAGTATAAGAGTAATAACATGTAGATTGAATATAAATATATATGAAATATAAATAGTGGTCCTATTCTCATTTTTATGGTGAAGGGATTATCAATTACACTACGTGATCCACATCAACTCAATAATAATTACATGAATGTGATTGTTATTAAGTATTATAACAATATCTGTATGTAAACTTAGAATAAGTAAGTCTATTGAAAGAGCATAATGTGAAACTGAACTTCACATATCGAAATCGGTAAGTCTTAATTGTATAAATCAGTCTATTACATTGTAGTGTATTAATGTATTAATATTGAATGATTGAATCATTTTCTAAACAATTGTTTAGGAAATTGAGCCAGAAAGGGATTAAGGTATTAGAGTTATTTGACTTATTCTCATTTGTTTAAATCCATTGTTAACAATGCTGTGTACTAATGATTTGATTTCAGATTATAACTATACATTTTTCATCGATTAAGTTTTGCCAAGATGAATAGCACTGAAAAGTCAATAAGTATGGTATAGTATAATATATACAGAAAGATATATATCTGATGATAGATACATATGAACAAAATACATATGAACCACACTCATACATATTTATATACATTAAATAGTCAAGTTTTACATCGAAGAACTATGTACATACAAATATAAAAGTAATATATATATATATATATATATATATATATATATATATATATATATATATATAAATATATATATATATATATATATATAATGGATTTATAGATATGGGCATTGCACCAAATGAAAATCTAATAATATTTTGTTAATTATTACTTCAACTTCATACTTCGTATTATGCCAGGATCAATAAACCTAAATAAAATTTTTTATATCAACACCTACATATAATTGTATAATTTTATTTTTCTGAACCAGAAACCTTTTCTTTTTTCATCATTTTCATTTATAATTATTTCCTTGGTATGAATGGCCCTTTTTCAAAATCTTTGTAAGATTGATGATGAAATGACTTAATCACTTTCCTAAAATGCAGAAATAATTATAAATAAAAAATTGAATATTGTAAATGATCTTAGGCCATACTTTCCTAAGTTGAGTTGGTGTTCAACTAAGCTCATGGCCTTATTGCTTATTAAATATATATAATAATAATAATAATTTATCAATAGTAAAACACTATAATCCGTTAACGGATTGACAAGTTTACATAACTGTCTACATACTCCATTATAGAAAACAAAGTGGTTTTATCCGGTTCCTACAATAATTATTTGTATTAGTGAATCCCCTAAAACTAAGCTAATAATTTGCAATTTGCATAAATCTAAACAATTCTATTACCTTGTAACAAGTACAATATAATATACGTTTTAATTTTACTCACTTGTGTGTAATGTATCCAATAATATAAATAACTTGATCAAAATATCTTCAAAATATTTTGACAGTTCGATAACTGAATTAGAACTAAAGATTGATTCGTGTGAACTTGTATATAGTAATATTAGAAAACGGAAAGGCAACATAATTGACTTATTGTGTATTATATTAATCTATATTTAGTTTTATTTATATTTATTGGTGTGTATTTGTAAATAATCTATTCACTTTAAGTTCTCCATTCGACCCTAGCACCACATTTCAAAGCCTTCCAGGTAGTTTTGTCAGCCTTTCTTAGAGTCCATGCATAGTCCATGTCTCTGATCCGTACAGAACTATATTTCAAATAAAGTGATAACGAGTAAATGACTCCAAATATAGTACCTTGAATAGCTTCAATTTATTGTATAGCTTGAGCTTAATTTAAGTGTAAAGTGCTATTTCCTATAATTTAAAGAATTAACATAAAAATTTCTAAAATAATTCAGATTGAAAAATGTGCAAAAACGGGCAAACCGCTCGGCGGTACCCATATGGAAGCGTTCTGAACGTTAGTAACGTAACAATCCGGAGCTAGTTAATCTAAGACTCGACAATCCCTCCTCAAATGTATGAGAAATTTGGAAACAAGGGCGGCTTATTCATGGAGCAGCCGAAACCTCAACCGTGCGTTCGGCCCGTCGCCGTGCAAGCGGGAGTTTTCGACAGCTACACGAAACCGCCTTATTGAGTTTAACTTATATGTGACGGGTGCCACTGAGCAGATCTGCCTAACAACACGTTTATTATAGCGATCAATGTCCAGTAAGTGCCATCACAGACGAAGACACACACCTCCGACACTAGAAGGATTGTTCCGTGCTTATATACTTACATTCGCGAGCTGATTTGCGCAGGGAGAGGTACGATTCAAACGCAGTCGGCTATCTGACGGTGAATTAGGGCAATAGTTAGCACGGAAACAGACCAAGGCGAGTGAAGAACCAATGTTATTATCATTTTATTAATGTATCTAGAATTCATAAAATTCTTTGTTTATCTTTTTATTTTTTAGGAACTGTAAATTGTTGAAATATTTTTTATCAAATCACTAAAAAAAAAATTAAAAATACCTCGAGGTTAGATATTAATTGTTGCAAGTACATAGACAAAATACAGATCTTAAAATATATTTGTATATGTTTACATACAAATATAAACAAAATAATACTTACATTATATTAATATTTCACTAAAATTAATATTATCTGAATACAAAATAATAAATTTAAATAACACATAATTTAAAATTGATTGCCCTTTTTTAAAATTACTTTAACTTTTATTTCGAATTACAATATTTTATACATTATTGAATGCCCTTTTTTAAAATTACTTTAACTTTTATTTCGAATTACAATATTTTATACATTATTGAATTATTTTTATAAATATTTTTTAATACAAATTCTATTCTTTAATCTCTCAGATTTCTTTTAATTATAATTATTTCTTAAACTTTATTAAATGTATTGTTTAAATATTAGATTAAAAACCATATTATAATTTCCTCATAAACAAGTATAAATTTCCTCTTTTAGGTATATTTTGATCGAAAGTTCTAAAATTAGTATATTATTACTATGTATCATAGTACATACTTGCAATTTGAAAATTAGGATTACTTTTATTTTTAATAATTTACAAATATTCTGTTTTGCTTGATAAAAAATCAACTTAAAAACAATTAAGATACAATTTGCAATTCTTTTTTATTCATAATTCAAGTCTTTGAAATATACAAAATAAAATTACATTATAATTGAAATTAAAGTAAACTACAAACGTGCTACTTAAATCTAAAATTTAATTTAACATTAAACATAATTTTAGTATTATTAAATTTGTCACAAACTTGTAACAATATTGTGAATAAATTACACATGAATGAATTTGTTGCTTTTAACATTATTCAATATTCAAAAGCTTTCCACCTCCAGAACCACAAATAATAATATACATATATAGTACACAAGCAAATATAAAATTTATTTATTCATCCTGTACAAGTTCAATTTTTATTGATGTTTTATCATCTTCTATTTCTGCAATTTCATCTTGATTCATATCATCATCCTGCAAAGAAAGGATAAAATAAAAAAAAATTAACATTATTGACATGAAAGCAAAAATGCAAAGTGCCTACATCAAATCCAAAGCAATTATCCATATCATTGCTAGGATCATGTCCTGAGACCTGTATCCTTCCAACCTTGCGGCTCTCAAGTGATTGTAAAATTTCTACTTCATCCATATCTACAATAATGATCAATTAGTATCAAAAACATATGCAAAAATATTCTATTTATATGCATATTTTATCATTACGTTCTGGTAATAGGAAGGAACCATCCATATCAGCAGCTTCTAATAAACTTTCAGCATTAATATCATTGCCTAAAGCGCTTCCATCATCTTCTCCATCTTCAGCTACTTCGATCACCTCAAGAACTACATACTGCTGACCATCAGAGCCTTCAACAGCTACCATTCCACCATCTGTATCATCACTGTCATATGACATGCCTGTGATCATGTCCATCTAAAATTGAACACAGGTGAGATAAAATTAAACAGAAATCATATTTTATAAATAATTCATGGGCATTACGCTTTGTGATTGATCTTCCATCATTTGTAACTTTTTCTGTCGTCCTATTTTTAATTGTAATGCCTTCTCTTGAACACTCGAATCTGGATCATGCATTGCCATGTGTCTAATCAAATTGCCTTTATGTCGAAAACTCCTATCGCACTCTGGACATGCATGCGTTTTTTCTTGGGGAGGTGGTGGAACATAATTTGGATTGTGGTAAAGATTTTGATGTCTTTTTAGCAGTTGTTTTTGTCTGAAATTTCACAGTTACTAAAGAAAATGCTGTATTTGACTAGTTGAATAATACAATATGTATTTTATGTACCTAAAGGACTGATCACAAATTTCACATACAAAAGGCTTTTCATCTGTATGAATTAACATGTGGGACTGCAAATGCCTTTGCGAGACAGAAGCATAAACACACAAATCACATTTGAAGCACTTTTCACCTTCATGGGTTTTTGCATGGGTCTAAAAGTAAATTAATACCAATTTATAAAAGATATCTATAATTTATAATATCAACCACAATATACCTTATAACTATATCTATCTGGAAAAGATTTTCCACATCTTTTACATTTTAGAGGTTTATCAGATGTATGAAGTTTTTGTACATGAATTCTAAGATCTGTTTTGCGCCCGCATGTTGTTGGACACAGCTCACATTGGAACACAGGCTTATCATCAACTAAAAATCAAGGAATTCATTTATTATTTTTTCTATGATTTGATTATGTATTCGGCAACAAATTATTACCATTATGCACAAGCTTGTGTGCCTTAAGTGAATTTGATTGTGTGAATTTCATAGGGCAGATGTCACATTCATAAGGTTTCTCTCCTGTGTGAATACGTAAATGTCTCTTTAATTTGAATGTATCAGGTGAAGCGTATGTACAATGAGGGCACTGAAAAATCAAATTCAATTAGATTTTCAGAATTCATTTCACAACTAAAATTTAATATAAAACTAAGAATAATAATAACATAATTCAATAATTTCTAAATTTCTGGAAATAAATTAACCTTTGTGAACAAATTAAATACAAATGCGTAAAATTTGAATTATTCATAAAAATACTCTATGAACAAACATTTTATTACTAGTGTCACAACATACATTTTTTTGATATCTACTATTCCATGTATTATATATAAAATTCAGTGTTAAGTTCATATATTGTATAATTTGTTACCTGATAAGGCCTCTCTCCAGTATGGCAACGAATATGTCTTTTGAGCTTTGATAATTCCACACTTGCATAATCACATTCATTACATTTGTGAGGTTTTTCATGAGTATGTCTATATCTTACATGTCGTACAAGCTCTCCTAAACAAATTTTACAGCAAAACATTAGTTACAATATGAATTTTTAACAATAATTTATATAAAATAATTACCTGATGTTGTAAATGCACTTTCACAGAATTTGCATCGATGAGGTTTAGTGCCTGTGTGTGTGTTAACATGATTTTGTAATGAAGCAACGGTTTTGAAGCCCCGTTCACAAACAGAGCATTTGTGAGGTCTTTCTTCTGAATGAGATTTCATATGACGAGATAATAAATATCTGATAATAAAATTATTCAATTACATTATTTTTAAATTTTGTTTATTATCTGTACTAGTAACTTTAATGGAATGGATGAATTAATTACCTTTTAGGACTTGTATAATTACAGTAATTGCACATGTGAGTAGCAACAACAGATTGTGCTTTCTTTGGTAGTATTTTAGTTACTTTTGACTTGTCATCTTCAGCATCTGAGTCTAAAGTATTTTCTTCAACTTCTTCCTCATTCTCATCAAAATCATAGACCGCCAGATCGTGATCAGCACTCTCTTCGTCAACATTTTCTATACAGACAACATTTGAATTTATAATGTTGGGAATATAATTCTAAACCTAAATTTATAAATTAGTTTCTATTTCTATACCTTCAATTTCAGCATCAGCATCCTTCACTTTATCATCATCATCAGGTTCCTGCATAATTAAAACATAACTTACTTCTCCAGGATTAGCATCAGACTGAACAATTGTAACAGCTTGATATGCTTCAGGATTTTCCAACATGGCCTCTTCATCTTGAATATTCGACACAACCTAACAAAGATAATAATATATCAATTTAATTTGGAAACAATAAAGAAACAGGACACTTGAGTAATTAGTAAATCGAATTGCAACTAATAGTTAATCAGATTATACTTACTTCATCAGTCTCCTGCGAGTTTCTTTGAACTACAGTCATGACAGGTTGAGATTCACCATTTGCTTGGTAATAATAATGACCCGATTGATCAACAAAGTAGGTTCCTTCCCCATCATCTGCAGTATCCATTTGATCTTCATCGACTAAAAAAATTTAAAAGAAAATAAAACACTTGGAGTTAATGCGTGTATTTTAAACTAATTAACAAACCAGCAATAATGGACTGTTCGCCATTTTCAATTTCTTTATTAAATGTTTCTAGATAAGTATGTATGTCTCCGCTTTCAATTTTCACTGTAGCAAACTCATTCTGTCCAGAATCTACAAATATGATAATGGCAAATAAATACAATATTTAGGATTAAAATATAGCACAAAATAACTTACCAGACTTGTCAACCTTAGTTCCCCTCATGTTTTAAACATTCAATAAGCTGTAACAGAAATAGTAATGGTATTTCTACGTTATTCTAGTCATGCTTAAGTAGAACTTTATTATTGTGCAATTAATTTAACGTCGACTAAGTGCCAAACAAATATTCATTATTTAATTCTAAAGTACAACTGAATAGCCAGTAAATTTTATATAAACGTAGGTCATCCGCCATATTGCTAATAATCGCTTTACAAGGGCTATCAGTCAATTTATAAAACAATCTTAATAAATATTTTTAAATACACAAGGTAGAATTTAATGATTTTATGACAGTAATAATTTTCGGTTTATATTTCATAATATAGGGGGCTCACTTATAAGATTTCTGTAAATTAGCACCGTCGGCGCTGTCATCAATATGGATGTTCAATCTGAAGCCGTTCTTGATCGAGCGGGAGCTCGCCAAATAAGATAAATATCACATTGAATTGCACTGGGCTGACAATAATGCTAAATAAGGATAAATTATAGATCGAGAAGGAGCACTAGCACGTAACAGTGACAATAAACAATATACTCACTTACGTTTAAATAATTCGAAAGTGTTATTAGAGGGCGTTAAGAGCTTCTAACAATTCGAGTAGAGTGTCGGACTAAGCAAGAGATGGCGAGAACTGAACCGACAAGCGATTATCAAACATGGCCGCCAGATCTAACAGTCATTGGTGGTCAACATCAAATTTATGGGGTCACATCATAGACCTTATATACAATATATATATATATATATATATATATATATATATATATAACCTTATAATATAAGGTCTATGAGTCACAGATAAGTTTAAATATGCAAATATTTAGCAATAAAAGTTTAAAATACAAACTAATATTTTTCTACAGTTTATTTTCAACAAGCATGTAAAAAATTAACAATACAATAACAGTTCATATATTAACTTACAATACATGTAAGTTGTGATGTATATATTATTAAATAATGTTTATATATTATTATTGCACTTAATATATACTGATTTTTATATTCTTAGATAGAAAAATATACAGGGTGTATATTTCTTGACAACCCCAAGGATATGTTTATCATCTAATATTTCATGCAGTGATTTTCACTATTGACTTCCGACTGATTTTTTATTGTGTACAAAAATATAGCAGCAAATAAAAGAAGTAAAACCATCAAAACCCATTGCAAGCTCTGGATAAAATTAACTTGCGCTTGAAGTTTATTGTTATTCTCTACTAATTGTGTCAACTAAAAGATAGAATAATCATTATTAATATAAGATCTTTCTCAAAATCTTAATTACACATTTTATATGAACAAACCTTGGCTAGCACTTGGCTCATATTTTGTTTAGAATCAGGTTCTGAATTTAAAATACCGCCATTTTTAGCATTTTCTGGAAGTCCAGGTAAAATGCATTTCAGTCTATGTTGTTCCACATTATAATTACTAGGATTCTGAAATAAGAAATATAATTATGATTCACCATATGATAATAGTCTTTCATTATTACTAACAACATATTTCAACACCTTTATTGCTATGTTCATTTTTGAGCAAATATTAAAATATAAACCAAAATCATATTTTTAATCCTTAACCTCATTAATGAACTTCAGTAGCCTCTAATTTTATTGATTTTTTTAATTTGTTACCTTCCAAATTTCTCCCAATTCTTGAGCGCTCATTTCGCCTTGACCCTCAGCAGGTAAAGCAATACCCATGACTAAAAACTTGTCCTTAGCAAAACCCGTAGAATGATAACCTGCATGTAATGTCACTGTTATAGAAACCGAAGCGCCTGGTGCTAGAGGTCCAGTGCTTGGACGAACACGAAACTTCTCCGGAGATGTGGTTTTAATCTGATAATATAAGAAGAGAATATGTTGATTCAAAACTTAAATAGAATTATCAGTACTACACAATAACTTGATTCAAGTTGCAATCAAATCAAGTCTAATATCAATCGAGTTCAATAAAATTTGACTGGCTGTAATATAATAAACTGTAATATAATAAATATTTACAAGTATTTGCAATACTCTAATTGCAAAATGTAATGTTTGTCATGAGAAGGTATATTACAAATATAAATATTACCAACTACATACTTTTTATATATGTATGTTCATAATTTGTAGGTACTCTGCAATTTAGTTTTCTTCAGTCAAACAGATTTCTTGGTAGCAAATTGAATAATTACGTTCTTCTATTATTTTGATCTCTAATAAATTACATCATGCTTAATAATATTCAATATTACCATAAATTAAAACAAAATGCACCTAGTTTCATAAATGCAATAAAGCTGCATTATATTACTAAACTTACAAATTTAATTATAAAACGAAGCACATGATTGAATATTTATGTACTACAAAATTTAAGAGATAATATTATGTTTATTATAATTACCTTATACGTAATGGTGCCAGTGTCTTTGTTTGTAATAGTAATCGTACCAACCATTTCGTTGCCATCTTTTTGGAATGTGATAGTATCAACTGGAGTCACGTGGAGCATTTCGCCTGAAGAAATAAATTTATTTTATATAAAAACTTTAGTGTATAAATACGTAATTCTCATATACGACGTTTGTAATATCCCAAGCGTCTCGTGCCACACTAAAAAGATAATTAACTTAAAGGTCAAAATGGGAATGGATGGATATAGGCACCACAAACACTGCTACAGTTTAGGTGCGGCTATTTACTATATATCCAATATGCTAAAAGGCATCCAATAAAAGGTGAAAAGTTACCGGCTATTTTAAAACATGCCATTAAAATATTTGCGGAAGTTGGTTTAAAATCAAAATTAGGAAAATAACTTACCACCATTCTTATCTTCCAGGCTTTCGGCGGTATCTGCGGTCGGAGATCCTTCTGCAAAATGAACCTGGAAACGATAAATTAAAAATTACATTTTAATACAGAGCAAGTTTTATTAAAGGACGATTCGCCGAAGGATATTTGCATTAATCGAATCGTCGAATTAATGCATTTATTATATTTTTTTAAAAAACTTCTGTATTTCAAATTTGGATTCCTTATCCAGAGAACTACACAAATACACACACACACACACACACACATATATATATATATATATATATATATATATATAATATGATAAATTTATAAGTTTAAACAATAATAATCTAACCGATCGCTCAAAACGCATCTTTACTTTATAATGACATGATAATTTAAAATGAACAAAGTCTTATTCTGCAACTAATAATACACAAGGTTAATATCACATAAAATAAACACGTTTATCAATAAAAAAATAAATAAAGAATCTTTGTTATGTCACTTTGTTATTTGTCCAGAAAAAAACTTGAAATTCCAAACCTTCCTATGCTGAATTGGTCAAAACACATTATATAAAAAGTATTTCTCTTGAATAATAGAAAATAAATTTCAAAAATAACAATATCTCAAGGAGAACTACTAATTAGCCTATGAAGTAATTATTACTTTAGAGTAAAATAAAATTTTATTAATACAATCACCTGAATTTTCTGCATTTTAGTCGCCTAATACTAGCTAATACTACTTTCAACAATTTATACAGATTTATTTTTACCGAATAATATAAAAATATATTTCAAATTTAAATTTTATTAATACATATTCTTCACCTGCATTTTCCGCATTTTGAAAGCCTATTTACTATAAATAACAAATATTCTTATGCTTAAATATCAGAATCACAAATTATAAAATAAAAGTTTGTAAAACAATTGAAAATCCAAAATATTGGAATGATTTGGTAAAAAAAAAGTAAAATTCAAACCTAGCAACACTACAAGGAAAATAACTAAATATCCTATGAAATACCCAGGTTAAGGTAAAATAAATTTTATTCACCTGCATTTTCTGCATTGTCGTCTTATATTTACTAGCGATTACTGGTAGGTAACAAATATATTCTAATGTCTTAATGACGGATCAACAAATTATGAAATGAAAAATCTAATTTAAAATGAATAAAAATCATCGACGCTTTCAAAAGTCGTCGACTGGAACGATTGTTTCAAATGAACTGCTGCACAATAACACCGAACCGAGTTTAATTATAAGAGAGCGTATTTGTTTTCCAACAATAAACATATCAAATTCAGCTCACGAAAGCAAAACATTAAATGAAACTTGCATTAAAGATTATTTTACCATTGGAGATAATTACGTAGACGCTGAATACGAATTTATAAACAATATTTAAGTGCAAAACATGAGTGTAGAATATATTTTTATGCTTTTTTAAAATGTGTTTCAGAACATGTGCCTCAGAGAAATCAATAAAATAGTGGTGGTGTGTGATGTAAAGTTCACGTATGCGCGCGTCTCTTGAGGGATATATTTTAACCAATCGTAAGGATATATTTTAAAAAGAATTATAAATGTGCAAAAATACCTTAAACTAATTAGTAATTATTATAAAAACGCATACACAAAAACAAATTTGAGCAAATTAAAACATTGAACTATAGTGGCATTTGCCTTGAGACAAGTTCATGAACTTCCGGATACGTGTAAATAAGCGACTTAATCGCTAAGAAAATTAATATATTGATTTTTTTTTAAATTAGATCGATTATTTACACTTCATTAACTTATATAAGTATATAGCGATTTGTTGTAGTGCCTAACAATGTTAGAAACTATTGTAATTTATTCAATTTCAAACAAATTTGTCACACATACACCATGTATGCCCTAAGAGCGCTCCTCATCGTTCCATTATTAATGAATTGTCATAATTGAACCACTTTTCATATGCCTATAATATTTTGTGAAATTTTATCAAAATCACAAAAAATCATTTTTATTTACTATTAAATGACTAGACCGATATTTTCTAAAAACGATCAGCACAATTTCCAACTAATATCTTACGGTTTTTAAATTTTCAAAATCGGCGCAGGTTATATTGCAAAAACGTGCACTTATCTGCTAATTATAAAGAGACAATTGCCTCACAAAACTAATCAACTCAATTCCTTAAGAATGGCTTTTAAATTTTGAAATCGGTACAGCCGTCGTTGAGTCAAATTTTAACTACACACAGGTTCAAAATTTAGCATGAAATGATTCAAAATGACTTGAAACATCAAGAAAACTAAATTAGGAAATCGGATTATTTAGCTAAAACATAAGCTTCTCATTCAGGAAATTTAAATGGATTAACATTTGCAAACAATAATATCTTATATCAATTTCAAACTAACAAATTTCAAATATTACCGTGTTTTAAAATTTCATATTCTAATATAAAAATTTCATATTCTACATAAAATTTTGTAAGATACATTGATATTTATTTGTGATAAAACTAAAAACATTCACTATGATAACTTTCGTGCATGAATCATTTCAAACAACAAAATGTTTTTTGAGTAGATAACCTTGGATAAATAATTGGTAATCAACAGATAAAGTTCCATTACAATTGTACTTCTTATGCAACAATAAATGTAAAAAAATATAGATACCCAAATAACCACGTGTCTTAGAAATTATGAAGCATATTTTCACTATTATAAATGTTTTAAATAACAGTTTTTGATTAACTGCACGCGATTTTGCACATATAATCAAGCTCCATTAAATTTGACAAAAATATTCAACAAAACAAGGCTTCAATAAAGATAAAATACCAATAAAGTTCCAAAATATAATAGTGAAAATCAGCACAACAATATTAAAATTCAATATTTATGAAATTCCTACCTTCTTATTTGATGGTATGTCTCCGGCTTGAAGCATTTTGGACTGTGGATTATAAATATTATCCTGTCTGATTTCAGAAACAAAACTGAACTCATAAGGATCACGACCACCCCAACAAACTAATGCTTGCTCCGGTGACACAATTTCCTTCAAAGTAGACTTGTTAACAAACTTCATTTTTGCCACCGCTTTAGCTGGTAGTAAAGCTTTAATAACTTTAAATGCAGCTAAAAAAAATAATGAAATGAATCATTATAAAAAAGATGAATACTATCTTTTAATCAAATTTTGTGATGATATTTCGCTTACCATTTAATATCCACGGCATTTCAAAAATTACAATGTAATTTAAAAAGTGTGGGAAGTATTGTTTAAATAAGCTAATAATATATTTTGTGAAATCCATGTCCATATTATTTAACCCTGTGTCTGCCATATCAAAGAAAATCGTGATCAAATCACCATTCTCTTCTCTACAATAAGATTTTAAAATTATTAAGAGCTAATAAGTTCAAAGAGCAAAAGTAGTTAATTTTTACCTTTCTAGTCTATCTAGCCAATAAACAAGACATCTTTTCAAATCATTAATATCCTTTTGACCTTTAACATGTTTTTTACTTTTAAAAATTAATAACGCTTTACCATCAATATCACGGCCATGACTAAAGAAGCCCCCATCATGAATAATATCCATTTTTATATTGCTTTCTGATATATCTACAAATATATTTAATTTCATAAAAACTGTTAAAGAAAATATGTTATATTTTACTAACCATTTGTGCCAAATTGTTTTCTCCATTCACAAGTATCCCAGAGCATGGACAATGATAGATTTAAATCATAATCATTGTGCTCAAGAAATCGCTTCAACCATTTGTCAGTGTTTTTCACACGATTAAGATCGGCCTCATGAAATCCACCTGAGAAAAAAATAATGCTCAATCAACCAGTAAATAGTAAAAGAAAAGTAGTAAATAGAAAAATATTTACCGACATCTGCTGCTCCATCCTTTTCAAGTTTTTGCAGAAATGCATTCCTTAATTCTTGAATTTGTTGGTCAGTCATTTTGTATTTATAAAAATGTGTATTAAAATTAATTAATTAATTAAAAAATGTGAAAATTATAATCAGCAATAAAAATTATTGAATATATTTTAAACTGCATCAGGGCATATTTAAAGTAGCTGCTGTGTACACATTATACCTAAAATTATAGACTTGAATGTTTCACTTATCAAAATGTAATAAATATGTGTAATAGATAAAAGAATGACTTTATAATATTGATAAAAGCAACGTAGCAGGTAAAGCGAATTCAAGTGACACAAAGAAAACTGGTTGTACTTTATTTTTCACATAATACTTTGTCCCATGACAAAAACGAGATTAAAGGTCAACGTGAGCGATTGCTTGGAAATTCACACTCATAAAAATATAAGGATAATAAAGCGGCACTTTATATATGTATAATAATATTTACGAGTAGATTGCACTCAATTGCACTACACAGGGCACTTGTTGATTGTAGAAAATTGACAGCTGTTCTGTTCCACAGAGGTATATAAATATATGATGGCGATCCTTACCCCTGCCTTTGAAGTCTTTATCATATTTTTTTAAAAAATCATTTTATCACGTACGTGCGCACGATTTGATTTAAAATTTGGTATGAATCAATGACCAAGGACGAAAACATGAAACGTCATTGGCACCTATGAAATGACAAAAAGTTTCTGGGAAATATCGCACAGAGCGCACGACCATCTCTTCGGTTGCATCCTGCGCGCGGAGCAAACCCATTGACCTACATGCTGCCAACACATCAATGCAACGGCATCAACCCATTAACCCATTCATTAAATTAATCATTGTTTTAAATTGTCACACGCTTTCAAATAATATTGAAACAGATTTCCCATATTAACAATTCAATTATGATTTTGAAAACCAGGCGCTGCAGTACCTATTAATGTTTTGAATTTAAACCAATAATAAATATTGTTTTAACCTACTGGTTGCCAACCCATCTTTATTTGATAACATCAAATCAGCCAACATACGATAATGGTTGACGTTTATCGCATTTATTATCAATTATCATATTAGTACATGCCTAAATTTAAAACAATTAAAACAATCAATACAAAACTTACGAAAATGTATCGGCATAAAACCTCGTTTTTTTTAGAAATGTTATTAGGTTTGTATTACATTGCGCAAATTAGTTCATTTTTTTATTACTTTATTTAGACATGATTTTGAATTTTAAATTCACAAAGTTTTGTTTTCGTTCGCGAAATAATAATCCATTTGTCCATAAAATCCTGCAATTATACATTTTCAAGATGGAAACCAGACATTTTATAGAAATATTTATTACGGTTGCAAAATTATACAAATAATTAATTAATATATCTGAATTTTGAAATTAACATATAAAAATTAATTATTATAACTTTGGTAGCTTTTTTTGTTTGATCTAAACATAGATCATGAATTTTTTTCTAAAAAAAATAATGTTGAAAAGCATTTACATTTGTTTCAAATATGCAACTTACATAAAAGAATATTGTATATAAGAATGGCACTACTAGAACATCATTTAAAAAAATATAAACTAGTTACTTCATCACTAAAATTACATTATAATAAAACATTTCATACTTTAAATAAATTAAAGTATGATCTAAATTATTCAATTCGTAACAAATAATTACAAAATATATTGGCAACATGACAATTAAATCCAGTACATTGGAATATTAAAATTATAAATTAAAACTATAAAATAGCTCAGTTCAAAGAAAAACTAAATCAAACTAAAGTTAATCATTACAAATAAATTAGAATATATTTTTGCATATTGTGAATACGAAAAGTTCAAAGATGACACTATAAAAGAAATATCTCTGAAACCCTATTATGTACAATTACAGAATTAGAATGAAAATACGATTCCAACATAACACTTAGATCTAATATGGCAAGGGCTTGCAATGTCTCCAAACCCATAGTGTCATCAAACCCCCAAAAACTAATTTTCATATAATTTCATATATTTATAAATGATCATAATTAATATCAGATATTGCTAAATGGTATGGAAAATAAATTTGTTTAAGTAGCCATTTATAATTTTTACATGTAAAATATTAAAATATAATATATGTAAATAAACATAATTTAAAAAAAATTAGAACTACCATAAAAATATTATCAAGTTATATACCAAATAAAAAATGTTTCTTTGCAGTTACTTCTTTTCATATTTAATCAACAATTAAATAGTCAACGTACTAAGACAATTTAATTGGCTTATAACTTGAAATAATATATGGCCAAATAAAATAATACAATTGTCCATATTGAGCAATAACATTGTCCATAAATTCAGATCACAGTTAAACTTTTACATCATCGAAGTATCGGCCTTCGCTTAAAAAGGTTTAGGCCATAGCTATCAAAAATTTTTAAAATGCATTGTATAATTCGTGGCACAATATCTAATCTTCAACCTACATCATGCAAAGTTGCTCCTATTAGCAGCATTTCAAATATACCTATATCTAAATGATCCACCCTAGTGAATTAATACTATTTAAATTAAAATAATGAAGCTGCATATATTGCTGCTATATATTTTAATGGTTTCCTTTATTAGACATACTCGATGTTAATGCTCAGTATGAACTCGTTACATAAATTATATTTATAGTACCACTGGTCGCAGTTTTGAACACTTTTTATATATACAATTTGATGGGCTATTAACAAGTGCCTTAAATGGTGTGAACATATCTCAAATTTTTGTAGCTCTTGTATTTAGTCAGAATATAAGAAAATACACATCTAGAAAAGATTTGCCTTCATTCTAATGGAAAGCTAGTTAACATTAGATCGGTAACACCAAACATGTCCATGCCCTTGAGCACATCATTTTATATATGGTAGAAACAGATCTCCACAACATTTGACTGCTAATAGAAAATTCTGCATCATAATAATATTAATATTTTCACAATACTTTACGGTAATTAAAAAACCTATTGAGGATTCCTTCATTCCGCTTAAATATAATTCAATATAGATATAATATAAATTTATTTATAATCTTCCCATCCAAATAGGTGTTTTTGTGAACAACTCACTCACACAGTTTTGAAGTCAGGCACTTTCTGTTTTGACACATTAACTTGAGGAATCAGGGCTATTGAGGGGGCGCAGGGTATGGTGGCTGGGGCAAAAGGTGATGAGGTGGAGGCAGTTTAGGCCCATCTTCTGCCTTTTCTTCCTCTCTTCGTTTCAAACAAGCCGCTTTGGGATTCAAGTTGCGCTCGCGAACCTGCTGCTCTAAGGTCATAATTACTTCCACAGCCATATTCAAAATTCCTAGTTTCGTTTGAGGTTTATCAGATTTCAAATGAGTCATACACATTCGACCTAATTCCTTAAGGGCTTCATTAATATCACGTATGCGTATGCGTTCACGCACATTATTAGCTTGCCTTCTTTCCTTTTCCCGAGCTGCTTTATTGGCTGGATCTCCATCATCACCTTCATCTGCACTCGAACAATACCTACGAGATCTTTTAGTATTTTTGGATTGACCTCCTTGAGATTCCATTGAACTACTAGGTTTTGTATCAGAGTCTGGTGGCTCTTTACGTTTTCTCGTTCCCCCTGCTGGTCTTTCTAATTTAACTAAAACATCACTTGAACTGCTGTCATGCAGAGGATATGATCCATCCAAAGAAGGTAATTTTTCAGTTGCAAAAGGTCCTGCTCCACTCGTGCCAGCCATACTTAATTGGGATTCTGCATGATTTCTCAGTACATTAATTGCATCATCCAGACGCTCTTCCATTCGTGTTCCCATATTGTGCAAATTGCCAGCTAAATCAGTATGAAAACCATTAGGATGGCCAATGATGGATGACCCTGCTACTCCATTCATTTGCTGATTCAAACCGGGAATTCCTTGCAAATTATTATTGGGGCTTGTTAATAAGTGCTGCCACGTAGATGTGTTGTGTAAGGGCGGAGGAGAATTTACAGGAGTAGAAGGATTCGAACTGTAGCTACTTATACTCTGTTCAGTTGGGTATATAGTTTGCATAGCTTTCCCTACAAAAGTATCAGGCTGATTATGATTCAATGATGGTCCTGCCATCGCTGGACTATGCTGACCAGTAAATATTGCCGGAGAAACCTGTCCTTGACTTTGATTAGTTTGCCCTCGGAATGTACTCATGGGGGGTAAAGTTTGATTTGGGGTCATATGGCCTTCGACTTGAGCTGGTGATAGCGCATAAGGATCCTGTGAAAGCTGCCCATGGGATGGCAGATAGGTGCCGGATGCGCCGTGAGGTCCTGAAGGCGTCAGTGTTTGAACGTATCCACTCGGAGTAGAACCGTATGGGGACCAAGAAGCGCTTGTTGGATCTTGATAATAAGTTTCTGGATACAATCCGTCGGATGTTTTTGAACCAGTATATCTAGGTAAGTCATGTCCAAATTCATCCGCAACGTACATGCCATTATCCATATTTCCATACGTAGAAGTAAACCCGACTTTATCGGGTGTGGGTTGTTTGTTTGCTATTTTATTAAAACAATTTTGGAAAACCTCATACAAGTGCATGGGTTCATCGTCAGAAGTCGCCATTTTGAAATTACTACGACTGAACGAGGCCAATGAAGAAATATTTGTTAGATTTGCACTTTTCATTTACCTTATAGGTAATATGCTATATTACCATAATGATTCCACGTTCATATTTACTCACTGCGTCAAGATATAAACACATATCTAATTAAAAAAATCACAACAAAAATAAAACACAAGACTTTTACACCTCCTCACCAAAATATGACAACACCAGTTAAGTGAGTAACGTAAGGCAGCACTTATGACAACTTGTTGAAAACTGAATTGAGCAACATATCTAGTAGAGAAATTGAAAATATAATAAACAAAGCGATAATATGCAAAAATATCAATAATTAAATTAAAACAAGGCAATAATTAATAACAAATCCTAATTTATTTTTTCTTCTGTTGAAGTACTTGCAAAACAACATAACCAACAAATGCATATGAACGTTTGAATTTTTAGGCGGTAATTTCAAACAAGAACGGAAAATTATTTTACATCCACTGAGATTGCTTTCTAAAATTATAGTTTTTGATATCAACTTACTTAACAGTTTAGTAAAAAAAATTCATTGCTTTACTTTATGAATATCAAATATACTTCAAAACTGCTTGAAACAAATTCAAATAGTAGCAGATGTATTCTTAAATATAATCTTATTTCATGTATCAATACAATTATTTTTATAAAACATTTATAATGTTTATAGCATTGGTCTTTTCAAATCATATCTCAACATCTCTAAATATTTACACATATATAACTGAAATAAAAACTAAACAATTCTGTTTGTTCATAATTTATTAGAATACAATAATAAAGTTCATTGACGCAATAAAATATATAGATTACTTATATACAAATTGCATGTCTCTTAAGTATCTAATAATATCAATGGTTATGGGAACTAAAAAAAAATATTCTTAATTATTTTAAAATGCTAATTATTAATACATCATATAACATCACATATCATTGCAAATAGTGCACAATAAATTCTACACTCTATTCTAAATATTAGAATAATTTTTATTGCATAAATTGTCTCTGTGGAATGTTTTTAAATTCTACATGTGCTTTCACACTTCCTATTAAAATCTTACATTTTGGAGGTAGATATGCCAAATTATAATATATTATTATAAGGCTTTATTACACAATATTTTGTTGCATTCACAAAATTATATTTTATGTGAATAATTGAAGTGCTAGGCCATCAATTAATATATCATTCATAATTAATTTTAAGTTTTATGCATATCAAATTATTTAAAACCACACAATTATAAAATACTGCATCTATTAATTCAAATGCTTTGATATCTAATGTATTTTGTATGGGGCAGGAATTAAACTGCATAACATGCATTTGTATTAAGGAAAAACTGGCATAATTAATTTTCCATCACAGATTCCAAAATCTCCTTTTGTTACAAAATTAAATACATGTCCTATAATAGATTTTCTTAAATAATAATTTTTTTAAAATAATTTCACAAAAATATTCTGTTACTTTTGATCGTATTCACAGCTATTTAAAAGGGCAGTCAAAGTATAAAAACATTTTAAATTTAATTCATTCCAAAATATGTAATAATTTCTTAATAGCAAATTTCATTTTATTTCATATGCACTATAAAAAGCAGGTACTATTTCTAAAAATAGGAAAAGAAATCTGTACTAATAATATTTCTTTGTAAGTACGACAGATAATTACTTAAAATCACACTAAGTAATGTCTGGAAAATAAAATCACTTGTGTAACCTTAAATAAATATGGATATCTTAATTAGCATGTATTATCTTAGGAAGATCCTCAGATCCAGAACATGAACCTCCTGATTCGCCATCAGAAAGTGGGATTTCTCTGCTCATTTTACTAACTTTTGCGTGTCCTTCCAAAGTGGAATCCTGACTCGATGGGAATTCTGAAGTCTCTTCCTCTTCTTCATCAGATTGTTTCTGATTTCTATTCTGCTGTGGAGAACAATGTGGTATCGCTGAGTTTTGTTTATGTCTTCTTGAACGAACACCAGGACCAATGGGCCTTCGAGCAATGCTATAAAAAAGCATAATAAAATAATATCATATAAATATGCAGTTTTTGAACTCTGTATATACTAACCTTCGTCTTCGTAACGGAAAATCACGCCCTTTAAAAGTCTCTCCCTCATCGGACCAACTTTCAGTTCCATGATCATTTCCATTTTTAACGCTTCCTCTGTACAGACATTTCTCAGTAAGTAACTCATTAACTTTTCTACCCAATGTTTCTAAATGATCATCATCACTGCTGCAAGTAGTAGGTTGATGATGTGTTGATGCTTCTAAATCATGAACTCCAGTTATGGATTCAGAAGTTGGGTCATTACTATTTACTCGATCTAGAGTAGTTGATGCACGGTGACTTGTGTAAGAATCATATTCATGATTATGTAGCATGGTATTAGTTGAATGCTCAGTGCACCGCAAAGGACAAGAATGAATACCTATGTTGCCATTATGATAATCACCTAAAAAATAAATCATATTCAATTTTTGTAATACATATACAATTATGAATAAGTAAATGAATTGAAAGGTTATTCATGATATCCAAGTGCTTAATTGTCTTAATTAAGACAATTCCGTACTTAAGTACAGCAACTTATTATATTTAGCAATATATTCACCTCTGTCAACAAATAGTTTATTGTCTTGTGATGGCGAAGGAGTTACATCAGTTTCACTAATATCCATGGCTTCTGTTTGTGTCTCGCAATCTACTAAACGCGTATTGACCACTGCATCTGAAATATTGTTTTCAAGATTAATTACTACACGATTTACCCGATTTTAAATTTAATCGTTATTACTATAATCTGCTAGTCCATTACTATAATAATTCAAATAATTTTCAATCCAAACTATACCTAAGTGATCCGGTGGCTTCGGCCGCCTCGTGGAATGTCTCGATCCGTGTCCTGGTTTAGCTCGAGGTTGTCTGGTTGTCGGTAGCGCTGGTGCACCAACTATAGATCTTGGACGATTAGAACCATCAAGTTCTGCATAGAGACATGAACGTATCGGGCTCTGCAATTCAAACATAAGCCAATTAATTTAACAATTGTGGATTAACTCAAAATCATAAACATAATAATAATGTATTTGTATACAACATGTAAATCATCATATCCAAACAATTTTTAAACTTAGTAGGTAGGTAAGTTTTTTTTTTCTTTCGCACTGCAATTAGAACTTAAACAATCTATAACATATTGCAATGATATTTCTTAATTGCGTGGCTTTTTGGAAGGCAACGAATTTTCCGTCTCTATTTGATTGATGCAGCAAGGCCAAGAAAGAGCTATTTTCATATGATCATTTTTGAAAATCAGTTAATTGGAATCTTAAATGTTAGTAACAACTAATTTATAATATTTATGAAAAAAGAATTCTATAATTACCCAAAAGACCTTCAGAAAATAATATATTGCATAATTACCACATAAATCATTCCGATAAGGGTAAAGTTTGCAAGAAAACCAAAGTACGATATTCCGTGAAAAACAATCCGGCGTTTTGTCAATGTGTGGGCTTAGGTATAATGGAATCTGTTTCCGCGAAGCGAGATCAATAGGGTGAAACCCACGCGTTCAAAAAGTTGGGCGAAAGCCACTAGTAGCAAGGGTGGCCGAGAAGGGTGAAAAATAATGTAGTATGAGCAACCCCGTAGAACCGAATGGATCGCGTGACTAGACTTGACGGCGACCTATACTAATCTTCCTGCAGTTACGTGCTTATTTTCACTATTGCTATTGGGAAATCATCAGGAATGTATTTGATTATGCATAACAGTGTATAATTTAATAATAATTTAATAAAGAAATATAATTTAATAATTTAATAATAAAGAAAAACTTTCAATATATCTGTTTTTTGAATATTGTGATAACAACAAATTTTATCCGGCATAGTCCCTTACGCAATTTATGCAATATATATACAAAAAATAATTCAGCTATAAAAGGTTTAATAATATCAATATTTTTACTCACCGTAGGTTCGTCAGGGCTTGTGGTTATAACTGGGCTCACAGGAGACACAGGTGAAGATTGAGTAGCGGCCGATCTTCGTCGGGATAGGCGGTCTTGAGCTTTGCGCAAAGGATTCACGATCCTTTTATTTGAATGCTTTCCGGACGTCTGTTTCTCGCGCCTACAATTTATTAAGAAACATTGACATTTATAGTACTTGTATTATTTTTTATAAAAATGATAATTTTTATTCTTATAAGTTAAATTTTTTGAATACATACTCGGCTACCATGCGCTCCCTCTGTTCCAGTTGCAATAGCACAGCCGTCAATTCCATGTATAGATCATTGGTTCTTCGCAGCTTCCTCTGGTACATCTCTCTTACGTCTCGAGCATGACGCAGTTCTTGCATTCGCATTTCTATTAGTTGCTCCTGATTTGCCAGTTGCTGTTGTGTCGGTACAGCTCGTAATAATTGCCTAAAATACAATAAATTTGACTCATTAAATACATTATTCAGTGTTTGAATTAAAATGAATTGAAATGGCATTTAATGCTACCTTGATGATTCTGCCATTTTGTCTCGAACTTCACTCCTCCACGTTCTCTGAGCTTTAATATAGGCTTCTTCCGACTGCTGTTGTAACAATTCTACGCTTGCAATCTCCAAATGCCCTAACACCAATTTAAACGAAGGTCTATTATGTGGTTTAGAACTCCAACATTGGGCAATCAAGAGTTTAAAGCCTTCTGGACAAGCCGACGGTATAGGAAGTCGCAAAGAATCATTGCCAACGCCGTAGATTATCTGAGTGCTATCAGCATCTTTATAAGGTGGTTCCCGTGTTAGTAGTTCCCACAGAACTACACCATATGACCAAACATCCACTTTTTCATTGCAAGGTTCATTTCGTATCATTTCGGGTGCCATCCAAGCAACCGTACCTGCAAAACTCATTTGAGTGCTACGATCACACCATTCGCGCGATGTACCAAAATCACTTATTTTAACTGCTCCTTCCCGACCTATGTATAACAAAAATAAATCAAATGAAGGTCGCAATAAATATATAAGTACTAAATGGTAAATTATGATATACCTATGAGTACATTAGGCGACTTTAAATCTCGGTGTATGATTTTATGCGCATGCAAATATTGCATGCCTAAGGCGATCTGTTTTGCCCATGCCATCAGCCTAGACGGTGGTACTTCTTCTCCAGCATTCAAATGATTATAAAGGGTTCCGTACGGACAAAACTCCATAACTATGCAATAACAAGGCTCCTGTGTGCAGACACCCCTAAAGAAAAGAAAAAATCATCAATATGATGTAACAATCATAACATCATAAAAAAGTAAATATAAGTCAATTTTCAAGAAAATGATTAACGTAATTTAATGGTGTAAAATAATATTTATTTGCAATATTAATTGTCTGAAATTATAAGATAGCGACCGAAATGCTACCATTGTTTCTCTTGTAATTATTTAACGAGATAATAAGTTGAAATATGATATCGCAGACATCGAATGTTCGTAAATTGAAAACAATATCAGTTCGCGCAAACAATAATGCGCTCATCCTGCATCATGTTTATATTGTAGTCATTATTATAATGCGATAACAAGACTGACGTATGTGAGCTTACGTCAGTAGTTTACAAAGCACAGAAAAAAAGAATTGAAATCCTGTTACTTCATATCAAAAACATGCATGCTACGATTTCTGCATAAAAATAAAATCACTTACTTGAATTTGATTACATTCTCGTGGTCCAACTTCCGTAAATGCCTGATATCAGTTTCGTTTTTCCTGAGAACTTTTTTGACAGCAACAATTTCGCCATTTAATTTTCCAGAAAATACGGCGCCTTGAGCGCCCGAACCTAACCATTCTAGGTCACTTATCGTCTCGAATGGTATCTCCCAGTCATCTGAAGAGCAGATTATTAAAAATATGATAAAAAATAAACAATAACTAGAGTTCGATAATAAACAGAAATGAAATCGAAAGAATTGTTCTCTTACCTGGTTTGCATTTTATTTCGCTGGGAGCCGCTTTCCCGATGAGTGAAAATACAGGTTTCATGCATCCAAATAGTCCATCCATCCACCCAACTGGTTTGTTAGCGGCTGTAGTAGTAGCAGCTCCCGATTGTTGTCCTCCATGGCCCCATTGCTGCTGTTGGGGGCTGGCATCGATGCAGCCTTCCAAAGCTTTGTTACCTCCAGGAACTTCGACAACGACTCCAGGTGCTGGCTTGAGATTCATCATGTCACCCATTTGAGTACTGAGTCCGAGTTGGCCGAGTTCTTCTTGGATGCATAACATACTAGAATCGAATGATAAGATGATAATAAATTAATTTAGATAAATAAATAAATATTAAATGATCTACCCCTGCAGCTTTGTAAATCTTGGCGCCTAAAGTAATCTTATAAATATATGGTGTGTAAATGTAAAGGCTAAATATGTGATATAACTGTTAATTTTAATTAAAAATCTAATTCTTAATTTTTGTTGCTTCTTAAACGCTCAGTACACATAGGAAACATGAAAAATTTTATTCGATCCTAGAAATATCATTGTACAATTGTTCAATTTATGCATTGAAACCACTATCCTTTGGTCTTTTTTCGACAGTAATTTATCAAATTCCACGTTCCTTAACAAGTTAATATTACTATTCATGTAAAATATCAAGTTTTTATTGAAAATTCCATAGACCATATGCTACCAATAAATAATTTCCAACAGCAAAATACGGTTCTGATGTCAGGTATGCGGCGTGTCCATTGCGTAACCTTTACAACAAACCTGGGGTTTATGAATATATGGTATTGAATATTCGCTTTGACTCCATAACTGGCTCCGAACGTCTACAACCAAAAATTATGCGAAGATAATGATTTCGCCTCGAAATGAATACATATGCTGAAATACACACCTTGAAAATCACTAAAGAATGCGATTCGTGTACCAGTTACCGATACGATAGTGACAAGTTCTTACTTGTAATATTAAAGAAATGAAAACTAACGCACAAGCGTACATATATCACTTTTAGTCCAAAAAATACACATACAATATTATTATCAAAATTAACCGAAATAAATATTTATAAACGTCCATTTATTATTTTCGTTAGAAAATCCAATTTGCTTTTTGAGGTCTCTTGCCAGCCTGAATCCATTGGTACCATATTTGGAAAAAGTATACACAGGCCAAAATTTGTCCTTCAGTCGTCGATTTCTTAAAAACGGCAGCACCGATTTAAAAAATTTAAAAGCCATTTGATGAAACACGATAAAGACTAGCATTGATTAGTTTTACGAGATGATCGGCACAGTCATTTCTTTACAATTAGCAAAAAAGATGAGTGCAAAAGTTTTCGTCCAAAAATCCTGATAATTCAAAAAGAATTGGATAATTCAAAAAGAATCAGTTGTGAATCGTGCTGATCAATGACAGGGAAGTTTCACCTAGTTTACAGTAGGCGTGCTCATATACAATAATATTTAAAAAAGCAGTATAATATTTAAAAAAAGTAAATAATTTAATATTTTTTTAAATTATATACTCCATTATCGTATACGAGTTGAAACTATGTAATGATAATTTCCTAATATTTGCTTGATAACCGTATGTTATAATTTTAATGTAGGTTTATGTTATTTTCTAATCAATGTATAATACTAATGAAGTAATGTTTAGTTTATAATGATGCGAATTATTATCAATATGCCGTTAAATCCAATCCTATACGCAATGTGTAAATTGGTCCGTCGATAGCCTTGTGCTTACCATACTTTCATTTCGATATTTGCAACATACAAGTTAATGTGTACTGCATGCTGTGTATAGAGTACTAGCGTTATTTATTGCCTCAGTGCTTCTAAAACTATGATTAGCGCAATTGAATCAAACGGTTTGAAAATATAAAATAATTCAACACTACGCCCTGACTAAATTGAATTGTTATAAAAATATTGACGATCACACAATATTTCAAAAATACATAACATATCTGTCTAGAAACTAGAGCGATTTCCAAAGTGGTCCATGTGGACTCCCAGGGGTCTATGGCAACTTTCAAGGGGTTCACGTCAGCGAAAAAAAAATTCGGAGTCTATAAAATAGAAATGAAGGTCCACGGTAGTGAATCACAATGGTGAATATATATTTCCTTATAATAAGATCATATACAATATTTATAAATCGACCCAGAAAATAACAATATTGAATATTTCTATAGATTTATTTAAAAAAACGATATCGGTTCATGACACAAAGAGCCCACGACCCAAAAAAGTTTAGGAACCTATGGTCAAGATATTTTAGATTTTAGAGATTTTATCAGTGCATAAAACATAACATGAATTTAATAAAAAAATATAATATTCGTTCAATGAAACTAAAGTTAATTATCAAAAAAATTGTGCACAATTTTAACCATAGTATCAAATTCTACACAATTTTTTTCATAATTAACTTTAGCAACTAATTTCACAACAATTGTGGCTTGTTCAAACAAAAAAGTTGATAATTCTCAAAAATATAAAAAGTTTTATAGTCATTGGGGATCGTTCTAGTATTACGTAAGCAGATTTATTACAATTATTTACCCCCCCCCATCCCCCTTGTCAGCAAAAGTAAGCAAAGCTCTTACTCCCTACCCCCATGCTTACGTAAACATTTTGCAATTATGTAAAAAAATAAAAATACTACCTATGACGTAATTATCATCCAGACTCCCCTGCCCCCCATGCCAACCCAAAATAAGCAAATCAACAACCCCCCCGCCCCCCTATAGTGCTTACGTAATACTTGAACGGCCCCTTGTCAGTCAGTAAATCTGATTATAAAGATTTGTTGTGAATAATTTATTTAAACAAAAATGAGTATGTTTAGTTTTTTATTTAAAAAAATGGTTACTTTAATGATAATGTGTTTTTTAATTACAATATTTGTTACAACTGCTAAATAATTTAACGTCTAGTAACAATTATGAACAATAACATAAACTTAAATAAAAAAGAGTAATAATAAAATTAATAAAGGAAATAAATAAAATAATGATAAGGGGCCGTTCAAGTATTACGTAAGCACTATAGGGGGGCGGGAGGGGATTGTTGATTTGCTTATTTTGGGTTGACATGGGGGCCAGGGGAGTCTGGATGATGATTACGTCATAGGTAGTATTTTTATTTTTTTACATTAATTGCAAAATGTTTACGTAAGCATGGGGGTAGAGGGTAAGAGCTTTGCTTACTTTTGCTGACAAGGAGAATGAGGGGGGGGGGTAAATAATTGTAATAAATCTGCTTACGTAATACTTGAACGATCCCTAATTAATGATAATGTATTTTCAAATCAAAATATACTATCGACAACCATTGGGTTCCTTCTAACGGAAGCTAATTCTAACATCAAAATAGATGAAAAGGCAACCATCGGGTTGCCTTAAACAAAACAGAGAAGAAATATCAATCAACGTCTTTGTCAATCAATACATCAAACAAATCCTTGAAACTTTGATATTCATTTTGTTTTAATAAATGATTAGATCAGGTATATTTTATAACGATCATATCAGAAAAAAAATATTAATAAATTTTAATAGCGTATCGCAAACGAATTATTCGCAATAAAATTATAAATTACTACAATATTCATTTTATGAGCATATTTGTTAGAGAGCGACCTATTTCACTCTAGCACAACAGCATTAACCAACGAAATCTAGTTGGATGTTTTTTGTTATTATCAAAACCGAAAACATGTTTCTGAATTGTTTATTTGTTCAAAGAATTCATCCCGCTGCGCTGTCGCATTTGTAATATTTGAACAATCGATGTATTATTATTGTTATTAGAAATCAAGTTTGATTATTTGTCCCAGAGGCATCGAAATGACCCAAGTTCATGTACCTCGGCGATGTGTGCAAGAGATGCCGATTGCCGGGTGCATTGACATCGAGAAAACAACTCGCTCTCATTCTCGCTAGGGACCAAAAGCACAAAACTTTGTACCTGCAATCGTAGTAATAGTAATAACACATATATCAGATGTAAAAATAATCGGACACACCATTTTACTAGGAAATCATAACATGCAGCAACTTACAAGTGTGCAGAAAACAAAAAGGTAACTGAAACAGATGGTTTAAACTTTTAATTCTCGTTAATAGCGGATATCTGAATGAAAAATCATTGTTTTTATTATTAATAGTATATATAGTGTTAATTATACATATATCCGATATGGAATTTATCGGATACAATAGAAGATCAGAACAAGATGCCGCAGCATAGTGCAAACACCAAATAGATAACAGAAGGCATATGTTTTCAATATTTAGTTTTCGTTTGCAGGTATCTAAATAAAAATTAAATCTTAAATAAATAAATAAAATAATTGCTTTAATCATAATTTATAAGTCATACTAAGGGTATGTACTTTGTATAGATTTAAATCTCATTAACAAGTTCTATTTAGGCTTTGCAGAATTTTTTTTTAATCTACAATTATTATACATTTTTTTTATTATATTTTTAACAGCAATCAGAACCTTACGTCCTATGAGCTGTTGGGCTGAAACTTCTTTCTTCGTATTTTTAGATGGAAACCCAATGGTTAATCCATCCATATTTGATGATTTTTTTGTTATTAGAATTAATCTAATAGGGCTGACTTTTTATTGGTGCAGCAATGCCGGACAACATTCAGTAATTTTTAGGGTAAAAAATAGATTTAATCAATAAGAATATTCTGCTATTTATATAAAATTTTCAACTGTTTTATACGACGAATACCAATACAAATAGTAATAACAATCTATAAATAAACTAGTGGGGTGGGTGGCATCGTGCCTTAAGGCAAATTGCTGGAACTTTCCGTACCGTAAAAAAATGTTCGAGGAATACTGAATGTTTTCAAATAGATTATTATAAATATTGTAACATTGTCTAATATTTATAAGAATTATATAAACTGAATTGCAAAGTTGAAATTATTTGTAAAGTATATTTGAACTATAATCAGAATTAAAAATAAAATCTGAATTATTTTCAATATGCAAAAAAAAAAAATTTTTGATAAAAAAAAATGAAAAAAAAAGTTGGAACAAAAATTTTTTTTTCCAAAATCAATTATTTTGTTAAGACAAGCAGAAAGTTCTTTGAATCATTTAAATCGGGCGCTTAGTTCTCTCAAAAACTGCCATTTTTTACATATTTAGCTTCGTATCTTTGAAATGGCCGGGCCTGCCTTTGCCAAAATCTGATAAACACTTCTCTCAATCATTACTAATTGTTTTTTAGAACCTTCAAATAGGATGCTTCGTTCTCTCAAAAACTCGATTTCTATTTTCTGCACTCTTTGCTTATTATCTCCGCAACTGCTGGACCTGCCTTTGACAAAAACTAATCAGCTCATCTCCCTATCAATAGGAATCGAATGTTTCTTGAACCATTCAAATCAGTTGATCCGTGCGCCCGAAAACGTGAGTGGAAATTTGTATCCATACATACACACACACACACATCCATTTTTTCTGAGGTATGCCAGTAAAATGTTCAGAAACCTTCAAAACGTCGAGAAATGTAAAAATTTTCAATTTCGATTTTCGGCCCATTTCAATAACTTACCCTACGGGAAGTTAATAAATAAATATAATGATAACTAGATGAAGTCTGCGGCTAGTATTCGTTTTAGTCTGACAAATTAGCTTCCCAAGTATTAATTCATTTGGGCGGTCGTTGATTTTGTTTTTGTATTTAGTAAGTTTAAATTTTTCATCCGACTTCAACATCGATTCAACAATCCTTTATCTATTACCACAGGTGTGTTGTATCGGCACACAGACGTAGTCCGCGCGTCATTTGTGCGCGATCGAGCAGCTCTCCGGCACCTTGCCCTAGTCGGACAGGTACGCCCGTCCGTCTTGCCGAATCTATTTGTTATACACATCGGCCACATCGGCCACCTTGCCAACTTTATACCGTTATGAATTGTTTTTCGAATTTTTCATAAATGTGGGCTCAGCTCAGCAAGCAGACGTGCAAAAAACCGAGAGATAACATACAGATAAAGACATAACATACAGATATATCTGTTTCAACTGATAAACATACTTCGCCAAAGATAATAAATAGATTCGATGGTATTGTAATTTGCATGGAAAAAAATAAATGAATAAATAGGTGTAAGTGGCATTTTGCCTCGATGATATTTGCATAAACTTCCCGCGACATGTGTAAAAAAAATCAATATATTGATTTATGAGTTTTTATTAAGTATTCAGAGTTGCGGTAGAGATATTATAATGTGAGAAAATATTGCAGATTCTTCAATTTTGTACAAATTTTACAAACATGTTATTTTTGACAAATGATTTAAAAATTATACATTGTTGAAAACCAAACACGCTCATAATTCATCCCAACCTTTATTAATTTATATAAATAAATTTCTTGAGGCCTGTAATATATTAGTTTATTCAATAAGATCAGGAATTAGCCATACAAAGTATAGAATAATTAAGAAAAAAATCAACGATTAATTATGAAGAAACGGCCCGGCTGATCTTTACCAAAAATTAATCAGCACGATTCCTAAATAATATTTCTAGAACAGTTTCTGAATTTTTAAAATCGGTTCAGACTTTTTTACGAAAACGTGGATTTAGGGTTTTGCACTTTTCAAGTTACAATGTAAGTTTATTATAGAAAAATTAAGAATTTACTTTTATTAAGAATAATTGTCTGTTTGAGATACAGTAGGTATTTTCCAAATTTGTCGAAACGTCGAGAAAACATAAAATTAGCAAATCGGATTTTTTTATGAAAACAAACTTCTTTTTCGAGAAGGTAAAATAAAGGAAATCGTTTCTAAAAAAAACATCGAAGAAAGGTAAAAAATCTGCTCGCATACAAACACACACATACATTTTTCCAATTTTGGTGTCAAACGATTCAGAATGACTTGATACGTTTAAAAAACATAAAGTTAGCAAATTGGATTTTCTGACCAAAACAATCGGGAAAAATTGTAGGGCTGAATATATGAATAATCAGTCAACATATTCCAAATGCAACATAAATTATTATACGAATGTAGAACAATTGGCGCATATGGACGTACCTTCTTTTAATAGTCGTTTTGTCCTTATTCGCTTCCTGATCAGGTGGTTCTTTATTTCCTGCACTCGGGCGTGTAAAGGCGCTACAAAACACCATATTCGTAAACACTGATTTGATTTATTAAGAGGCCACCCCGTTAAAACGTGTGTTTTGTTATTCTAAAAACTAACTATTTTTTATTTCGATTGGTGGTTTTGAACAACGCGTGACTTGAATCGCACTGTGGTCACATCATTGTTAGAAATGCGAGAACGGCGAGAACGATGTTAACAGCTCTAGATGATGCTTTTGTATTGGTATTTGTATACGAAATGAAACATGGATGGGAAAGCGCATGCGTTCGATTCGTATTGTTTGCTTTCAGAACAACAAGCAGTGGCGGATAAGGCGGGGATAAGGATAAGTTAAACATTGGCGAAAAAATCCAAGCGAAAGATCTATAATTGTCATATAAAATACAACCTTAATTTATTGCATTTTGAATTACATTTATCAATCATACCAACAACTTTGCCAGAGAACTACTACAAGTAGGCAAACATAGTTCAAAACAGGCTAAAACGGAGACATCTCAGGGAATTGATGTATTGTGTGGGCAGATGATTAATATTAAAAAAAACTAGTGAGGTGTATGGCATCGTGCCTTAAGGCAAATTGCTGGAACTTCTCGTACCGTAACGAAATGTTCAAGGAATACTGAATGTTTTCAAATAGATTATTATTAATATTGTAACATTTTCTAATATTTATAAGAATTATATAAACTAAATTGCAAAGTTGAAATTATTTGTTTAAAGTATATTAGAACTATAGTAAGAATTAAAAATAGAATCTGAATTATTTTCGATATACAAAAAAAAAAATTTTTTTGAAAAAAAAAGTTGAAACAAAAAATTTTTTTTTTCCAAAATCAATTATTTTGTTAAGACAAGCAGAAAGTTCTTTGAATCATTTAAATCGGGCGCTTAGTTCTCTCAAAAACTGCCATTTTTTACATATTTAGCTTCGTATCTTTGAAATGGCCGGGCCTGCCTTTGCCAAAATCTGATAAACACTTCTCTCAATCATTACTAATTGTTTTTTAGAACCTTCAAATAGGATGCTTCGTTCTCTCAAAAACTCGATTTCTATTTTCTGCACTCTTTGCTTATTATCTCCGCAACTGCTGGACCTGCCTTTGACAAAAACTAATCAGCTCATCTCCCTATCAATAGGAATCGAATGTTTCTTGAACCATTCAAATCAGTTGATCCGTGCGCCCGAAAACGTGAGTGGAAATTTGTATCCATACATACACACACACACACATCCATTTTTTCTGAGGTATGCCAGTAAAATGTTCAGAAACCTTCAAAACGTCGAGAAATGTAAAAATTTTCAATTTCGATTTTCGGCCCATTACAATAACTTACCCTACGGGAAGTTAATAAAACATATTGTTCTATTTTATAAAAATGTATAAGTATAAGTATGCATTCGATTTGTGGTCCCATTATGGTTGAGCTTGTAAAGACTATTTGCTTACTATTGAAAGACTTGGAAATATTCTTTGTGCTTTTTGTGATTGTTATAGTATTTCTCCATTCTCTAGATTTAATAATTGTGAAATAAACTGAAAGGATGTTTAGCCTTATTGTTATGATTTCCTAATAAAAAAATGATGTAGACTGGACATCATAGCCATAACCTTACAAAATTGTTGCCAAATGTTGATAATAAAATATTAAATTTTCCCTTACTTTATTTTTGTTATTATTTCAAAATCAATTGATAAAGGTATAAAGGTAACATGTATTTTTACTTTAAATATTTAATAATAAACATTAGTTCAGTCATATCATCATATTACATGAATAGAGGCAAGAGGGTCCACGACAAACTCCAAGGGAAAAGTTTGAAAACTGGAGAAATGAAGTAGCACTGGTTACTTCCATAAAATGTTATTAATATTATGCCCTTATATTTACTAAATATCTTTACGAACAATTGTAAATATTGTTATAAAAAAGAATATATTGTTGTTATTGATGAATAGATACTCGACAAATATATCAAGACATATTTAATATAAAACAATAAAATATATAAAATGAATAAATATAATATATAAATTAAATAGTATCTTCATTTATTGTATAAATTATACAAAGTTAAACCATTTAATATATTTTTAAATATTAAACACTATAGAATGATATACAGATTTGTGTGAAATTGTGAAATTAGAATTTTATGTAAACTATGTAAATGACTAGCATGTATATTTATAAGTGTCCAAATAGATTAAAATAAGAAAAATGAATCTATTATATTAAAATTCTCAAGCATATATGATATGTTATGTACCTAACTTTAAAAATGGAAAATATTTGGCGAAAGAACTAGAAGTATAATACCCCTATAGAGGGTAGTTTGTAATTGCTACTTTTGCATTTAATATTAAATTTAATATATTAAATAAATCAATTATATCATATTTCTGAAGCTGGTATACGAAGAGCAGTTTTCATTTACAATATTGCAAATTTATTATGTGAAAATTTAAAATATTGGCCGAAAGAACTCGAGGTACAGAGTAAGTTATAATAGTTTCTTATTTTATAATAGTATATAAAATACATAGGGTCATAAAATATTAATATTTAGTTTCTTATTATGAGTTTCATATCTCTTCACGTTTGATACATAAAATTAATATGCTGTTTAATAGAGAGTCTAAAATAAGTCAAAATTATATTTTTATTGGAAATCAATTAAATTATTACTAAACATTAAAATAAATGCCGTATGATGTTTATTTGGAATGTTTCAACTAAAAATAAATTATTTAAAATTGTGTTAAAAGTAAATTGTATAACACAAAATATGCATTAATAATGCAATAATTCTTTATATTAAATATTAGCAATAGCAATAATGGTATTAATATGCTAATGACGATTATTATTTTTGTGATTACTGTTTATGAATAAATGAATAAAAAATTACGATTAGTGGTTAGAGATTAAAATTGTGCATATGTTTTATATTTGATAGATTTTCAGTAAAATAATAAATTAATTCAAATACAAACATTTTTCATAAATGTATTAGATAATAGAAGAAGGTAAATATAATAATATACAACTCATAAATAAAATTAACTAAAATGTCATTTTTTTAAAAATGTATGATACGGATATGAATGTAAATATATTACTTTTTCCATTTGATATTTCTTGCAAAGAAGACTTTCAGAATATCTTTAAAAATCAAAAAAATCTAAAAAAATTACTCAAGCTGATGATTACAATCATTAATTTGAAAATTTATATAAGCCGAGGATTTTTACAACCTGATTAAGTTGTATTTATATCCAAGTATATAAATAAACAAATTTTAAAGGAGCTTTTAAGTTTTAAGAACAAGAAAGCTTAGTAGCGCGGTGAACAAAAGAGTGTTCGTAATTCTGATTAATTAATTAATTGCAATATTTTCTGTTAAATAAGTTTATATTTGTTTATCTATGTTTTAGACATCTCGGAAAACTTTTTAGGATTTTATAGATTATGAATGATATAAGACATTCCATAATTTAGGAAAAGTATTTTTTATAAAATGAAAATATTTAGAATATCTTACAATCTGACATTGCGTGATGTCGATTTTCAATTGAAAATATAGATCAAAATATGTTTCCAATTGAAAATTAGTCCATCTCGGGCACTGCGGTATGAAATGGAAATGGGAAAAACTCTCACACAATACACTTATTCCCTAATCGAGTTTGAGTTTAAATCAACTCACAGACCTGCCTTAGGGTAGTACTACCCATTATTATTATTATTATCTTACAATTAATAATCGAACATTTCTTAACTACTAATTTTTTTTTAACTCGACAATATCAATGTTGTTGAAGTATTTTAATCTTGTCATTTGTATATCAATAGAAAACAAATTAAAGAAATCATTGTGGATGTGCACCTGTTCGTGAAGTTATCCCTATCGTGTTTTGTGGCTAGACCTGAAGACAAGATTACGGCACCATTGGCAGCTGTTTGATATAACATCGTCGTCTGCTGATTGGGTTCCGCGCTTTCTTCCGTGTTAAACGGTGGCCCTTGAAGACCCCGTTCTAGACTTCCCACAGGTGTAAGCATATCACTTAATTAACAATGTATCACTTACAAATTCACCATTTTCAATCAATAACACTTCGACACTCACAAAAAACACCTGTATTTCGTAATGAAAAAAACGTCGCAACGCGGCCGAGCTGTTTAAGTGCCAAGTGCCCGCACGGAACTAACTTCACAACGATGTCAATTCAAAATGGCTGCATCGGTGTGTGAGTGCGTGACGTCGAAAGGTGCAATGGTTCTGCCTTTAGCGGGTGGGAGAAAGAGAGATGCCGTGATGCAAAAGAAGGTTTAACGACGATCGATTCAATTTGAATCGCGAGAGGGAAAGAGACGGCACCACGCTCGGGCGCCCCGCTGGCGGATCGATAGCGCGATCAGGGCTTCACGACGAAAAAATCATTTTTTAATAAATAACAAAATCATTGATTGCGTTTTATAATTGCACGATTGGAAATGATTAATTATGAACGAATATTTCGTTTACGTAGAAAGAGCAACAAAATGACTATCGCTATATTCCTATCTATTGCAAATTACATGTGCATATCCTATACAAATATAAAAACTATATAAATATTTTATTACTTTTATATATAAACAACTTGGTATATATTTCTCCTCAATTAAATGTTATTGAAAAGTAATTGCGTATACAATAAGTAAAACAAGATTTAGAAAAGAGAGAACCGTCTCTTGACTTTCACTGTCCTTACTGCTCAACTTCCTAAATTCGTACCGAGGGATGCTTCCAAGAATTTCCTACTGCATTGTACAGATTTCCGCATCATATGTATGTGTATATTATAGATACACAGATATGATATAGAAATGTATTCTTCGAATTTGAACATTATTTCTATCGCCGATATGATATAATTCTTCTACAGCGTGCTCCAGTGAAACTTGTTCAGATATGTCTTAAATATTGAAACGCTCAATTAAGAAAACCGGTTCTTTAATAGTCGTGTTGCACACAACAACCGTAGCCCGCCATTTCAAACCGTCTAATAGACTAATAGAATTACGTTATTATATTTAATATTAATAGATAAAAAACTTTCAACCAAAATAATGTTTATTTATACATCATAAATTTGTCAGTAATATATGAATTTCAAATTATGATCATGTAACTTGACTAGTTGAATAATTAAACAGCGGCGACACAAAAATATTCAATATTCATTACATAGTTCATAATATTCTCAGAATTATTACATACTATATAAATTTAATAGAATAAAATAACATCCATATCAAAGCTCGATTTAGATAGACCGATAGACCATTGATAAGACTTTTTATTGTAGAAGTTTGTTTTAAACATCATAGCTAATTTTTATTTTATTTTCGAAATTTGCTTCGTCATAACTACATAAAGTTTATTAATGTATGTAGATATGAAAAATAAAGCAAATTTTCAAAATAAAATAATAAAAATTAACCATGATGTGTAAAGCAAATTTCTACAATAAAAAAATCATTGATGAATGGTATATCTTTGAGATGAATATTTTTTGTTCTATTATATTTATATAATCATAGCCAATCTGGGGTGGTTTTGATATATAATATAAAAAAAATATTTTCTATTTTATATATCATTTTATGAATTATGAATTAAAATTGTAAGACTATAACAATCAAATTTGATTAAGTAAAGCATGATAGTTTTTTTTTATCTTTATTCCAACCAAATTCAACAGAAAAACAACCTAAAACAGTTTTACCAGTTTTCCTTAAGCCTATTTTCCTCTGTACAACATTTGGCATAACAAAAACACTGAGGCTGAAACATGATCGCCCCACTCTCTCTTGACAGTAAAACCCAGTGCTCTCATTAAAAAGTAGAAATGAAGATAAAAAATAACATAACATCTCATAAAATATTAATAAAGAGCACCATAATATGTCATAATGCAACAACATGCAAAACAGAGAAAAGGCGGCCACGAACATTCTGCATACGTTTATGTTCTATATATAATATATTACATTAAAGTTATTAACATTGTTTAACTATCTCAAAAAATACTAAAAATATATTTATTTTTATCATATTAAATTCAGTAACAGACTGTTTTCTATTTAATGTGAATTGGAATTGAAAAATAAAAGCTCACAGGGGCTGATCATTTCATCAAAGAATTTTTAAATATTAAGCTACATGTATTCATTTTAAAAGGCAACATTTCAATAATTATGACAATTTTAAATATATACTTTTATGTGCATTTCAATAAATCCAAATCATTCATTAACCACATGAGCATTTAAACTATCAAAATGACCAAGGGTAGAAATAGTGATGCTTTATGTTTTTTATATTAATCTATGTTAGATGAGCGAGCAATCATGAAATAGCCTACAGACAACTATCATATTTTTATTTTTACAATTTTAACAATCATACTTATGAGGTACAATAGTATATAATTATTATCTGCAATATATGTTTATATTAGTTGTACAATTTATATTAGTTGATCTATGAAATGTTGCCAATCAATCAAAAAGAAGCCACTGTGATGCCTTTTCGTCCAATTTACAATTTAAGAAATTTTCGTGATTAGAGGGTGTGACTTATATTTAAAAAAAATTATCAAGAGCCAAAATGATTTAGATCTGAAAATTTCATTTTTTTATAGGCTATCACAGTTCCTCAACTCAACACAGGCATTTTTCTTTGACTTTTTCCATGTACAATCTTATTTTTAGACAGTCATTATTAAACAAATATACAATGCTCGTTAATATTTATATATAAGTGTCTCGAGCTATAAAATTCATATCTTATAAATATAGTTTAAATATTATCCCCAAACTTATTGAATTGATAATGAATATTAAATCCTAAAGTTATTAGATGCATGTACATAAAGACTATCATTTTAAATATTTCATTATGAAGATTTTCAGTTTGATTATACATATAGAAATAATTCTATAAACAAATCAATCAATATTATCAATTGCAAACATAACTCGTGTTGAAGCCTTTGCAACAAAAACATTTTAATGCGAGAGTTAACACGTTCAATATGTATTGAAAACAAAAATATACAATGACCACTAGGGCTATTAATCACATTTTTTTTACAATTAATCTGATTAGTTTGTATACATAAAATCCATAGTCCATCGATTCTAGAACTATATTATAGGCCATCATACACAAGTTAACAGTTCATTGTCACTTTGCTCAAATTACTTGATATACGTCAGCAAAAGCCAAGTACATAATATGGCCAAAACATTTACACATGTGATTTTCATTTATTTACTTATCAGAAATTGATAACTTTTACTTTTTTTTATATTTATATTATGATTTATGCAATATTAAACACACAATATCAGAACTTTTTAACAGGCTGATATTGCTCATTCAACTTTTCTAAATTAATTACACATTAACATTATATCATCCCGTCTTTCTACTTAATTTTCCAACTCAGTCAATGGGATAACACACAAAGAGTAGCCAAAAATGAACAAACATGAAAAGAACACCCAATTTCTTTTCATTTATCTACTAAACTAAATATTCAAAAACAAAATTATATATAAAACATAAAACAATATAAACCACAAAGATATAAACAAATATGAATAACAAATGAATGACCGTATCAAATAGGTTATTCATACATTTCTTTAACAAATATCAATGAACAAAATTAACCTACTAATCTATTACTTCTTATACAGAAACAATTTTTTTCACAGTCGATCTCACAACAGCAATCATTTGTTGCAAAGGTGATGAGTTCGACAAACCGTTATAGTAATCAAAACTATCGGTACCCTTTTTATTTCATTTTATCCTTAAACTATCACAAAATATGGTCCAGGGGCATCACCGAAATCACTGCACAATTAGTTTAGTATGTCAACTATCACGAACATAGTAATAGGAGCATCTGATCTAGCGGTCACTTAGGGCTGCGCGGTCCTAGAAATTCTCGAAGTTGAGGGCGCGTATTGCGTCGCTGATTTTGTCCTGTTTGACCTTGATTTGGCCCCAGCGCTTCATTTCTATAACGACCACCAGAATTTCTAGATGACCCATAGCGCTGTGTGCTGTCTCTGGCTGATTGTTGGTGCTGTCCATGTCCTTGCTGTTGTTGCTGCCCTTCTAAATAAGAAAATAACCAGTTTATAGTCAGTTTAAATCAATTAGATCATTTTTTCTCTATGATATCTGCATTTACCTCTATTTTCTCTAGCTTCAACGGGAATAGTAGAAGCACTGGCATTGGCACTGTCTTTCCTTCGTTCTTTTTCTGATTGACTATCTGCATTTTGCAAAGCTGCTACTGCGGCTTCACTCTGTTGTTTCTCACGTAACAAACGTTCCTTATGATGCTGTGCAACTTGAGCATAACTAAGCCGAGCAGGGTTTAAATCCTAAAAAAATTAATGCAACAATATTAAAAAAGAACAAAATGGGACATATATATTTATTATTATTATTAAAATAAACTTACCAGCATAGGAGGGCTGGGACTTCGACCCTCTCTACCTGAAGTCTGCATTATGTGCTTGGAAGTAACAGTATTATTACCAGTTGTCATTGTTGCAGCATTTGTAGTTGTAGGTGGTGATGCAGAAGTAGGTGCTAGAGTCCCATGAGTCAAAGATGTTTCTGTGGTTGATATCACAGCATTCATGCTCATTAAAGTGTCATCAGTTCTAGTAGATTTATCTGCCATGGAGGTAGTAGTATTTTTAACAGCATTCGTCGATATTGAAATATTTGCTATAGAAGTGGTTATTGAAGGAACTAAGTTGTGAGCGCTGCGATCATTTGGTGCACTTAAATAAAATTTTGATCATTAATAATCGATTTAATGTTAACTGTATTTTGTTTGCAAGTGATTACTTACTTATCTGGTGTACAAGGAGGCGTAAGAGCAACACTACTTAACTCAGGAGGTGGATCATCTACTTGTTGAGTTACATTGTTCACAGGACCAGGAGATACTGATCTAGGAGAAGCTGCATCTATACTACTATGATGGGATTCCTGTTAATGAAATCAAGAACTCAGAAAAAACAAAAAAACAAAAAATCATCAAGATACAAAATTAAAATTCTAAATAAAATTAGTTCTAAATATAACATATTTTGATATTTTTATTACCTTACTAGATTTTGGTCGTGCTGTGCCTTTAACAACATCTGCTAATCTGTTTTCACCCCAGTGATTACTACCTTGTGTTATTTGCTCATGGGCAATTGTCGATTCATTAACAATTGGTTCAGTTGTCTGATGCAAAACTGATACTACAGTTGTGTCAGATCTGTGCATAATCATGGAAGTAGATGTGTTGTTAGCAGTTGAATGTCCAGGATCTTCCAACCCTGGCAGAGGGGGAAAAGCACTTGCTTCTAAGTCAAACTGTAATAAAATATATTCTTGAGTATATGAAACTAATATGAATGAATAATTTGACTTGACTATACATATATATACATATATTTGTTTCATACTGTTATTTATCAGCATTACTTATAGCAAGATAAGAAAAATAACCTGTGTGTTCGCATTGCTAGACAATATGGCACCAGTCTTAATGTTATTTGTGTTATTAATTGGAAGCCCCGCATTATTAACAACTCTAACTCCCAAAGCTTCATCTTCTTTTCTCCGACGTCTGTGACGCGGAGGAAGAGGTTGCTCTTTTCCAACAAGTGATCTATAATATTAAGAAAGTTTTAACATTTTATACATGCTGGCATGCAAGTGATTTCTCATAATAATTTATAATCATAAAATATTTATAAATTAAACTGTATTCCTATGCAATCCTATAACAAAAGATCAGTATAAAACCTAGGTTGTTTTTTATTAAGCAACAAAAAAAAAACATGATTTACATTTATAAAGATTAGAGCCATAAGGCCAAAACGAAAAGCTATTTGTACCAAGTCTCAACAACATAATGTAATTACCTATATGAATTGTCATCACTATCAGATCGCATTGCTGCCGCACTGGCATCACTATCACCAGCCATTTGATTCACAGCTCCAGCACTGGCAGCAGGAGCAATATAAGCAGCTTGTGCATAATGCTGTACATTATTACTAATCCGCTCATCCCGAAAGCCCTTATGAGTGTGGGACCAATCTAAATTTGGTGAATATTTATTGCCATTTCCAGAGAAGTTCTTAGTTGTGACCCCTGTACCTTGAATACCTGCTTGAAGTGGACGTACCAGAACATGACCTGAATTATCTATTGCAATTGTATTAAAATTTATATGAACATGCATTACACAACTAAGTTTGTGATTCTAAATATTACCATTAATGTTGCTGTTGGATCCGCCACGCTTATTCCTATTATTGCGCTGATTTGAAGATCCGTATCGATTACCACTTCCAGGAGGCTTGCCAAAAGCAGCTTGTGGTGCTATTCCATTTACTGGAAACATGCTTCCAATATCAAAGTAAGTAGGGGTGCCCCACTGCGTCAACATTGAAGGAAAAAATGATGGATTATGTTGATAAGCTGGATAAACATGCATCTGACCATATGGAATAGCAGTAGGTGCAACTGAAGAGCCATTGGTGTAAAGAAATCTTTGTTGTCCAGGTTGGAAAGCAGCAGTACTAGGATCAAACACCCCAGGCGGAGCTGGAGGTGGCGTACCATGTTGGTAACCATTTTTCATAGTGGGCACATTCACATTAGGAGCTGCAGTGGGCAAAACTGGCAGCCTGTTCATTGGTTTCGCCTTAATACGTGCCATGATTGGTTTTCCCTACATTAAAATAGAATCTTAGTTTTATAACAAAAAATATATCATCATTATTATCATATATTTTTTTGCATACCTGAAACTCACGTATTTCTTCTCTTAGAAACTTGTAGGCCTTTTGAGCATCATCATCTGATTCAAATGTTACATACCAAGAATTATTGTGAGCAAACTCACATGATATAAGCTTTGGACAATTTTCTCCGGAAAATAAATTCTAGAAATGAAATTTAGTTGAACTTGATTCATAGCAATAATAAATTTAATTACATTCCAATTTCAAATTACCTTTACTTCCTCTAATGGTGTATTGTCTGGAATTTCCCGAAGTATAACTATGCAACGTTTATGGTTTGGCCGAACTTTTAAGCCCTCCTCATCAACTTGGACATTGGGCGATTCACGTAATACTTCTGTTATTAATTTCAAGTCTTTTGTAAGGCGTTTAACTTGATTGAAATTAGCCACAGTCCAAATGGGTACATATTGATCATTGTCCATTTGAGATATAAGGTATGCATCATTGACCAAATTTTCTCTGTTGAATGATTCAAAATATTTAAATATGATAATAATGCAAAACATATATGGTGTAAGAAGTAAGCAATAACCTACCGAGAAAAGTAATATTCCAGTTGTGTAGATAACATCTGTTTGAGTTGATCTATGGGCATTGCAGTCACATCAGTTCCTGAGGCTGGCGGACTCGAACCATCTGATGGTTCCAGAAAGCATTCTGTCCCCTCAGGTGATCCATTAATTGCAGAATACTCCCCAGAGACCCCTGAGCCCAAAGAAGGGCCCAGGGACTCAGGAGCAGTGTTATACACCACCCCTGAGGGGAGCTTCCCAATGTCCCCATTCATGTACACGTATCCTGTAATCAATGAAGTCAATTAAAACACTGCACAATTTAATTTTTTTACCATATTTCACTTTCCTCTGTTGTATGTATTAACGTTCTAATTACATACATATTTACATTACACATTCAATCATATGTATTTTATGCTAATATTTTAATTTGGTATACTATTTTTGTATAAACATATATGTAACTTAAATATAAAGTGTAATACTATCCATTTCTGTCAAAAGAGAAACACTGCATCAGAAAGTCATTCACAACACTTAAATTTTGCAAATACTTACAAATTAAATATAATCAGTAGAGAAATTCTTTAATGTGATGTACAGATAACGTTACAGCCTATGAATGTGGGCCATGAATGAACATGTGGCTAAACATATTCCAGGTTTAAAAATAATACTTGCACTTTGTCTTCGTCTTAAAAGGTCGTATTACAAACTTAAGTTGTTTCTACACTTACGTTACCACACTATTGGGACAATCACTTCACTAAATCCCTATTTCATAAACGTTAAATATGCGACAGCAATGACTTGACCTATCGACGATCATTGGTGAGGTGGATATTCTCGCAGTACTGACCGCTTATATTTAGTAATGACCACATTGACAACAAACACACGATATGCACATGATTTAGCACTAAATTTTATACCTTAAATGTCTAAATTATATTTCAATCTGTTACAAGCCCCGGAAACCATGTGCCTTATCATTAAGATTCCGTAATATTCGTACTCATTGCAAACGAGGAGACATCGCATACATTATTCGCAGTCGACGCCCAAATCGATGTTTGTTAATTATGTGGGTAAAAACATCATGAAGGAAAATGTCAAACACTGGACAAATGGATACATTAGTAAACGATTTTAGGGGCTTACCGATAAAAATACGTCGTCGAAATTGAACACAATTTCTCACAGAAACCTGTAAAATGGCCGACACACGGCACCACAGCACATTCCATAGACACGAAAAATGTGAGAAGAATGCTTTCTCGCGGTACGCGCTCGCACTATATCGCGCGCTAAATACAAATTTGTGATTTTTATTTCATGAACAGTTTTTATTCACTGACCTGCCGCATCAGACCAAGGCGACGCAAATTCCCAACATAATTCAGAATTCGGATCATCATACATTTCTGTTTTCTCAGTATCAGATTCATCATCTGCATCATCTCCATCCAGATCCTGATTCATGTCCACCTGCTGCGATAATTTTTGATTTAAACATAGAATTATAAATTAAGAACATTAAGTTAGATATAAAATAAAATGTAAACTAGGGCTTCGAAGTAACATTAAAGTAATAAGCCAAATATATTTAAAATCAATATTCTTCAGCAGACAATCTGCTTCACATACCGGATAACCGTGCACTCGGTAATATATGCCTAAGTGTGGTATTATAAATGGCCCTTCATATAGCCAATCGGTTTCATCATCCATGGCTTTATGGAATTAATGAAAATCGTATTTTGGAACAAAACGATTTGCAATGTGTTACAAAATCCACACATAGACCTGCCAGGAGATGCGGCATTCGCGAACGACCGCACCGCATGAATGACTGCAAAATTCTGAATGCCCAACAAGCATGGGAATGCATGTCATATCATGATTACATTCATTTCATGATTATGCAATATCATATTATGTTGCTGTAATACTGCAACAGATGGAGCATTCTTTACGAATGAGCCAAATATTTACAACACCTTCTAATATTTATGCTTGCATTTTTATCTTATCAACACAAGAGTGAAAAAAAAAACTCATCAACCTAATATAACTAGCTCAATTCAAGTAAAATCTTTTAATTTAATCATTTCAACCTAAATATTAAATTAGCCTAGTAATACTAAACTTGACTAATGCAATTTCTTAAATAAAATTGATGTACATACACATTGATTAAGTAACACTTTAACAAATATGCTTACTAAACATTATATATAAATATAATCCTAAAAATAGAAATTTTTAGACTTGAACTTTCATACATATGTAAATACATCAAAACGTGTGAATACAATTTAATGTAGATAACTAAAAACATTCAATAACTGATCAAGAGTATACATAATAAATGCATAATGAGAATATAAGTGAGCTAAAAGAATTAAAAACTGAAGAGGAAGAAATTTTATATTATATGTATATTTATTTAATCATTCAGAAATAATGTACAGGTAATAATAAATTAACAGTTGCTTTATCATGATACTAAAATTTTGAGAATTTTAAAATTGAATTGCTGATACAAAACTCCAAGAACTTTTTACAAAAATAATCTTACATCATAACAGATTTTTAACATTTATTTATTCTCCCTAAAAATATCAATAGCTCCTAAATACATATTAGCTATTGAAATTTAACATGACTGATTCATAAAAGATAATTAGATGACTATAAAAATGGTTGCAAAAAAAATCACATTACTAATGGATTTGACTATTCACTGTATTTTAAATGATTTGATATGAAGTTCAAAGCTTGTAATTAAAAACCGTGAACTTTAAGTTGATCTGGTTTTGCAAGTCCTGCTTTTGTAAGCCACTGACAAATGTTCTCGCTGATCTCCTTGAAGCTGGAGCACTTCTCCGTATTCTGGATGTTCTATCACAGTGCCATTACAGGCAAACTCCTAATTAAAGAAAATTAAATATCAATAAAGACCTGATGTATAACATAATATTAAATTGTCCTATGAAAGTCATACCTTTTTACATGCTCGAACGATTTTTTTCAGGTCATATTCAGATGAAAGTCCTTGCACTGTAGTTAATGTTTTGCGACCATTTCTTTGCTGTATTCTTATATGCACGAGACCGTCTTGGACATCATCATCTGCACCCTTGATTGCATCAGCAAAGGGGTCTATCAAAAACATAAAATAATGCGTATCAAATATATGTCAAAACGTACTAAAACGTCAGCCATTTTGTCAAAAATTCTACTGAAATCCATTTATTTCGCGACTTACCGAATGTGTTGAGATTCTGGATGGACATACGACAAACAAAAATTAGCTGGTTAACAAAAAATCTGCAAAATGCAAGATCGCGACAGAGGTTAATATGAACAATGATTTTGAATAAACAATGGAGAACGCTTATTTTCAATCGTATGACGAGTTAGCACAGGAAATTACGGTACTACTTTGGAATTCGATTTCACAAATCAGGATATCTATGGCGACTCTAGTGTCGAACTGGGAAAACATTTTACGCGCAATCTTTTAAAATTATTAATTTTCAAAAATAATTCATTGGCACATATTTAATTTTTATTAAAAATCACTTCTAATAAAAATACATACCCAAAAAGTTTTGCTTTCGACTTTTGACCGGTTTATACAATTGATAAATATATTTAATTAAGCACTTATAGATCATTTATATTTACCAAACATATACGTATGTATATTTTCATTCAACAATCGATTTTAATTGGTAATTTGTTTTTTGAATGTTTATTAAATTTTTTTTCAATAGAATGTTGAGTAAAAGAATAAATTTTATTAATATCTTGAAGATTAAAAAATTATCGAAAAATATATCGATAGTCTATTAAAATGCATTTAATTATTCATGAATTTAAACTATGTATTTTAGTTTAATATATTAAAGTTGAAAAACCGATTCTACAATAAATTTATTGTGCATTTTTAATTCATAATTTTATCTATTAGTTAAGTTCAATTAACAGTGAGTGAAATATCGATTTTTATATTATTATTCAATTAATCGATAAACACTACTGTTATGTTTTTGTGACTTATTCTGCTTGATACTTATGCATTAATCTTGGGAAATATGTTTTATTTTCAATGAAGTATATTTGCAAGGATATCTATGGTGACTCTAGTGTCGAACTGGGAAAACATTTTACGCGCAATCTTTTAAAATTATTAATTTTCAAAAATAATTCATTAGGCACATATTTAATTTTTATTAAAAATCACTTCTAATAAAAGTACATACCCAAAAAGTTTTGCTTTTGACTTTTGACCGGTTTATACAATATGATAAATATATTTAATTAAGCTCTTATAGATAATGTATATTTACCAAATTTAACATATACGTATGTATATTTTTATTCAACAATCGATTTTAATTGGTAATTTGTTTTTAATGAATGTTATTAAATTTTTTTTTTCAAATAGAAGTATGATAAAAGAATAAATTTATTAATCTTGAAGATTAAAAAATTATCGAAAAATATATCGATAGACTATTAAAATAGCATTTAATTATTCATGAATTTTAACTATGTATTTTAGTTATTAATATTAAAGTTGAAAAACCGATTCTACAATAAATTTATTGCATTTTTAATCATAATTTTATCTATTAAGTTCAATTAACAGTGAGTGAAATATCGATTTTTATATTATTATTCAATTAATCGATAAACACTACTGTTATGTTTTGTGACTTATTCTGCTTGATACTTATGCATTAATCTTGGGAAATATGTTTTATTTTCAATGAAGTATATTTGCAAATATTAATTATGAAACTGTTATTTTCATTGAAATGCCGTGAATAATGTTGTAATATCTACGAAATGATATTTTGCATACAATTATATATAACCTAAAATGTACTGATGTATTATTAATTTTGTTATCTCAGTTTAAAATAATTAAATTTATAATTATAATATAATAAATATAGCAAAAATGGAAGGGGTACCGTCTCTGGAAACGGTATATCAGGCTATTTACACTCTATATAATAATCCTCAAACTGTAGAAAAAGAAAAGGCGTCGCAATGGCTCGAACAATTACAAAAATCGGTATGTGTTTTTTTTGAATTTATGAATATTAAGAGAATATTGATACATATACTTTATACTGTATACTTATTTAAAAAAATGCAGGTTTATTCATGGAAGGTGGCTGATGAAATACTGCAAGAGAAAAGAAATCTCGAATCTTGTTATTTTGCAGCGCAGACTATGCGATCTAAAGTTCAACAATCATTTCATGAACTACCTTTAGAATCACATATATCATTGCGAGATTCTCTTATAGAGCACCTTGGACAGGTTAATGAGGAAACTAATACTGTTATTGTAACCCAGCTATGTTTGGCACTAGCAGATTTGACATTGCAAATGACGACATGGAAATCTGCAATACCTGACCTTATTAATAAATTCTCTGCATCAAATTTATATACTCTTGTGATTTTAATGAGAGTATTACCAGAAGAAATTAATTCCAGAGCCTTGCGTCTTGGTGCTAACAGACGGCAAGAAGTAATATCAGAATTAAGTTCTCAATCATTATCAGTCATAGAATTCTTAAATATGAGCCTAATGAATTATAACAATAATGAACAAATTATTGTACAAATAATCAAATGCTTCACATCATGGATCTCTGTGCAAGTAGTCAGTTTAACAGATATATCTAGTAATGCTGTTATTATGAAAGCATGTATGGTATTGACTTGTAATGATTCTTCATCTAATATTCATGATGCTGCTACTGATTTAATTTGCATGATTCTTCAAAGTATAATGGAAAAAAATGATCGTAATGAACTGACAAAATTGGAGATGGAATTGTTTACAGGAATAATTAGATTAGAAGACTGTTATCACATGTCTGTAGCTCATGAAAATATTGAGAAATCCTTAAATTATAGCCGAATATTCACAGAACTGGCAGATTGTCTGTTTGATAAAATTATAAATGAATCTACCGACCCTGCAAATCCTTATTTTGCATTGAAGATTTTGGATTTAGTTTTAATTTGTGTGGGTCATCATGATTATGAAGTGGCTGAAGTGACTTTCAATTTATGGTAATAAATGATATACTTTTGTATTCCACGTTAATCTTTCAATTGTTTGTTTTATATTAAAATTAAATTAAATTTTCCTACATACCTAAATCTCTAAACAATATCTGATCAATGAATATAGATCAATTTTTTAATTGTATTATTTTATTAATTCAAGGTTTAGATTGGGTGAAGATATTTTCAATCGAGATTCTCGAGTTCTAAATTCAATATTTGCCCCATATGTGGATCGGTTAATTAATGCTCTAAGAAAACAATGCCAAATGGATTCAGACTTCGAAGGACTCTTAGAGGAAGGAGATGATTTTTATGTACTTGCCATATTTAACAATTCACAATTGTTATTAATGTTCATCAATTAATTAATTCTTGATTATGAATTTTTAGGACTTTAGATTGAAAGTACGAGATTTAATTAAAGATGTAGTTTTTATAATGGGTTCAAGTACTTGTTTTCGTCAGATGTTCACATTGATACAAGAAACTGGTGATAGTTGGGATTCTATAGAAGCTGCTTTATTTATTATGCAAGCAGTCGCTAAAAATATTTTACCGTGAGTTTGACTTAATTATTATCATAATTAAATTATTAATATTAGTTTACTTAATATTAATGTACTTATCTGTTAGAGATGAAAATGAGGTAGTCCCAAAAGTTGTGGAAGCAATTATGAATTTACCAGAAAATACTCATGTTCAAGTGAGGCAAACATCTATTATTTTGTTAGGCGAATTATGTGATTGGATAGAAGTGCATTCGGAATCTTTACAACCTATTTTGAATTTTTTATTATATAGTCTCCAACAAAGTGGAATAGCTAATGCTGCAGCAACTGCTTTGCAAAATATTTGCTCAGCTTGCAGAACTCATATGGCAGTTCATATATCAGGTAAATATGAAATAAAATTGGAATCAAATGTAATTAAGTTATTATTCTGATGATCAATATTTTACATTAATTTGCTGTTGTGTTGCAGGATTAATTCAAATTGTAAATGCATTGGATTCCTTCCAAATAAAAAATTCTGGTGGAATTGGTTTATTGAAAGGTGTGGCTGTTATTATAGGAAGACTGCCTAATGATCAAATACCTGGAGTTATGAAAGATATTTGTATGGTTCAAGCTACTCCACTGTCGATATTAGTAGAAAATAATGTAGCCATTTGTAAAGACACAAAAGCTGATCCCACACTATGGCTTGATAGAATTGCAGTTATATTTCGTAATACAAATCCATTAGTAAAAACGAATGAGGAGCATCCTTGTTTACCAATTTTGACTGAATTGTGGCCACTATTTATCAAAGTATTTGAAAAATATCAAAGTGAGCTAAGAGTAATGGAGCGATGTTGCCGTTGCATTCGTTTTGCTATAAGATGCATAGGATCACAAGCATCTGTAATTTTAGTACCTTTAGCCAAACAAATGGTTTGCCAGTATAGAAAATATCAGCACACTTGCTTTTTATATTTGGGAAGCATTTTAGTTGATGAGTTTGGTCAAGATGAAAAATTGTGCAAATTGTCTCATTGAAATGTTGGAGTCATACATAGAACCTACTTTTCAAAAGTTGCAAACTTCAAATGGCTTAAAGGAAAATCCAGATACAGTAGATGATTTTTTTCGTCTGTGCACAAGATTTTTACAAAGAGCTCCAGTTAAATTTTTGCAGTCGCCTGCTGTGCATCCTATTATTGAATGTGCTCTTACTGCTTGTACCTTGGATCATAGGTATGTGATTGAATTGTTAACATATAATTCAATACAATTTTTTTTTTGTTAATTCAAATAAAGTTATGTGAAAATATTAGCAAAGAAGGTTTTATCATTTTCACTTAAAGGCCAATACAATATATGCATATTACTGTTATTATATTGTTCTATTTTTTTTTAGAGATGCAAATGCGTCTGTTATGCAATTCTTCTGTGATTTGATATTTGCTGGTCGTAATGTATCCAAACCTTATGCTGACATTCGAAGAAATCTTGTGGGAAACATTATACAGCAGCACGGTCAAGCGCTAGTCCTAAATCTGATTCATAGTAGTATATTCACTTTACATTCATATATGTTGGCTGATGTAGCCAATGTATTTCTGGAATTGATCAGTTCTGATAGACCGGCCACACAGAATTGGGTGGTTCAAGCCGTTGATGCATTACCACAAAGACAAAATGGTATTATTACTGCAACTCCTCAGCAATTACATGATTTTCAAGCTGTGTTTGCAAAGTAAGTAATCTTGTATAGTAGTTATTGAAAATAATATTTCACAAAATATTATTTTTCATATATTTTTTATATTTCAGAGCTGAAACTCCAAAACAAATTAGTATTGCATTAAGAGAACTTGCACGTCTATATTGCTAAGAATTTTGTATCAAATTAATACAAGAAAATAATAGTTTTTAATTTTCACTTGACAACGTACTAATTTGTTGTTAGTACTATAAGAATACTATTAATTAGGAACATGTTATTGAAAGAATGTAGATATTTCAATGAAATAAGCCAATTCAAAGATATTATAAGACAATGTACAAAATGTGAAATAAGCCAATTCAAAGATATTATAAGACAATGTACAAAATGTTTATAAAGTATGTATATAATTTATATGCAATAATCGAGTTGTGAATGTTTATGGTTTTATATAAGAATTAAAATATTAAAAAAGAAGAGACCTTTTATTATTTTTAAACATATAAAATTTATTTTATATTTCTAATGAAACTGTTAGAATTCGCATTGTTAGTTTTGCGCGACTATCGTCTTATAAAAAACAGCTAGTTATCCATTATTTTATATTTGTTATCCATTAGTTCATATTTGAAAATAGTATTTTGGAAACTCTTAAGAGTACGTGACCCACAGGTTGGAAATCGCTGTTCTAGATATAAAATAATTTTACCTAAAAGGTTTATTATTAGCAACGACCTTTATAATAGGTCCGAAATGATATTTACTAATAATAATGAATAATATTATTAAATATTTCAATATAAGAAGCTTAAGGAATAAAATAGATGATTTAGAAATAATTATGAATAAAAATGAAAATTACCAAATTTTAGTATTGACAGAAACTTGGATATACCAAGAAGAAGAAGAATACTTCAATTTAAAAAACTTTAGAGGTATTTACAACTGCAGAGAAAAGAAAAGAGGAGGAGGAATAGCGATATTTGTAAGAAATGAACTAAACTGTACTGTCATAGAACATAATAATAAAAATAACATAAACTTATTCGAAAAGAAGTAACAAATGAATTAGCAAACAATATTATAAAACTGTATAAAGCCGATTTGCATAAATAATAAATAAATAAATAATTAAATAAATAATAAATAAATATGAACCCTGCTATAAAGTTTATTGTTATTTACAACCCTCCGAATAATAATAAACAAGATCTGATAAATTTAATAAAAAAAAATAGAAGAAAACGGTAGAAATACAATAATAATAGGTGATATGAATTTAGATATAATTCCAAACAATAATAATATCAAATTGTTACAAAGATATTATAGAATCATCAGGATACAAAATAATAAATAATATAGATAGCCAATACACCACAAGTGAGACTCAAAACACTTAATCCATAATTGACCATGTTATATCTAATTATAAAAAGAAGATTAATATATAAATAGAAGACACAGAAATATCTGATCACAAAATGATAACAGTATTTATACAAAATACGCCGAGAATCAAACCAAAAATGCATATAATAATTAGATATAGCATAGATTTAGAAGGATTAGAAAAGACAATAGCTTGTAAGTTAGACTCTAAAATAGTGGACGAATTAGAGGATTTAATAAAAATTATACAGGATGCAGAAAAAGAAAATAAGACCAAAGAAACAATAAGAGCCAGAGAAGATACCTGGATAAAAGAAGAAATTATTAACTTAATGAAATACAGAAACAAATTCTGTATTTCATTCTACAATTCTACAATAATTTAAAGAAATACAATCTAAATGAAGTAAGCAAATATAATGCCATAAAAATAAAATATAATAACATAAAAAAAGATATAAAAAATATGATCTACAAAACAAAAAGACAAAAAGACTATACTATTTAGAGGAAACAAAAAAATGTGAAAGTGCTATCGAAAAATATGGAAACTAATAAATAAAACATTAGGAGGAGGAAAAAATAAAAATGAATATAAAGAAAATATTCATCTCTGTCTGACTGAGATATGAAAATAATGTATATATGTAAATAAAATAAATAAAATAAATTAATATTCATATTTCGATTTCAAACTAAATGCGTAACGTCGATTGCATGAGCATCTACAGTACTTTTATGTTGCTACTTGCGATCTCATTTCGTTTTAATGTATCAACTTCACAGCTGTTTAATTTAAAGACGGAAAGTTCGGTCTGCCGGCAGACTTAGAAAACGGGGTCCATATATTTATAAAAGACAAATATGTCATTTATTATATTTTATTATTATTTAAAGAAAAGTTAAGAAGTTTATAAACTATGTGAGGTGTTCATAAACTTACAAATTGTAAATGTCGTATGCAAATAAATATGTTCGCAATTGAGTATGTTGGTGTGCTATAGATTTTGAAATAGTGATTATAGTGTTATAGGATTATAAACTTTGATGGATCTAGGTAAGCTCATTAATGATTTTAATAATCACGCTATAAATATCACCAGATAGAAAAATTTCAATGCACTCTTAAAAATTTTGAAAATACGTTTCGAATGTCATTTTCGGCCTGAATTGATTTTTTTTGAAAATAAAGCACTGAAATTTAACAAACCTATTTTTTTACATGGGATCATTTGATCCAGTTTTTAATATATTAAAATAAATATGCATTAGTTGCATCTTATATGCATATCTTCAACTATCCTTTAATACTACGCCAATGAAATTTCCGAACTATATACGCAGTAAAATCAAAATTCAAATTTCTGTATTATGTAATTCTTATTGATGTTGAAAATTAAGTTATTAAATTGATTTTGAATCCGTTATTCGAATACATTTTAGTTGCATGTTATCTATTTATTTCAATATATATGAAAGAACTTATATAATTTATTTTAAATTAGTTTTTGAATTTATTTTGCAAGAAAGAAGTAGATGTATTAAAACATGATTTATTTTTGACGACTAAAGTTAAATATGTTTGGCATCATCGCAAGTATCATGTCGCGCAATTTTTTACGGACTCATACAGTAAGAGTTTAAAAAAAACTTATTTTTAATAATATATTTATATCTGTTTTTATATAAAACAATGCAACATTATAGAACATATTGGTTGTGCTGTCTTTTTCATGTATTTCATATTTGGAAAAAAGCAAAAATGTTATATAAAAATTTCTCTCAAATATATATATTCCATGGAAGTTGGAGATTATACCGGTCACATTATATAAAAATTGCTGCTAATATATCTTATAATTTACAATTTTAACAAGGAAAATGAGACTATCATAGCTAAGGAACAAAAATCTTCTATATATTAGATTTTGAAAAGTTGCATTATAGAAAGAAATTTTCTTTGGGTCCAGCGATTGTTTCTAATATATATTATAATTTATAATTTTATTAAGAAAAAAGAGATTTCCAATGCTTTAAATTGAAGAAAATAACTGAAGAATCCGAATCTATTTATTAGAAATTAAATTCTTTACTTACATATGCAAAAAATTAAAATTTATGTGTATATTGATCAGATGTAAAACTCTGAGAATGATGATTTTATCTATTATTTTATTTCTGAAACTATGATGGGATTTTTTTTTCCAAATTTTACTTTTAATATTTGGAGATTAAATTTCCAAATTTAATTTTTAATTTTTCTAAGTTAAATGCACAAATGTATAACTGCAAACTTTTCTTATGAGGTAATTTATAGGTATTAGCCTACTTGTTAATTTCAGATACAGTTTTTTTAATATTACAAATTGAAAAATGCATAATATTATTATATATATATATATATTATATATATATATATATAATACACTTACTGTGCATGATAGATCTTCAGATTTGCAAAATCTATTTTGATTTATTATTTAGGACATAGAAATGTCAATCCCGGAAGAATTACATTGTGTAGTCAGAAATCCAAACACAGATTAGAATTTATTTTAAAAGCAATATATTATATTGTTTCAAGTTTTTACTTCTCCAAGTTAGTATTAATTCTGGTATTAGTCTTGATAGAGCAATCAGTATATACATTTGTAGAAATTTTGTATGTTTAGATTAATATTATCAAGGCAATAATTCCAAATTCTTATTATATTTGGTACATTTATGATTATAAATAAATTGCTAAATTATAATTCATATTTTTTATAGAGTTAATGAAGCTCTTAGCTTTATATATTTTTATAAAATGGATTTTTATTATTTTATAATATGAATTACTTATAATATTCAGAATCTAGAACATTTAAAATTCAATGAATATTTCTCTTATATATATGTATATAATTCAATTGTGGTTGTTGTATTATTTGTAGTGTTTCAGTTGAATTATTTTTGGTAAATTTATTATTTTATATTATTTCTGTGATTTTCGGTCCGCCCCTGTGTATAGAGTGAGCGCCCGGTTAACTCGTATTCTGTAATACAGGAATAAACGTCGGTCTATTTCTGAACGCTCCAGGCCGCCTCGACTTAAAATTAAATTTATTTTCAGATTGAATAACTAAAACCCGATTTACAACAACGCACTGTAAACATGTAGTGCACTAAACGACCGGCACTATTTCTTCACTTCCTTATAATTATTATTTTGGCTTCAAATCTAAAAGGAAACATTAACTGAAAGGATAATTTCACGTGGTGAAAACCGATTATGAACGAACTTTTCTCCGTTGATTTTTCAAACGACGACGTTATTTTTAAATTTGTTTTTCAGGATTTTTTATTTTTTATTATTTAAATTGCTCTTAGAAATATTTTCAGAGCTCTATGAACTGTTGTGATGTATTTTTTACTACCAAGCTCTATTAGAAAGCATTCCAATGGTTTGTCCATTCTCTTCGCAAAGAAATTGTTAATTTATATCCTTGTGAAGTATGATGTCGTTTAATCTCGATAAATCTTATTCAATTTCGATTCGTTCGAATCTCGTTCGAATCTCTTTCTAATCTCTTTCGAATCTCGATAATATCGTTCAATCTCGTTTGACAAAAAATCTCGAAATATAACAAGAGGGGGGCCGGCCTAGCAAGATATCACATATATTTTTTGTTTTATCTCAATTAAAAAAAAAACAATTTTTTAAAAATGTTTGAAAAATATTACGATTTTTTCTAGTTTGTAATAATAAAAGTGATGTTTGGTGAGGGAATCACCAAGGGGGAGGATGAGCCCGAAAATTCAAAAAAATTGTTCACGTGATTAATGGACGCCCCTAAAGGCTATTTTTTCATAAAAATATATTCAGAGTTATGTTTTTTGCTGGATATAATATATAGATATAAAATATATTTTTTGTGAAATTAGCGTTTTATTTAAAAAATCTAATAACAATTCCAAGGAACTACATCACAGTCGAACATAGAACACATAGTTGTAATATTAAATATAATATAATTATATATAATATCTGCTGTTCAAATATAAAAAAAATGTATTATTATCCAACCCCCTTCACAAATTAGATTCAGAGTATATTATTGCATTTTGGAGTTTCAGACTTAAAAGAACTAAACTCCTTGAATTAACTGAATAGTTATTAGTTTACTCTAATAGTTACAATTAGATTTAATTTTATTTTTAGTGTTTTTTTTATTATTATTCATTATATTTATAGTTCGAATTTTTCATATTTTGTTCACCAATACAAGATCTACTATAGGACAGCTTTTTTAAAAGCCAGTATATTCAACTATATCAAACCAAAGACATAGAATTAATTTGTATTAAAAATAAAAAAGAATGTTCTGTATTATATAATTGTAATTTTAGATGGAAATCATATGGACCCCGGTTCAAGTCAAGCGATTTGCCTGGAAAACGAAACCGCAACTCTTGTATTTCACTTACCACCAAGGAAAAGTGATGGAAACTACAATTATACAATGTAAGTACTTATTAAATGAAATTTTCTATCTGTAATAAATTTAGTTTGCTGAAGCTAATATTTCTGTAAGAATCTCTCCATGTGATATTAAAATAGGATTTATTATTTGTTATGCTGACACGCTGTTTGCCATTGGGAATGTTTCGCTAAATTATCGTTAATTAGTCCCTATATCATAATAGACTATTCTAAACATCTAACTAACTAATAGACATGCCTGTGGTCTAACAGTAAAAGCTTATAATTAGCCTGAACTGAAGTCATCAGTTTAATTAGATTATTTTTGACTGAGTAGCAATGGATGCGTTTGAGAAATGTTCAGGAGCAATAAGAAATGATAAATGATAGTTTGACCCACGAAATCATTATTCATATTATATTGATAATGAGGCTCTAGATTTATGATAGTTATAAATTTAAGGTCACCAATACCTCCCGGATTGATGGCTCGAAAAGTCACGGATTTTCACCTTGGGTGGAATATTTTATTTTTATTTAACAATTTAAATATATTTCAATTACACCTATTACATATTTTATTTACGCATTAGAAGCTCTATTACTTATTAAAGAATTTTATAAAAAGGCCAGAAAAATATAAAAGCTTTGTACTAATCAAGTACTCGTTGTCAGTAATTTTGATTAATTAATTTCGATTCACTTAATAAACAATTATAATAATTATTATAAAAAAAAAATATTATTTAAATAAAATATACAGAAAATACTATTTATGTATATTTTATTTAAATAATATATTTTTTTAAAAAAAAATTACGTGAGCATCCATAAATCGTTTTTTTTTAATTTATACCATTTTTTTATACCACAACAGACAGATTTGTATTGAACATGGGCTATCGAAAACATTCTGATTTGCATTTGAGTTTGAAGTTCTAAATATTTTCAAATTGAACACAAAGGTGGCATTGCTTTTTAACTCTCTATATTCTGAAAAAATGTTATTATTAATTGTGCCTTAATCAAATGAAAATCTGTTGTTAAAAAATGCATGTGTACTAGACAGTATAATAAAAATAATACACATTATTTACATTGTCAAAAATATCAAACCTTGACACCATTGAGGTAAGACGCTTTGAGGCTTGCTAGATAAATGCTTATAAATTCTTTTTGTTTGCTAAATTTTTGAAAAGTTTGTGCTTTATTTCTTACATTATTTATTATTTTCATTAAATTTTAATGCACTTTAATTTAATTTATCAACAGCGGAAGAGCTTCTTACTGACGGGTAACTTTCTGAAACTTTACTTATTTTAGTTATCTTGAAAATTACTTACAACATATAGGTAATTTTTTGAAATATAATCTTTTAAATTATCAAACACTAAACGTACCATGATTTATTTTAAAAATAAACTACTTATATAATTTATTTTGGTTATAGTATGTAATATAATACACATGGTTTATGGGGTTTTCACACTAAGCTTTAAATAAAATATCTTCAGAACTATTGTATAGGAAAGTAATACTTATTCTAATTTAAAATCAATTTCTCTGAAAAATAGTTTTTTTTTAATAAAATTATTGTTTTTTTTGTTGGTTATATAATTTCAATGGATAGAACTATTGAATTATTTTTAACATATGGATATCAAACTGTCGGATTATTCATAGAGGTTTTAATAGTATTTCTATACATTTGTTACTAATGTTAAATATTTGCATACATTTCTATTTTCATTAACATAAAGTGAAGTTTTCTAGACCATTAAAATTATGTTTGTTTATTAAGCTATTTTATATTTTACTGAATTTTATCATTCCATATTCTAATTATTATTTCAAATTAACGACCATTACACAACCTCGTGTCTCGTGTCAAACCAGCGTCTGATATATGGGTTATTTTTGGATGCATTAGGAATAATAATAACAAGCTTTCTTGTTAGAAAAATAAATGACTTAATAATCGAATATTCTGCAATCATACCAAATAATGTTTTGTATGTTTGTTAATATTGTCGCAATAGTGATCAATCAGGCGCGCAAAAGTATTCGTCGGCGTCCCGCGATTTCGAATAAGCCGAATCAATTTGAACCGATCCCGCTCAAGTTCAGTAGCGAAACAAACGTCAGCCCGTGGCGTAAAATAGCTTTCCATATTATAGTCGACGGACACTTATCCTCATAATAATATCTAAAAGTAATTTCTAACATTTCATTTCTCCCAAAACAATTTAAATTCATATCAGTGAGCGTATGTCAAACCTACTGACGTGCTGTACAAAAACTTAGTCGACTGTACTTAAAATAAAAAAAAAAAACAAAAAAATATTTTCTTACAAGTTTTTTTTAAATAATCCATTATAAATTGTTTATATTACCGATTAATCAACAGCATTCACTGTTAAAATTTCTAAGTGTTATGTTGGTGTATCCCGTTAATACTTCTGAGGAATCTTCCTTGTTTTATTTTGGAGAAGATATTAGCGTTGTGTGTATGACTTTTGTGACCAAATGAGTTATTTTTGATATTAAAAATTTGGCGCACAAGTTATGGGCAGCCAATGCTGTAAATGCGACGCCAATAATGGAAAATATGGGGCAAGATCAACAACTTCGTCGACTTACAGGAAGAGGTGATGTAAACAGGCTTACTTTACATTTTTAAATGAAAAAGCTGCTTCAAAGAGGCTCTCATGCTTTTACTTGTAAAGCTCGAGCTATTTTACTTTTTCTATATTTTTTAATATAATCTTAATGAATTTCTATATCAAATTTAGTCTTTTAAACTCAGGTGAGCATTCAGTGCTTGATTATCGCTATCATAATTAAAATTGAATTGAATGTAGAAGTAACAATTAATTAGTATAAAGTTCAAATACTAGTAAAGAGTTCAAATATATTACGTTTACCTTCAAATTCATAGCAAATTCTGTTTTAAAATGTTGTACAATATCATATCATAAATCATAAAATGTTACTGTTGTGAAAATTGTATGTATTTCATACTGATGTTTTTGAAATTAAAAATTAAACACGTGCTCGCGTTTACTTTGCATACACAAAGGCACTTTAAATAATTTAGATACTTTAAACATTGCTTAAGCAATATATTATTTTTACTATTTGTTTTTTATATATTCGTATAAAATAATTTATTATTTTTATATAACATATTAAATATATATTTTGAGGAGATTAATAATTGCTCAATATACATTATTTAATCTTCTAGATATTAATTTCATTTAAATGGATTAGAAAATGATATTTTTGCGATATTTGTTTTTTTAAATTTAATTACGTCGTATAACAAGAAATCAACAAAGTTTGGAAATCTGTTTAAAATTCAATTTCATAATCATTATGTTTTTCTTTAAAAAAATAGATTATTTTATATACTATATAAAAATGGATTATTTTATACATAATTAATTTACTATACTCATCTTATCATAATTTTGAAATCAATGTTCTATTCAATTCTTATGATCAGTGAAAAGAATTTCAATTATAATCGTTTGCAAGAATCTAAATTTCGCACACTCGGCCAATACTAATATTTCATTTTCGTTGTATTTTATCATGTTTACATGTATTTCGAAGTATTTGAGTTCTGTCTGATGACACTGGGATAAATATAAACGCATATCCTAAGTTTTGATTTTAGTTGGAACCGTCGCACTGGCACATATATTATGCAAGGATTTACGTATTGCGAACGCACATGTTCGCGAACACATTCATACTAAAATTAAATATTACGCTATTTCGCGAAGAAAGATTTTTCACAGTTTTTATTATATGTAAATAGAAGACTGATGAATAAATTTCCCAGCACATTTTCTTGTTGTTCATTTTACTTAGCAATCTATGTGAGATAATTTTGGAATATATATTGCACTTCCGATGTTAACTTTTAATGCATTCTATATTTTAAGAATTCAATCTCATTCTATTCTCTGGCACATGTCGATTTATAACATATAGGAATATTGGCTTAGTATGCAGTCGATAGCGCCGTCGTCTATTTTTAAATGATTTCTTACATATAGAAGAATAATAAACTTGAAATTTCAACATGGTTTCAACTTTATGTATTGGTATAAATCAGGATTCTTATAAGATATAAAAATAAAAATTTAAAAATAACTAAATAAATCAGAACATGCATGAATTATGAAAATGCCTGTCACATAAAAAACATACCTTACATTTTCAAATGGAAGTATAGAGGCTTCGAAAGCTATTAATGCTTTCACTTCCATAAGTTCATAATTGTCGAGTGATTTTCCTTTACCGATGTATCGTTCCTGAATCTTCAGAAGCCGGGATGGTTTTCCGATCGACCCGAGCGACAGGGTCCGCCTTTCGGAGCGTCCAGGAGCAAAGTCGGGCTCTGAGGTCAGGCTCACGGTTCAGGCTGTTCGCCAGGGCGACGCCGGCCGCTACACGCTCAGCGCACACAGCGCGGCGACGGCGGATGTGGAAGCGAGGGCTACCGCCGAATTGAAGGTTTTAAGAAAAGCGTTCCAGGAGGGAGAAAATCCGCCGGAATTGCTAAAGAGACTGACCGACTTGGCGGTGAAAGTTGGAACTAGGACGCGTTTGGTAGTGCAGCTCAAAGACGCAAAGGATGCGACGGTTAGATATTGAAATGCACTTATACTATTTTTTAACTTTGTAGCGTTAATGGTGCAGACTTAAGAATATATTATCTGTACCTTTGATATAGGTTACATGGTTCCACAACGATATACGCCAATTGGAATCTGAACGTTTCCGATTGGTAAATGAGGGTTCTCTGTTTTGCTTAGATGTAGCTCCAGTAATGCAGCAGGATGCTGGGTACTGGACTTGCATGGCTGAAAACACCAGTGGAAGATCTAGTACTGGTTGTAATCTTAATGTTTTAGGTAATATTTTAAGCATTTTATTAGAATATTTTAATAATAATGTAAAAGTAAATTAAAACCATATATTACTTTTAGTCCCAAAGGCTTATAAGAAACCCGAGTTTTTAGAAGAACTTAAAGCGTTATTAACTGAGTTTGGTACGGTATCATTAGAATGTAAAGTTGTTGGTGTGCCGACTCCAGTGTTACGATGGTTTAAAGATAATAAGGAAATAAAGGTGAGAAATAAATAGTTCATTAATACGTAAAAATGTTTAAATGTGATTTTTAAAATTAGGCTGGAGATATATTTGCTTTGACTGCAAACCCCGAAGACCCTACTTCTCTCGGTACATATACGTGTGAAGCAGTAAATTGTATGGGTCGCACTTATTCCTCGAGTAAAGTCCATGTTGTTGGTAAAGGTAGCAGAGAAGGAAGTTTAAAACCTGTTGATATGTATGTTCTGTTTTCAATATACAATAGTTTACGATTTATTTAAGATTTATTAGTAAAAAATCTACATATAATAAAGTTTGGAATTAAAATATAATGAATATTGCAGTTCGACGGGCGTTGGACCTCCGCCAATATTCACGCGTGAGCTCCAAGGTACCAATGTCAAAATTGGTGATTCATTTAGCCTTTCTTGTCAAGGTAAATATGCAATCTATAGTTCTCCGAATAGAATTGGTTAAAATTCCCGAAATAATGATATGTTTAGCAGAACATATCTTAGTGTATGGTTTACAGAAAAATAAAATAATAAAAATAAAAATATGAAAATGAATTACTTAGACATGTTTGCTTCATTTCAGTGATTGTACCCCCTTGGCCAAAAGTAGTCTCATGGTACAATAGCGCGGGTCGTATAGATCCAGATGAGCCGGATTCGCGATATAAAATAATCGAGGATCCAACTATAGGGTCATTAGGATTAGAAATAGTTTCAGCTCAAAAGAAAGATTCCGGAGAATGGAAATGTGTGGCTACAAGCCGAGACGAATGCGTTAGCATATCGACTTGCAATGTGCAAATGGAAAGTGAGTTTCTTTCAATTTATTACATCGATTTTTTAACAACGTTATAAGTTTTTTTGTGTTTCCCAAAGTTCCTAAGAATTATAGGGCGCCTCGCTTCATGGAGAGTCTTAAAGCGGTGCTCACAGAAGAGGGCCTTGTATCTTTTGAATGCAAAGTTGTCGGTTTTCCAAGTCCCGTTCTCCGCTGGTTCAAAGATGGTGTAGAACTTAAACCTGGTGATGTTTATCAATTGACTGGCACAAATTCGCTTGGTTCATACTGTTGCATTGCTAGGAACTGTATGGGAGAGTCAAGCAGCACAGCTGAATTGACAATCGAAGACATTCAAAGCCAATTGAATGATGAAGAAAGAATGCATTTGTTCTCTTGGAATCAAACTCCGAAATTTTTACAAGGGCTCAAAAGCTGTGAGGCAAGGATAAATGAGCCTTTCAAATTTACAGTACAAGGTAATTTTAACTGTTTTAATTTTATTAAAATACTCTTTTCTGATGTCGACTTAACTTTTAGTGAATTTAATTTCTGAGCCGATATTATCCTGGTATCGTGACGATCATCCGGTCGAACAAAGTGACCGATATAAAATTACTCGTGAAAAAACAGGATTTTGTCATTTAGAAGTGCAATGTCTTGAATTCCTCGATCAAGCCGAATGGAAGTGTGTAGCTATGAATGATTTCGGCCATAGTATCACGTCGTGCTTTCTCAAACTTCTTATTCCTCGACATTTTAAGAAACCTAAATTTTTAGAAGCCTTGCGAGCAGTTTTATCTGACGAAGGTGCTGTAAATCTTGAATGCAAAGTAATAGGTGTACCTCAGCCTGTTCTACTTTGGTATAAAGATGGTGAAGAACTGAGACCTGGTGATATTCATAAAATTATATCAGGACAGGACGGTACTTGTTGTTTAGGGACATACACATGCGAGGCTAGAAATTGCATGGGCGTTGCAGCCAGCTCCGCCTCATTATTAGGCTATGAAAATGCTCAAAAGCAGGAGCAGAAATTACAAGAGGTTGCTTTGCAAAAAAATACATCTCTTTCAACAATTCAAGAAGAAAGAACATCACAGATGTACGATACACCGGTGGGTGATATAACGCTAGACGAGCGCGGCGACGTATCCTTTTCTTTTGATGGCAAGGAGGTGTCTGTTTCATTGTACGAAACTCCGGATTTAACTGAAGAAGAGGCTTTGCAGATAATTGAAATGTATGCTGATCAATTATCAGAAAATGTAACTGAACATAATGTAGTTGAACTACCCAACCTCAGATTTGTTAAGGAAACTTCAACTTCGGGAAATTTACTGATGGAAGCTGTAGTCATTGATGTAACGTCTCCTAATAGCTTAGGCATTGCAGAATGTGAAGATTTACGTACAGAAATGGATGTCGAAGATTTATCTTCAATAACCGATTCTAATATGCCTACGTCCCCAACGGATGATAAATCGATAAGTGAAGCTGATGTGAGACGTTTAACAGATGAATACATGAAACAGATGAGTGAAAAACTTTCTGGCGAAACACCTCCTGCAAGACCGCCAAGAAAATCTGACTCTCAAAAGACAGCTGAAGAATTTTTCAGCGTTTCATCCCCTCCTAAAGAAAAGAACGATATTGATGAAGTTACTGAGTGCATTAGTGAATCAGACCCATTAACTTTTGTAAGTGCCAAAAATTCAGAGTCTAAAAGAAAAAGTGATATTATTGAGGTTGATATATTAAATATTGATAGAGCCGATATAGAATTGAAAATCGATCAAGCAATTAAAGAAACTATGGAATTATTCCAAGCAGATGCAAGACTAACTTTAAATGAAATTACTGAATATATGGAAGCCGAAGAAGAAAAATTACCACTTCGAGATTTATCAGGGGAGGAAGGTGATGGTTTAGTATTTGCAAATTTGCAAACAGAACATTCAATGGATTCTTATCAATGCAATAAAACTGATTTAGCTTCACTAGAATCCTATCTTGATGTTGTTGTCAATCATCTAGCAGCTGTAGAAGAAGAAGTATCTGTGCAAGCTACTATGATGGTGGTAACAAAATCAGCAGATAAAAGTTTTCAGGTATTAAATAGCATTGTAGAACCAATAAAAGAGATTCAAAATGTGCTACATCTCGTAAAAGCGCAAGATGGCAAATATAATTCAAAAACTTTTGATATGATGCTTAAACCGATAAAACATTTGCAACAGGGTTTGACCATGATTGAAAAATGTATTGAAATTGATGAAGTTGGTCATACATTAGTTCAGAGAACTTGCGTTTGTATAGTAGATACAGTGAGTAACCAATTACAGCAAGCATTTGAACTTATGAAAAAATTTTCGCCGCCAGAAGTAAGCGCAAACTCTTCTAATGAAGCTAATTTAATATTGACCGATATGCAGACGGGACTGAAACTTTGTCAAGATACTATAAAATCTCAGGAACTGATACGAGAAGCTGCTGATCTGGAAGCAGCTAAATATACTGAAGAATCTATAGCACGAATTCAGAATGATACGAATAAATTATTAAACATAACTGATAGCTTCAAATTGTCTGATGAAAATATTGGAGCAACACAATTGAAACATGTTTGTAGACCTGTAGTAAAAATACAAGAAGCATTGGAAAGTATTGAACATGAACTTTCTTTAGAAGATCACGAAGAACAAATGTTTCCAAATATCAATAATTTTATTCTAGAAAAAATTTCAGGACCAATTGAAGAACTGCAAAAAGAAATTGCAACAATTGAAGAACAAAATAATATAGATAAGATTGATAGACATATTAATGTAGCAATATTGGACGTAGTTACTCCTCCTATGTATGAATTAGCTAAAGGTTTGCAATTACTTAAAGATCAAGCTGAGAAAGAAAATGCTGGAATTATAAGTATAAATATCGTAGAATCGCTTGTTCCCCCGTTACAAGAAATTCAAAATGGTTTAGCTAGAATTGGATTGGAAACTGAAGAAGGTTTAATACCTAGTTCAGATTCTATTTCTGAGCATTCTGATCACATTAAAATATTAAAAAAAATGAGTCAAATACTAATATATTTCAAAAGTAATATATACGCTTAGAAACAAGAGTTCGCCCTGAACTGACAAATTCTCTAGATAATTTGCATTTGTTACTTTCTAAAATTTCCGAGAATCTAGCAGTTCATAGTTCTGGTGAATGCAATGCTGAGATTTTCAACATTTTAACAAAGCCTTTGGAAAACATAAATTCTGGTCTAAGACACATTGAAGAAAAATCATCGTCCGGAATTCTATCTGATTTGATCGAACATTTTGTTGACTTGGAAGAGAATATTGTCACAAGCATAAAAACATTATCGAAGAACCATACTCAATCTGATAAAAATATAAATAACCTAGAATCTATGTTAACTATACTGAACAATATAAAAAGCGAAATTAAAATTAATGATAATGATATTTTACAAAACGAATACGAAAAGAAAGTTAAGAATGAAGATAAAACGAAAGTTAAAATGTTGCATGAACAGTTACAAAGTATTAATGTCGCAGCTGAATATTTACAAGAAATTGATCATACGTTAGATGGGATTGAAAAATGTGTTGAAGTTTTGCAGTTTAAAAACTGTGAGCTGAGGAATAGTATTGATGTTAATAACAGTATTCAATTACTATCCGCACCGTTAAAAGAACTTCATGCCTGCATTGAAAAATTAAGTACGAATCAAGAAGTTATAGAATGCCTGAAAGTTAAACCAAAATGTGAACTATTACCTGTAGGCAGTATTGAAGAACCTTTGCGAAATCTAAGTGTAGTATTATCAATATTGGAATGCTCACAGACTACTTCAATCAAAGATGAAGATTTAAATCAGCAAACCGCCGATTTAATAAGGGTTCCGCTCGAAGAATTGAATACAGGAATATCTGCTATTCAAAAACAAATTCTTTATAGTCCAGTTAAAGAGATTTCTCAAAAAATAACAGAATTAGAGCTAAGTAAGCCGCTAGAAGAATTACAAAGTTGTATTGAGAAAATTGAACAAGATTTAAACATAGCGTCAGCAGTCAAAACTATGAAAAAACTTGAAAACTGCTTAGAAATGGTGACTAAACAAGAAAAAATAATTAAGTGTGATATAACAATAGATGCTATTATACCGTGCTTGCAAAAATTACAATCATCGATTCAAAAAGTAGTCGAAAATAAAACACGTAGAAGTTCGTTAGATCAATTAATACTTAAATCTGATTTGGAAGCATTAAAAAAGTTAGCAATACCAATTACTGAGTTGGAAAATGCTTTGAAAATAACTGAAGTTGATGTGAAACAGCCATTTTCAGAATTGGAAAATTCTCTTGCTAATTTACATTCATGCATAGATGAAGTACACAAAAATGTATTTTCGTCATTAGAGTTAGCGCATGAAACACCAGACTTAAGTTTATCAAATTCTCTTTTAGAACTTCAAAAATCTTTGGAATGTACTAAAAAGAATGATGTTATAACTGAAGACAGTGAAAAACATAACACAGCTGTTGATACACTGGAAAAATTGGAAAAATGTATTGTCATAATGCAGGAACAATCGCATGAAATTCAAACGACTAATGCACCAATTTCTCAGCTGGCAGTGCCTTTGCAAGAGTTACACGCCACCTTGAAAGAAATTACATCCAGCGAGACAAGAATTCTAGAGCCTGTAGAACAATTAAAATTAAATACAGATCTAGAGGTAATTAGCAATTTAGCTCAGCCCATAAGCGAATTTGTAGAAGCATTGGAATCATCTTACAATTTATGCGAACCTGCACAATCTGAACCGATGGTAGTCTCTTTTGAGTCACAAATTAACCATTTGCAAGCGAGTATTATTGACATACAGGAGCATGTCATTTCTATTGAACCTGAAAATTCAGCCGACGCTAAGTCTACCCTGGCTAAGCCGTTATTGGAACTACAGAAATGCCTATCTGATATGCAAAATATCGGCAAACAAGAAGTTATCATTGATAAAACTGATGTATTAATTACCAACATTAAGGATTGTGTTGAATTGATAGAAAATGAATTGAATTCAGTATCAAATAATGGTATTCAGACTTTGATAACACCACTACAGCAATTGGAATGCGTTTTGTTAAAAGACTTTAAAAATGATAAACTGGATCAAGCTAAACTGTCAATTGTAGAAATTTTAGAAAAACCTTTTTCTGAATTGAAGAATGCATTTGTAACACTCCAAAACGAAATTAGTTTATCTGCATTGCCTGCATTACCTTATTTGAATGACTTGAAGGTAGCCATTTCACAAATTCAAGTAGAATTGGATCCTGTCGTATCATCAGTGGAACAAAATGCAACATTTGCTGTTGTCTCGGATGTTTTACATAAGTTAGAAAATGCTATAGAAATCATAAATCAGCCGCAGTTATTTGAAATTATTACACAAAATAAATCATTGGCTAAAAATATAGCCAATGAAATAAATAATTGTTTGATTTGATTGATTTGCAAATCAATTCTGAAAATGAAAATATTTTCAGCAAGCCCTTGCAAAAATTACAATTGAATCTGTGTGATTTTTCTGAAAGTGTAGAAGTATTAGATAAGTCAAAAGATATTATTGAATTTAAAATATTAAACTCATTATCCCATGAGTTCGAAGAATTGAATAAAACGTTAACATCGACTGCTATTGCAAATAATAAGACTAAAGCCGACCAAAATGCCATCATGAACCAATTTAAGTCACTAGCTGAAACCATACAAAATATTATATCAGAAGATCTTCAAGCTTTAGAAGTATCATTTGTTCAACCTATATTAGAACTTGGACAATGTTTTACGTTATTACAAAAGGAAAATGAAAGCGTAGATCAATTTAATAAAGGTATTGAGAAAGCAAAAGGCATTGAAACAACTATCAATGAGATTGAAAAATGTATAGATGCTATTAAATCTCAGCCCATGATTAATACAGCAGATCAGAATTCTCTGAAAGATGAAATAGAATTTTTAGGTATGCTCGAAGACCCATTAACAAAATTGGAAAAAACTTTGTCAGCCTTTGTCAGCAGTTGCAACCAAAGTAGAGAAATCGGATGCTGATTCTATAATTAAATGCGATTTAGTTGAAGTAATGCAAGTTCTTGAGAAACCTTTGCAACAGCTTCAATATGCCATACAAGCCGTGCAAACCACTCCACCAGAAGAAGCTCAATCTAGAGACTCTTACACCGCGAAAGCAATTTCGATTCAATTGCAAAATTTACAGCGGTGTATTGCTTCTATCCAGCAACATGAAATATTTGAAAAGAATTTCGATTTGGAAATAATTTCACCGATAGCCCGAATTAGCTCAACCGTTAGTAGAACTTCAGAATTGTATCGCTATTATACAAGAACAAGATTTATTGAGCGGAGGTATCGAAGATATATCCACTGTGGATGAAGTGTCTGCCTTAACAACAGCAGCAGAATTAATTTGCAGCACCAGAGATGAAATTTGCGTGCAACACCCGGAAGTTTTGGAAGACATTGCCAAATTAGATGACTACAAAGCGGTTTCAGGAATTGAAAACGAATACATAGAACAAATAATAAATCAAGCTGACCTGCAAAAGTATTATCCAGAAATTATAAATTTATTCAATACAATGCACGTCTTTGCGTTACCTCTAGCACATTTGCAGTCTTGTTTCACGTTTAATATTGAAAATATTCTTAAAAACGAAAACAATATCAGTTATGCCAATAAAATTAATGGATTTATCGAAGAATTACAAAACTTTGTAGTAATAGCTCAAACGCAATCTAAATTGGGGTCAAATGAGGAACTCATAACTTTAAAAGATGTAAGCGATCTTTCCACACTTGAAGATCTTAGTCATAAAATAATTAGTGAATTAGAAAAAAGCAGTATCAGCAGTGATGAAGTAAGTTCATTTGTAAAATCATTGAAGACCCTAATATGCTTTGTTGAATTCTATAAAAAGCAGCTGATTAATTTAGAATCTTCAGCAACTGTTTTAAATGATTATGCTACAACTGAGCATCAGGTAGAACTGGAAAATGTTTTGGAGCTATCTCGAGAAGAAATGACTGGAACACAAGCAAAAGAAATTGAATGTGTAGAACAAAAGGCAGAACAGCATGGTCAACATGTTTTAGAACATGTAAATATGCCTACATCAGAATCTGCCACGACTATGAGTTTATTAGATAGCGTAACCTGCGAGTTAGCACAGACTAAAGACTATATTGTATTGCAAGAGGATAGTGTGGTTGAAACTGCCGAAGAAATTATTTTGATCATCAAAAACGAAAATGAAACTGAATGTGATAAGAAGACTGAAACAAAGTTCGAATTCGATGAAAAGGAAATGAACTTTGGAAAATTAGAGCTTGATGAAGAAAATAAAATCTTAGATGTAACAGCTAAGCTAGAAGAAGAAAACAAAATTAAGAATGAATCAATGGAATTCAAAGGAGAAGAGAAACATAGTGAAGAAGATGACGAGGCGAAAACTGTTGAGTTAAAACATGGGGATCAGGAGAAAATAAAAACTGAAAAGGAGAATGAGCAATTGGATCTTGAAGATGAAGCACAAATGAAAAGTAGAAAACAAACTTTGACAGAATCTGAATTACCTGATCAACTAATCCACGAAGAAGAAAAAATAGTTGCTATTGCCACACTGGAAAAATTAGAAAATGTATCGTTATCATGCAGGATCAATCGCATAAAGTTCAAACGACTAACGCACCAATTTCTCAGTTGGCAGTGCCTTTGCAAGAGTTACATGCAACTTTGAAAGAAATTACATCCAGGGAGACAAGAATTCTAGCTCCTGCGGAACAATTAAAATTAAATGCGGATTTAGAATTGATTACTAATTTAGCTCAGCCCATAAGCGAATTTGCAGAAGCATTAGAATCATCTTACACTTTACACGAACCTACACAATCTGAACCGATGATATTCTCAATAGAATCACAAATCAATCATTTACAAGCAAGTATTATTGACATTCAGCAGCATGTCATTTTTATTGAACCTGAAAACTCTCTCGATGCCAAATCTGCTCTGGCCAAGCCATTAGTAGAACTGCAAAAATGTTTATCTGAAATGCAAAACACAGGTGAACAAGAATTAAAACCAGAAGAAGAAAAAATATTGGTTGAATTGCAGGGTAAAAGCGATGGAACACAGAAAGATGAAAAATTGAGACCAATTGTAGAAGACAAAGCAAAAGCTGAACAAATGAACATTCAGGAAGAAGATAAACAGAAAGCTGTAGACTCTAACTTTGAACAAGACGAAATAAAAACTCAACAGCTAAAACTTGCAGAAGAAAAGAAAAAGATAGCCGAAAAGGTTACTCTTGAAGAAGAGAAAAAGACAACTGAAAAGCCAAAGTTTGATGAGGAAGAGAAAAAAAAAACTGATCAGCTGAAACTTGAAGAGGAAGAGAAAAAGAAAATAGAGCAGCTAAAACTTGAAGCGGAAGATAATAAGAAATCTGAATGCTAAAACTTGAAGAAGAGAAAAAGAAACCTGAAACACTGAGACTTGAAGAAGAAGATAAAAAGAAAACTGAACAGCCAAAACATGAAAAGGATGAGAAAAAGAAAGCTGAGCAGCTAAATCTTGAAGAGGAAGTGAAAAAGAAAACTGAAAAGCTAAAACTGAAGAGGAAGAAATTAAGAAAGCTGAACAGCTGAAATTTGATGAAGAAGAGAAGAAAACTGAACAGCTAAAACTTAAAGAGGAAGAGAAAAAGCAAGCTGAACAGCTGAAACGTGAGGAAGTACAGAAAAAGGAAGCTGAACAGCTGAAATTTGACGAAGAAGAGAAGAAGCAAGCCGATCAGCTGAAACGTGATGAGGAAGAAAAAATAAAAGCTGAAAAGCTAAAACTTGAAGAGGAAGAGAAAAAGAAAGCTGAAAAGCAAAAACTTGAAGAGGAAGAGCAACAAAAAGCTGAAGAGCTGAAACTTGAAGAGGAAGAGAGAAAGAAAGCTGAAAAGCTAAGACTTGAAGAAGAGAAAAAGAATGCTGAGGAACTAAAACTGGAAGAGGAAGAGAAAAAGAAAGCTAAAAAGTTGAAACTTGAAGAAGAAGAGAAAAGGAAAGCTGAAAAGCTAAAACTTGAAGGGGAAGATAAAAGGAAAGCAGAAAAGCTAAAACTTGAAGAGGAAGAAAAACAAAAAGCTGAAAAGTTGAAACTTGAAGAGGAAGAGAGAAAGAAAGCTGAAAAGCTAAGGCTTGAAGAAGAAGAGAAAAAGAAAGCTGAGGAACTAAAACTTCAAAATGAAGAGAGAAAGAAAGCTGAAAACTTAAAACTTGAAGAAGAACAGAAAAGGAAAGCTGAAAAACTAAAACTTGAAGAAGAAGAAAAACAAAAAGCTGAAAAGCTGAAACTTGAAGAGGAAGAGAGAAAGAAAGCTGAAAAGCTAAGACTTGAAGAAGAGAAAAAGATAGCTGAGGAACTAAAACTTGAAGAGGAAAAGAAAAAGAAAGCTGAAATGCTAAAACTTGAAGAGGAAGAGAAAAAGAAAGCTAAAAAGCAAGAACTTGAAGAGGAAGAGAAAAATAAAGTTTTGAAACATGAAGAAGAGAAGAAGAAAGCTGATAAGTTGAAACTTGAAGATAAAGAGAAAAGGAAAGCTGAAAAGCTAAAACTTGAAGAGGAAGAGATACAAAAAGCTGAAAAGTTAAAACATGAAGAGGAAGAGAGAAAGAAAGCTGAAAAGCTAAAACTTGAAGAAGAAGAGAAAAAGAAAGCTGAAAAACTAAACTTGAAGACGAAGAGAGAAAGAAAGCTGAAAAGCTAAGGTTTGAAGAAGAAGAGAAAAAGAAAGCTGAGGAACTAAAGCTTCAAGAGAAATAAAAGGAAAGCTGAAAAACTGCAACTTGAAGAGGAAGAGGAAAAGAAAGCTGAAAAGTTGAAACTTGAAGAAGAAGAGAAAAGGAAAGCTGAAAAGTTAAAACTTGAAGAGGAAGAGAAACAAAAAGCTGAAGAGTTAAAACATGAAGAGGAAGGGAGAAAGAAAGCTGAAAAGCTAAAACTTGAAGAGGAAGAGAAAAAGAAAGTTGAAAAGTTGAAACTTGAAGAAGAAGAAAAAATGAAAGCTGAAAACCTAAAACTTGAAGAGGAAGAGAAACAAAAAGCTGAAAAGCTAAAACTTGAAGAGGAAGAGAGAAAGAAAGCTGAAAAGCTAAAACTTGAAGAGGAAGAGAAAAAGAAAGCTAAAAAGTTGAAACTTGAAGAAGAAAAAAGGAATCTTGAAAAGCTGAAACTTGAAGAGGAAGAGAAACAAAAAGTTGAAAAGCTAAAACATGAAGAAGAGGAGAGAAAAAAAGCTGAAATGCTAAGGCTTAAAGAGGAAGAGAAAAAGAAAGCTGAAATTCTGAAACTTGAAGAGGCAGAGAAAGAGAAAGCTGAGGAACTAAAACTTGAAGAGGAAGAGAGAAAGAAAACTGAAAAGTTAAAACTTGAAGAAGAAGAAAAAAGAAAAGCTGAAAAGCTAAAACTTGAAGAGGAAGAGCAACAAAAAGCTGAAAAGCTGAAACTTGAAGAGGAAGAGAGAAAGAAAGCTGATGAACTAAAACTAGAAGAGGAAGAGAAAAAGAAAGCTAAAAAGTTGAAACTTGAAGAAGAAGAGAGAAAGAAAGCTGAAAAGTTAAAACTTGAAGAAGAAGAAAAAGGAAAGCTGAAAAGCTAAAACTTGAAGAGGAAGAAAAACAAAAAGCAGAAAAGCTGAAACATGAAGAGAAAGAGAGAAAGAAAGCTGAAAATCTAAGACTTGAAGAAGAAGAGAAAAAGAAAGCTGATGAACTAAAACTTGAAGAGGAAGAGAAAAAGAAAGCTGAAAAATGTAAACTTGAAGAGGAAGAGAAAAAGAAATCTGAAAAGCTGAAACGTGAAGAGGAAGAGAAAAAGAAAGCTGAAAAACTAAGACTTGAAGAAGAAGAGAAAAGGAAAGCTGAGGAACTAACACTTCAAGAGGAAGAGAAAAAGAAAGCTGAAAAACTTGAAGACGAAGAGAAAAAGAAAGCTGAAAAGCTAAAACTTGAAGAAGAAGAGAAAAGAAAAGCTGAAAAGTTAAAACTTGAAGAAGAAGAGAAACAAAAAGTTGAAAAGTTAAAACATGAAGAGGAAGAGAGAAAGAAAGCTGAAAAGCTGAAACTTGAAGAGGAAGAGAAACAAACAGCTGAAAAGTTAAAACATGAAGAGGAAGAGAGAAAGAAAGCTGAAAAGCTAAAACTTGAAGAGGAAGAGCAACAAAAAGCTGAAAAGCTGAAACTTGAAGAAGAGAACAGGAAAGCTGAAAAGCTAAAACTTGAAGAGGAAGAGAAACAAAAAGCTGAAAAGTTAAAACATGAAGAGGAAGAGAGAAAGCAAGCTGAAAAGCTGAAACTTGAAGAAGAAGAGAAAAGGAAAGCTGAAAAGCTAAAACTTGAAGAGGAAGAGAAACAAAAAGTTGAAAAGTTAAAACATGAAGAGGAAGAGAAAAAGAAAGTTGAAAAGCTGAAACTTGAAGAGGAAGAGAAAAAGAAAGCTGAAAAGTTGAAACTTGAAGAAGAGAAAAGGAAAGCTGAAAAGCTAAAACTTGAAGAGAAAGAGAAACAAAAAGCTGAAAAGTTAAAACATGAAGAGGAAGAGAGAAAGAAAGCTGAAAAGCTGAAACTTGAAGAGGAAGAGAAAAAGAAGGCTGAAAAGTTGAAACTTGAAGAAGAGAACAGGAAAGCTGAAAAGCTAAAACTTGAAGAGGAAGAGAAACAAAAAGCTGAAAAGTTAGAACATGAAGAAGAAGAGAGAAAGAAAGCTGAAAAGCTGAAACTTGAAGATGAAGAGAAAAAGAAAGCTGAAAAGTTGAAACTTGAAGAAGAAGAAAAAAGGAAAGCTGAAAAGCTAAAACTTGAAGAGGAAGAGAAACAAAAAGCTGAAAAGTTAAAACATGAAGAGGAAGAGAGAAAAAAAGCTGAAAAGCTGAAACTTGAAGAGGAAGAGAAAAAGAAAGCTGAAACGTTGAAACTTGAAGAAGAAGAGAAAAGGAAAGCTGAAAAGCTAAAACTTGAAGAGGAAGAGAAACAAAAAGTCGAAAAGTTAAAACATGAAGAGGAAGAGAGAAAGAAAGCTGAAAAGCTGAAACTTGAAGAAGAGAAAAGGAAAGCTGAAAAGCTAAAACTTGAAGAGGAAGAGAAACACAAAGTTGAAAAGCTAAAACATGAAGAGGAAGAGAGAAAGAAAGCTGAAAAATTAAAACTGGAAGAGGAAGAGAAACAAAAAGTTGAAAAGTTAAAACATGAAGAGGAAGAGAAAAAGAAAGCTGAAAAGCTGAAACTTGAAGAGGAAGAGAAAAAGAAAGCTGAAAAGTTGAAACTTGAAGAAGAGAAAGGAAAGCTGAAAAGCTAAAACTTGAAGAGGAAGAGAAACAAAAAGCTGAAAAGTTAAAACATGAAGAGGAAGAGAGAAAGAAAGCTGAAAAGCTGAAACTTGAAGAGGAAGAGAAAAAGAAAGCTGAAAAGTTGAAACTTGAAGAAGAGAACAGGAAAGCTGAAAAGCTAAAACTTGAAGAGGAAGAGAAACAAAAAGCTGAAAAGTTAAAACATGAAGAGGAAGAGAGAAAGCAAGCTGAAAAGCTGAAACTTGAAGAAGAAGAGAAAAGGAAAGGTGAAAAGCTAAAACTTGAAGAGGAAGAGAAACACAAAGTTGAAAAGTTAAAACATGAAGAGGAAGAGAGAAAGAAAGCTGAAAAATTAAAACTTGAAGAGGAAGAGAAACAAAAAGTTGAAAAGTTAAAACATGAAGAGGAAGAGAAAAAGAAAGCTGAAAAGCTGAAACTTGAAGAGGAAGAGAAAAAGAAAGCTGAAAAGTTGAAACTTGAAGAAGAGAAAAGAAAGCTGAAAAGCTAAAACTTGAAGAGGAAGAGAAACAAAAAGCTGAAAAGTTAAAACTTGAAGAAGAGAAGAAAGCTAAAGCTGAAACTTGAAGAGGAAGAGAAAAAGAAAGCTGAAAAGTTGAAACTTGAAGAAGAGAACGAAAGCTGAAAAGCTAAAACTTGAAGAGGAAGAGAAAAAAAAGCTGAAAAGTTAAAACTTGAACAAGAAGAGAGAAAGAAAGCTGAAAAGCTGAAACTTGAAGAAGAAGAGAAAAAGATGGCTGAAAAACGAAAACTTGAAGACGAAGAGAGGAGAAAAGCTGAGAAGCTGAAATTTGAAGAAGAAGAGAAAAAGAGAGCTGAGAAGCTAAAACTTGAAGAGGAAGAGAAAAGAAAAGCCGAAAAGCTAAGGATTGAAGAGAAAAAGAAAATTAACGATGAAAAAATGAAACTCGAAAAAGATGAGAAAGAGAAAACTGAGAAGTTGAAGTTTGAAGAGGAAAAGAAGAAAAAAGCTGAGAAGCTAAAATTCAAAAAAGAAAAAAGAAGCTAATAATCAAAAACTGGAAGAAGACCAAAATGGATTTGCACGATTAAGCCTTGAAGATGAGAAAGTAACAGACAAAGAAAATAAATTTGAAGATTCTCAGAATAAAAATCAATTTATAGACAAATCTTCTAATCTAGAAAAAAAATCAAGTAAACGTATTGGTTCGCAATATGTAGCACCAACAAAGTCGTTTGTAAAGGAATCGAAAATAGTAAAGCCTACATTCGGTACTCATCTCACAGATAGAACTGCCGCTCAAGGCTCTCTTATAAAATTAACTTGTACTGTAATTGGTTCTCCTGAACCATTAGTTGAATGGTTAAAGAATGGAGATATCCTTGTACCATCTTCTAAGTATAGAACTACATATGCGGATGGCCTTGCATGTTTCGAACTTTATAATGCAGAAGTGTCGGATTCAGCAGAATATGCATGCGTCGCTAAAAACTGTAATGGGGCTTCATACACATCATCCTTCTTGAAAATTTATGAAGGATACGAACCAGCTCCGCTTAAGCCAATATTCACGAGAGCAGTTAGAGGTAATAGTCACAATTAATCTAAAAATTAATACAAAAAAATAGTTTTTTTTTATATTAATAATTTATTTTTAATTTATTAGATAATTACAACATAACAGACAACGAATTAGTTCTCGAGTGTTGTATTAGAGGAAATCCTCAGCCATCTATAACTTGGATTAAGGATGGAGTTCCCATACATACTGGAGGAAAATACCAGCAAATGGACTTTGCACAAGGAAAGTGCAAACTTATAATATCTAATCCCAATGATGCGGATAGTGGAAACTATATGTGTAAAATTGAAAATACAAATGGTTGCGATCAAATCACGCACTACGTACAATTCACTGGTAATTATATAATTTTATATTATTTCAAAATTAAGTAAATCAATTTTTATATTCATTTTAAAGGCAAGGATAAGTATCGAACACATATTGATACTTCGTTTAGAAGTGCAGGTCGGCCACATTTTTCACATCTTTTATCGGATACCGCTGTACCAGATGGCGGAACTCTGGCTCTACAGGTTTTATTGTGAATCACGATTCAATAAATTCGTCATATAATAAGTTTTGCATTTAAGGTTGAAGTTAAAGGATCACCTAGTGAAATTACTTGGTTGCGTGGTTCAGAAGCTGTACGTCAAGATGGTAGATACAGGTTCTTCAAGGAAGGTTCTTTATACACATTAGCTATCAGTGGAGCAACATTGCAGGAGACTGGACCCTACACTTGCAGGTACGTTAAATAAACAATAAACAGTATACTGACATTGTTATTAAATATTATTTTCATTGCAGAGCATGGAACGCTTACGGCAAGACTGATACTACTGCTTATGTACGTATTGTTGGACAAGGAGCTATCCGTGATGGCAAGCCTGCAACTATTGTTCACCAGCCAGTAAAAGACGTTACTGTAGCACTCGGGGAAGATATCACAGTTTCATTGAGAGCTCAAGGTCAACCTAAACCGAAGGGTAAAATTTAAGACTATTTTTGATTTATCAAATAATCAATAATAAAATTATAATTGAGGCAGACTAATGAAATCTGTTTGTATTATCGTATGTTTTAGTATTTTTAACAAAAGGACTACGTGATATTACTACAAGTATGCGCACGTTGAAAGAAACATCTGATGATTATATTCGTTTTTCAATTAAACGAGCTATAGATACAGATGCTGGCACTTATTGTGTAATAGCTAAAAATATCTACGGTTGTGATCGCGCTTTTTTCACAGTTATGGTAAATAAAATAAAATAAATAAAATTTTATACATAAAAATATCAAATTATGCAATATTATTTTATAGATTCGACAAAGGGCGCGCTCAGTTACACCGCCTCGAGATCCGACGATATATGATTCGATACCGTCAATTTATACGAAAGGTAATAATGCAAGGATAAGATTTAAAACTTTTATAACATATACAAGATATATACATCAGTTTATTCGATTATTTTCATTAGATGTGCCTGGACCAATCGCCTCAGAACCCGTTGTAACGGATAGTGGATCTAATTGGTGCAGTTTGAGTTGGCCCAAGCCAGATGCGCAAAGTGTTGGCGGTGGCCCCGTGCTTGCATATCGGGTTGATCGCTGGGAACTGGGGACGGACGGAGGTGCAAGATGGGCAGAATTAGGAATTACTCCTATCAATTGTTTTGATGTATTCAATTTGAAGCCAGGAACTGAATATCACTTTAGAATAACGCCGAGAAACCGAAATGGTTGGGGAGAAAGCGTTCAGACGGGATGTCCAGTGAGTAGACAATTACATTATTATTACTAAACTTTAAAAAATCACTATTAAAAATTTTTATGTACTTAATTTTAATAGATAACTGTCGGACCTAGCGTGAATTTGCCAGAATTCACAAAACCCTTACCTAGTCAAATGAAGGTCCTCATTGGTTCTGATGTAGTCTTAGAATGTACTTTATCGGACATAAAAATTAATACACTAATCTGGTACAAAGATGGAATAGAATTAGATCCCAGAGAAGGCATACGCATGAAACAAGATAATTTAAACTGCAGTTTAATTCTTTCTTCAATCCAAGCAGAAATGTGTGGAAGATATATGTGTGAAGTCTCAAATAAATCAGGAAAGGCTTCTACATTTGTAAGATTGTTAGTAGTTGAAGATCTCAAACTTTTGGAAGCGGATAAAAAATTGAAATTGTGAGTTTTATCTAAATGCATTATGCACTTTTTGATTATTTATCTCAATCATGTTTTTAATTAGGGATCTTGAATCGGAAAAGGATATGTCTCCTCAATTCACTATGCGGCTACGTGATCGTCGAGTTCAAGTTACATATCCAGTACGATTGACCTGCCAAGTTATTGGTCAACCAATTCCTGAAATTACTTGGAGCAGAGATGGTGAAACGATCAACCCAGATGGTAATTAAAAATATTAAATTATTACCGACACTAATCGATTTTTTTGTTATGTGTTATATATATAATATATATATTTCTTTTATATATTATTATTATATATATTATATATATTATTAATATATATATATATATATATATATATATATATGATAAAATTGTTTCTTGGGCATCCATCCAACACGGTCTCCAAACTGACAATATGTTCGTCTGGAAAAACCTTTTTTATAATAAAATATATTATTTATTTTAATTTTACTATTTTTTAAAAAAAAAATCATAACTTGACGTCTTATCAATTTTTTATTTCATATTTAATTATTTTTTAGTGCAATTTTGTTGTGTTTTTTGTGTTATTTTTTAAAACTTATTTGTATGCACTGAAGATGGGTCAAATCAAGACCCGAAACGTATGTTTCTCAAAATAAAAACATTTTTCAATAAAACTGTTTTTTAATTACTGGATGGATGCCCAAGAAACAATTTTATCATATTATTTCACCATCTGAAGAAAAACCTCTCGCTTATATATATATATATATATATATATATATATATATTTTGTATGATTCTGAATTTGATGTTGACATATGTATTAACAAAGTCTAATAATCGGGCATAACATCAATAAAAAACATGAATTTCTTTCAAAAATTTATTTTAAATCCAAAAATGGATTTAAAATAAATTTTTGAAAGAAATTCATGTTTTTTATTGATGTTATGCCCGATTATTAGACTTTGTTAATATATATATATATATATATATATATATATATATATATATATATATTTCGTTTGCTTTTACATAGAAAATCATAGTTTAATAACTGATGGAAGATTCTACACATTGGAAGTATCCAGAACGAATCTTATGGATTCTGGAGTTTATTCAGTAACAGCCAAAAACATTTTGGGTTCTGTTAGTTGCTGTTGTAGATTGGTAGTCGATAAAGGCATCAAGGCGTATATCGCTCCTGAATTCTTTGCTGGCTTAGATGCTATGTGCACTGTTCAAGAAGGAGAATCATTAAAACTGACTGCACAGGTAAAAATTTTAAAATTTTCTGAATGCTGGATAGATCTGAATTATGTCTTATTTTTTAGATTGAGGCGTATCCAAGTGTTGGTGTGACATGGCACCGAGATGGTGTCAAGTTGCGAGCTTCTCGTCGTTGTGCACTTACTCTCGATCGCGAAGGGATAATTACACTTGAAATCAAGGGCGCTACTTCAGCAGATGCCGGATTATATATATGTACAGCCCGTAACGAGGTTGGCGAAACCAGGAGCAGTACTCGTGTAGTTGTAACGTCACCGGGTAGCAGAAATGGAGCAATAGCCAACAGCGATATTTGCGAACTGCCTCTTGTTTCTTCAAATCAGTAAGTAGACTGATCGAAATATAATTGAACCTCAACATATATTAGACTTTTATTTATTAGATTCTAATTAGATTCTTATTTATTTATTTATCTTACATAAATTTATAAGATCAATTCTGATATGAAATTAATAATATAGATAATTATATATTATACATAAAAATATATTATTATATTTTTAGGCAACCCTCTGAACCCAGATTTTTGCGCAAACCAACATCCACCGAAGCATTTGAAGGCGACAACATTATAATTGCCTGTGAAGTAAGTGGCGAACCAAAACCAGAAGTATATTGGCTCAGAGACTTCTTAAAGGTGAAAAGTTAACTATATATTCTTTTTATTTAGCATTTGTTTTAAAATATTGTTTTAAAATATTTTATTTCCCACCACATATCGTAAATGAATCTTAGTGTTGATTAACTTTACCATATTTATTTGATAATTTTTAATTGTGATACATATATAACATGCAAAACCAAGTGTAATCTAATATTCTTCAATTAATATCATTGGCTTCTTCATATGGTACAAAATTATTACACATGTTCTTACCTTATTTGGATCATAAGTGGCTCTAATGACCTTCTTGTTTGCGCATTCGTTCAAGGCAATACAAATTTATTAAATGCGAGAAAATGCGATATTATTTAGTTCTAAAACATCTAAAAATGTATTTATATTATATATATATATATATATATATATATAATAAATTATAATATATATATATAAAATATTATAATATTATTTCGCCGTAGGTAAAAAGTATTGTACATTTAAGCAGATATTACAAAACAATTTGATTAATTGACTTGCATATTTAATGAACGTACAGCATTTGTAAATATTTTGGAATGTTACGGTATTTGAAATTCAGCATTCATACATTTGAAAATCTTTGAAAGCGCTTTTGAAATTACTGCGAATGAATTTAAATATATGCAAGACCGCGCCTATGTACTTACAGTTGAAGGTTATAATTTTTTAAAATTATAATATAATAATAAAAATATATCTTTTTGCAAATTTGCCAGTTTGTGATTATGTTTTACATAATTATATTCTACAGAGGCTATACTTTAATATAATCTTGTAAATAGTGCTCTGCAACATGAAATCGTTTTCAGAGGAAGATCAATCGTTATTTTGCGTCTGTCGCTTGAGGTTAACGGTTGTGGTTTTATTATTATCAGTCGTTATATAAATACATAGATATGAGTCACTGGATAAAAAACAAGTTAAAATAAAATATGTGAAATATTTCTTCATAAAAAATTATCAGGTTATTTATTAAATTAAGTGCATCGATTAATGAAAGTTAAAAATAAAAGCAAATATTAATTCCCATTTAAATAGTGTTATTAAATAAATTTCTGACAGTCTCATATGCCCTGTGTTTATTTGCAATTTTAATACATCAACCTAAATATTTGATCAGTTTTTCTGCAAATTTAAATATTTTACCACATAATTTATACTATATTTTTAATATATTATATATTTTATTATCTCATGTTATTAATTTTTTTAGTAATTGCAGAAATTTATAAGTAGAAAAAAAGCCGACACAGATAATTTTGCAAATAAACATATTTTCGGCAACACGTTAAAATTATCTATTTTTATAACAAATAGTATTATACAAAATAAGACTTTCATTAGAAAATTACACGCTGAATGATAAATAACTCGCATCAACGAATACAATAATAATGATCAAATAAAATACAACTTGAATATTATTTTTTTATTTCAGCCCAATTACTATTTGGACGCACCTCACTTCCGCAGCGTTGGAGCAGGCCCGGAATACAGATTGGAAATACCCTGCGCCAAGCTCGACTTCACCGGTACATACTCCGTGGTTGCTCGCAATTGCCATGGTGAATGCAAAGCCATCATGTCCTTGCAAATATACGCTAAAGGTAATATACATTACATTTCATGGCTAGTGACAAATATTTCAAAAAGAACAAATGGTTTATGATTATATATTGTACGATGTCGTATACTATATAACACTACGTTATTTCCACACGTCCGTGGCTCAGATCATCTATCAGCATTGCTCTATTTATATTATCATTAAATTTGTGTCACTTTTATTTAATTTTTATTGACTTTCATGAAACAACTATTAATTGTTATATAACTTATTTCTGGTTTTAGATATCATGAATGAGAAAACTACGAAAAGTACAAGATCAGTGAAACATAGGTAAGCTATTTATTTTAAATTAATATATATCTTTTATTTATATTAAAACACAATTATCTGTTTTAACAATTATTATTATTATTATTTTATAAATTTTATTCTTCAACAGTGAAGAACAGAGAATTCCTATATTGCAACGTCCATTATCAGACATCAGATGTTGCGATGGTGATTCCATTACCTTTGAATGTAAAATAGATGTAACCCCAGAATTTCAAGTACTTTGGGAGAAAGATGGAAAGGTAGAGAATAATTTGACATATAATCACTTTATTATGTTTTATTTTATTTTATTAATGATGAAATATAATTATAGGTAATACCAACCGGCGATGATTTCACATCCTCATCGGATGAAAATGGTCATTATACTCTTACTATTCTGAGGGTATATCCAGAAGATGAAGGAAGCTATTCTTGTACGGTTTATAATGACTTGGGACGAATAAATACTAACGCATATCTTATTGTAGACGGTAAAAACAAAATAAATAGATATCAGTTTATTAAAGTTTACTTAACATTTTTTTGTTTTCAGTCCCTGAAGAAAGGGAGAATTTATTATCTCATCAGTTGTGCAGACCGCCTGGCTTTATGCCATCAAATGGTTCCACGCCTCATTCAACACCGAGAGGAACACCGGCAAGAAGTCTATCTCCTCTAACAGGTATTCACTTAGCATGATTTACAAATATTCCATACACAATTTTATAAATTATATATGAATTGAGAAAATGATAAATCTTAAATCAGGTTCACAGGCTACTTCAACTGCGCTTCGAAAATGTCTTAATGTACGTCCGAGCACTGCGGCTTTACGCAGACGGGCAGACCGATTCGGTACCTCAGGCAGACCTCCGAAATTTCAGGCTTGCCCCCATAATCGTTTGGTGGAAGAGGGTGCCACTGTACGTTTCCGCTGTTCAGTAAGTGGGCATCCATCACCCTGGACAAACTGGGATAAAGACGGAGTACCTGTGACTCAAACTTCAAGAATTAGTGCCACAGAAGAGGAAGATTTGAGGACACTTGAAATCAGGTAGAGAAATAGTAGACTTAAATTTTATTATAAATATCTTGTATATTTTCATAACAAATGTTTTGCTTTCAGAGAAGTGACCCATGAAGATGCAGGTTTATATAGAATCATCCTAGAAAATGATCACGGAAGAGTAGAAGCAACAGCGAGGTTAGACGTACTGAGATATAGAAGTAAGCATGGAATAACTTTAACAAATTGTAGTATCATTAGATTTTATCTAAATTTTCTTGTGTTACATTATTTAATTATAGGTTCGTTTAGAACCGTGAGGTCAAGCAGTGTATCGCCTAGGGCTTCACCTTTTTATAGCAAAAGATTACAAAATACAACTGCTAGAGTTGGATCTAAATTAAGATTAAATGCAGAACTCAGGTATATATTTATATTCTTTAGTTTAACTGTTATGATGATATCAAAATTAGAATTATTGACTTAATACTTATTTTTTCAGAACATTCAGGGGAGGCGAAAGTCATTGGGTTCATGATGGCGTTTTACTGGACCCATCATGTCTAGACAATAGATTCAAAATGATTGATACTTGCAAATCACGTATTCTGACTATAAATAAAGTAACTGAGGCAGACAGTGGTAATTATATTTGTGTGACATCGAACAATTTTGGTGCATCAGCTGTCGGTGCACAAGTAACTATAACCCAAAATGCTCCGGTTGAAAAACGCTTACCCAAATTTATTCGAAGATTGAGAAAAAGGTTAATACTAAACTAGACTTTTTTAAATGATTGATATTGGTATATACTTATTCAATCAATTATTATTTCAGTATTACTTTCCTCGAAGGTCAGATGGGTTTCTTGACATGTGAGATAGAAAATACTGATGTGCCTTTCAATGTTAGATGGACAAAAGACTCTAAAGAAGTTCCTGATTGTGATGATTATGAATACATGGATTACGGAGGTGGTCTTTTAGGTTTGAAAATTGTCGAGGCGTTTTTGCAGGACTCAGGAAAATATCATTGTGAAGTGATTACATCGTTTGGAACTATTAAAACCGAAACTGTTGTTCGAGTGAAAGGTTAATACAAACAGTGCTGTTTTTATTTCTGCTGACTGCAAAATTAATTTTCTTTACCTTCATTCTAGAAGCGACTTCTGCAAACCGTAGCTGTGCTGAATTTGACCATAGGCCTGTAGCAACGTCGTGTCTTGAGGGCAGAAATATACAATTTCTGGCCAGTGCAAATGCTATGGTATTACGTGATAATAAAACTGGAGAACCTGATCAAGTAGGCTTAGTATTCAAATGGTTTGTCGCTGGACGACGGGTACAGACTGATGGCGAACATTTTTTAGTAAGTAATAGATATAAGAAAACTTAAAATTATTATTAAATTTCGGAACAATATTTAAATTTTACGAACAATATTTATTTTTCAATAATGTAAACTGGATTTAATATTAGACGACCGATTCAGAATGATGGCTTACGTTTGTAGTAAAGTAATGATTTAAAAAAAAAGCTTAATATTAAAAAAATATATGAAAGAAGGCAATATCCTTTCTTTGATTAGATTTGCTTAATTCATTTCATATAAAAATTATTAACATATGTTTTAATTTAATTTATGATAAATAATAAGATTACATTTATAATTTTTCGTGACTCGATATGAATATTTACATTTCGAAATTGATTGCAATCGCGCGTTACGAGCACATATATATTTTTCTCCGTATGATGTACGTGCATTTGATTATTTTTTATAAAACTGTATTTAATTCAGTTTATAATAAATAAAAGATATGTATTCAGTGTTTAAAAATTATTTTAAGTGAATATTTTAAAAATAGTAATATTTCAGAAATAATATTTGTAATATTAATTCTTTAGCATCGTATATGTCTTTGGAAATCTTTTACAAATATTTGAAGATAACGGTATTTGTATTTACTTAGTCAGGTCATATTCAAACTAACAATTGTTGCACTTTGAAAGTGAAACAAGTATATACTGCTAACATTGAAGTGCATATAGTGAATCATTTCTTATAAAATTAAAATTAAAGGTACTTAAAAATTAACTATAACTTATATTTAGTAGAATTAAGTGCACAGAGATACAACTATGATTCAATTACATACATGTGAAATAGAAATATTTGTAAGTACTATTTTCAATTTTAAAATTTAATTCTTTAATATTTTATTTATTCAATAGCAATGTATTATTGAAAATTTGAAAACAAAACAAAACAAAAAATAAAACTATATATATGGTTATATAGTTATTATAATACTATATATATATATATATATATATATATATATATATATATATAGTTATTATAATAATCGTTCAATGATCTTAATTAATGAGGACTTTAATTTAGAATGGAAACAAGTGGGACAGTCAAAAAAAATATTTTGTTCTTCAGAAACAACAAAAACTAGGTACTCCTTAGGAAAAGTTTACTATCAAAAAACATCCAATCAACATTCTAATGTCGGCTAATTTATTTACGTTCAATTATTTACTATTAATATATCTATATATATTATATATATAAAATGTGTGTGTGTATTTTGTGTCTGTTGCAAAGAAAGTATTGTTTATAAACAATGTCTAGAATAAACTGCGCAAATTGCCAATTATGACGCAAAGTAAGTTTGATTAAAAATTAAAGAGTAAAATTCAGTACATCTCAAAATTATGTCTTACGTCAATTTTTATTTTACAATCGTATGATATTTTGCTACGATATAATTTATATAGCTTTGTAACATCGGTAAAAGAAATAATTGATTAGAGATTACTAGTATCTGATTTAGCTTTGAGTAGCCCGCAATTAGCTTTTATACAAAATATAGGCAAAAGAAATAGAAATTGATATTTTCAAAATATTAAGAAGAAGAAGGTTTTCGCGATTTGTGATGTAATAGTTTGCACTCATATAAATATATGAATTGATTATTTAATTTTTATAAAATATTGAGATAAGTATTTTTTTTTATTCCAGATAGAAACTGTTGGTAACGAAACAATCCTGCACGTGTTGAACGTTAATCAACACCATGCAGGCGAGGTGATGTGCATGGCGAGCCCCCGCGAAACTTTCGTACGATCAATTCACCAGAATAATGGTGAAAAAATTCAACTTTACGACGTCGCATGCGTCTCGGAGCTAAACGTTTTGCCTTCATTGAACACAGACGATGTCGAATGCGAGAATAATAAAATATTCGAAACGACGGAAACGTTATTAAAACCGAATACACCAGCAAAGATTCTAAATAAACCGGACAACATTGCTGCGAAGAGTGGAAGTCGAGTAGTCCTGGAGATCGAATACACCGGTCTACCAGAACCAGATGTCGTTTGGTATAAAGCGGTAGGTGTTTATAATATATAATTTATTAATTCAGTTTAATAATATATTATTAATAATTGTAGGATCGCAAACTTGACGAATACCATAACATCATACTAGAAAAAGAAGTTTCAAATATTGGGTATTATTCAAGACTGGTTATGGATAACGTTTCAGACGACGACAGTGCGAAATATTCAGTTAGCGTGAAAAACGATTTAGGATGCGACTTTGCCCATTTATCAGTCGCCATAGAAGGTACATACCCTTTATTTATTTATTTCAGTTTCTTTTCATTTATATTCAATCGGATACATTTTACATCGGTTGCATTCGGATAACAGATTGTGATAATAAATGATTGAAATGTGAAATTTAAGGGCAATATTAAAAAGATAATGAGGTATGAAAATGATTTTGATGAAACAAAACTTGAACTAAAAAAAAATGAAACAGAAAATGAGCAAAATGGGATAAAAATAGGCACAGTCGAAAGAAATGTTATATCAAATATAATTTACATTCGGTTCATTTTCAAAATTAGATATAATTTTTTTATGAAATATTTTAAAGTTTAAACATAAAAATAAATAATAACTATAATTTATATTTATAATTATAGTTTAAACTTAAAAAATAGTATATATATGAATGATTTTATGAGTCATTTCTCCTCAGGTCCTCCTCATGCTCCTGTAGAACCACCTGTAGTGTATTTATCAGAACCAAATGCTGTCCTTGTGTCTTGGAACGCCTGTCCATTTGACGGACACAGGCGAGTGACTTCCTACGAAATGGAAAAATGTGAAATTTTGGATCTGAAACACAAGTACCAAGAAGATTCTCCAGCAGTTTGGCAGGCAATAAAATGCGATGATAGAAATTGTGCTTTGGATCTTCAGAGAATTGCCACAAATTTGATACCAGGAAAGAGTTATCAGTTTAGAGTCAGGGGTGTTAACGAACTTGGACCAGGAGATTATGGACCAGCTAGTGATGTAGTTCTTATACCAGGTAATGAAATACATATTTACCAACAATGTACATTTTTTACTTCATGTGAAACTATGTGATACAAAGAATTCAAAATTGAATCTTTTATTTCAATATAGTATTATCTGATGTAAATATTTACTATTAATGTTTTATGAAAAATTAATATTCATATACTTATTTTTCATATTTTTGTTTTAATGAATTTCTCAGATGTTGCACTGGGTGAAAGGACATCATCTTCAGATAATATGGATAGTATTATGGTGCCAAGTAATACGGATTACCAAAACTACTATAAAATATATGAAGAATTAGGTAAAGGCAGGTTTGGAATTGTCAGGCGAGCTGAGGACATCAAAACTGGTAAAACTGTTGCTGTAAAAACTATCAGGACTATTAGATCGAGGTACAAATAAATTTTAATAAAGATTTTACCTTTTTAGGCATATACCACTCTTTATATATCACAATTCTAGTTTAACTATGTATCAATAAAAACCTATAATAAATGTGCTCACATTTGCAAACAAAGTTGTAATCTGGGAATTATAATGTTGTGATATATATTAGTTATTTGTGGTATAGTTGTAATATAGTAATTGTATGTGATATAATTGGTATTTATTTTTTTCAGAGATCGCGAAATGACACTTCATGAAATCACAATAATGAGTATACTAAATCACGAATTTATCTTGAAACTTTTTTCTGCTTATGAATTGGGTAAAGAAATAACTTTAATCACTGAATTGTAAGTGGAATTGACATTTATAATATTATTTTATTTTATTATATATTTATTTTTAAAATGGTTTTTAATGATAATAGCGTATCTGGAGGTGAACTTTTTGAAAGAGTAGTGGCAGATGATTCGCTGACTGAAGGTGATTGCGCCAGATTTATGAAAAATATCTGCGAAGGGGTTGCTTATTTACACAGTAAGCAAGTTGTACATTTGGATCTAAAACCGGAAAATATACTTTGCCGCAGCAGAGATCCGCATAATCATGATATCAAAATTATCGACTTCGGATTAGCTCGACGTATCACTGGTAGTTACATCATATAAATAGTTTTAATAACCAAAATAATGCAAATATTTTAATATTTTATAATTCCAATATAAGCCTCCAAAAAATAATTGATTAATTCTTTATGTTTCCATATAATGTACTTGACTAATTTAAAATTTGTAGGCGAAGAACCACAAAGAGTGCTTTTTGGTACACCAGAATTTATTCCACCAGAAGTGATAAGCTATGAACCAATTGGCTTGCAGAGTGATATGTGGAGCCTTGGAGTGATATGTTATGTCTTGTAAGTAAATTAACATTGGTCAATTGAATTGATATTGGAATTTTCTTTGAATTTCCTCTGTCTATTATTAGATTATCTGGTCTATCACCATTCATGGGTGATAATGATGCCGAAACATTTACAAATGTAACAAGGGCTGTTTACGATTTCGATGATGAAGTTTTTGATTCAGTCTCGCACGAAGCCCGCGATTTTGTTTCTAGTTTGTTAATAAAGCAGTTAGAAAAACGCGCTAGTGCAGAAAGCTGTCTGGACAGTCCTTGGCTTCGTAGCATAGGTTCAAAACATGTTGATGTGCGACTGCAGACTGATCGTTTGAAGAAATTTATTGTTAGACGAAAGTGGCAGGTAAATAAATTATTTTGATGTGCAATTTGTTTTTGAATTGATGTTTGAGAGCATTTTTTACTTAATTATAATATTATATTAGTTAATAATATTAAATTACGATTTTGTTCATTATTATCTTGCATGATCGCATGATTTGATGTGTTGTTTTTTTGCTTGTGGCAATGTGTTCGCGCTCCCCTGCAGAAAACGGGAATTGCGATACGTGCTTTAGGCCGCTTGACAGCTGTTACATCTGCTGGAAATGCTGTGACCGAAAAGATCACTACTATTAGCAAAGGAAAACCAGCCAAAATAAACAAACGGGACTGTAATAAAAAGGAATGCTCTATAGGAAAATTGAACTCAAACAGTATCCCTCACCCCAGAAAGCGCATTGATAATAACAAGAGCAACAGACACCTTGGCATGGGGCAAAGTGATGCATGTGAATTACAAAGTAAAAGCCTACAGCGTGCAATTGACAAGCATGTTGCTAGTAATTCAACTCTAGAGCATGATTTGAATTTAAAAGACGTTGTTTCAGAACAAACTAAAAAGACTTTGAGTAATGAAAATATTGGTGTTTCTTGTGTAGTTGGCAAAAACGCGCATAGACCCGCGCAGGACAGCGTAAGATCCCGCATAAGACGTCTGGAGAATTGCATATCTTCGGACGAACGTAAAACCAGCAGTCGCAGTGAACATCGTCGAACTAAAAAGCGATAGTAGTTGAAATTATTTTATGATAACTATTTATTATGCTGAGTAAATGATGAGTGTGTTTTAAGTCTGATTGAGGTATATAGTTAATAATAATTTGGTTTTATCTCTTTGTTATTATATTTTTGGCTATATACAATTTTGTACAATTGCAATGACAGTTGTAAGTGGTATTCATTTATTGATAATTGATTTATTTATCGCTACCTATGTTTGCAATGTATTTTCCTCAAATCTTATTTGACAATTACCATATCATTCTGCATTCACCAATAGGAAGTAGATGTTGATTAGTAGACCATCCTTTAAAAGTATTTATATTCATATGATTATAAAAATGATATTGATGAATAAAATTATAAAAATGAATCAAAGTGTGCACCTTTCTGATCAAGAGCTTTTCTTAAACGTTTCCAAGCCAGTTTACTTTGTTCAAATATTTCTGCATGAGTCAACGTAATATCAATTCCGCAGTTCACCAATAAATTTTGTGCCAATGTCTAACAAATTTTGATATCAGTGATATAATAAGATACAACTTGAAAATAACATACCCTATTTATTCTGTCAGACGATGTCATTATTCCAACTATCAAGGCATGAAAATATGCCTGTAGAACAACTTCATCTGAATGCTCTTTAGATAAGCTAATATAGACACTATCATTATACACATTTATAATAAATTGTTCATTTTTGTAGATTATCTTAGATTGCTTTAGGTGATGTAGATTATTTGCAATTATTTTCTTTAAAGACTTGCCAATTTTGATGTGATGACCACAAATTTGAAAATCTACAAACAAATTGATATATTTAAGAAATTATAAAGTACATCTGATCATTTACAGACCTTTTGGCATAACTCTGAAAAGTGGCTCATGAAAATTAACACAATCTACTGTAGGCACGTTTTCATTTGCTATGTAATTTTCATATACAGCAAGAAGCCGGCTAGTATTCAGAACTTTTAATCTGATAGATTTCACGGCATTATAATTAGCATATAGATGTAGCATTGTAAATACAGCGAACCAGAAAAATGCCACTCTAAAAAAAATTGAAAGTTGTGAGTCAAATGGTATTAGATTGTAATATAACAATTTTTATATCTAATTACATTTTATTAGTGATTGTTAATAATATTAAAAGTGCAACTACAGAAGCACATAAATTTACAAATGTTTCTTGACTCCCATCTTTAGCTGATACATCTGCTAGATTTCCACGAAGAGCATGATGCTGTGTTAAAGCAACTCTTGTTGCACCACCTTTTGAAAGATTGATTTTAATTTAAAATCACATTTATTCTAGATAATGAATAGTAAATTATATGAACCTGCAACACCAACTATGGATTTAATTGCTGTTGTAAAACATAGAATTTCTGTAGACCACGTAACATATAAAGGTAATACTAAAACTTCAATTCCCATAGCAACATCATTTAAAATATCAGCAACTAATCGCCAACGTTTACTATTGATATCTAAGTCAGATCTATAGATATAAATGGTATTTATATAAATCAACAATATATGTCTTAAGCATATGACGAAGTAATCCCATAATTTCTACTTTTTGAATGAATACAGAATTTAAAATGAAGTTTTATATATGGTTACCCTTTCCACCATGCAAATAAGATTCTTCCAATGTGCCCTGTACCTTCTTTCAGTATCCAAGTAATTGTAGCGCTTAAAGGTGTTGCAGTTTCATTTCCAACACCGACTCCAGCCAAGATTGCATGTGTACTTAATGCGCCTATATTTATTATTTTAAATAATGGCTGGATGAGTTAATATGGAATGAACAAAATATCAGATGTTTAAACGATTAATCAAAGTGTTAAGTTTACCTGTAATAGTGCTGCTGAAAGCTTGTAAGGTATCCCATAATTGATAAGGAATATAATCTTTGCTTACGCTTTGTGGAAAGCCTTCAGGAAGAAATATTGATCTTAATATATTAATAATGTTTTTGAATATTTTTCTATCTTGTTGATCCTTTGAATAAAAATATATTTTTTCGCTATCTAAAATTTATGTCGAACATAAAATTTATATATGTACTAAAAAATTATTTATTAAGTACCCATATGTGCAAGAATGTGGCAATTATTATTAAGGTTTATTTCTTCGAACATGTTTTCAATAGTACGCTCATTTGCCATATTTATTATATATTTTATTTATTATTTGTAGTAATGTATATTTTTAATCCTTATTTATTATTAATTAAAATAGTCAGCATCCTAGACACAGTATGATATGTCAAGTTGACATTTAGAATGCTTGTCATATTTTGCAGGATGTCCAACCTAGACTATATGATATTCTTAATCCCGCAACATTCTGCATTTCCTCTTTTTCAACCATTTAAAAAATAATTTTTATTCTGAAATTAGTATTACTTATTACTAAAATTGTTAATAATAAAAGGCCTAAAAAGATTTGTGTTCATTGTGCAGTTGCTATTAAAATTTAGTGTTATATTGTCGAAGGTGGTACTGCTTGCTACTTCGTTATTTTGACTAGATACCGTTGATATGCTCTTGTCATTTTCATTACTTTATTCCAAATTGTAGCATATTATGTTCAATGCAATAATATTTGCTTTATGAGATTAGTAGACTTTAGGAGCTTGTTTTGATGCGATGGATTCTTTCTCTGCACAAGCACCAACTTATCGTGATTTCAATGCTGAAAGCTCACATGAAGACAATATAAATTTTTTTGGTGAGTGGGCCAAACTCCAATTTCTAGTATATTTAATCATATTTTATTATCCGTTTGATTTTGCAGGTTTATCATGTGAGGATGATGTAAGAATAAAAGAGGAGCCTTTAAGTCCAGATTATTTTCAAACTCCTTCAGGTAAAAGCTAATATTTGAGCTATTGTATTCTATTCTATTTATTGTGACACATTGTTACCATAAGGACCAACATTTCAGATTGTGAGAGCTATGGAGGACTACGCAGATCAATTTCTGTCGGTAATTTGTATACTGAAAATACTGGGCCTTTTATCGATAATATAAGGTAAAGTATATTTAAATTCAACTCAATGTAAACATAATGAAGAAGGTTTTGTATTACAGCGAACCTGTTAACTGCCATTTATCAAGCAGTATTGAATCTCTTAAACTAGATCATAATTATTGCAGTGAATCAAAGGTAAATTACAACTGAAAAATTTCTATCCCTTTACTATAATATAATACAAATTTTTAGGAAAATCTTCGTAATGGCCAAAAAAGGCAGAAGACTATTAAGTTTGAATCAATGGCAGAGCAAATAAATCGATTTCATTTAAAAACTCCCAACAGGTAAGATTTGGATGATAAGTAGTATTTCAGTATTATGATTTTTTTATTTTTTAGGTATCACACTGTAAGTTCTAAAGCAGAAGCTGTAAAAGTTTTAGTAGAATTAAATTCTAATGAATATGTAAAACCGAAAACTCCAAAATTACTGACAAAATCTCGTATAAGGGCAACTAGTGCTTTAACATATGAACAACGAAAAGAATTGGAATACAAGGAAGCTCTAAAGTATTTTTCTTCATAATTGGAAGTAAACTATAGCAATGCAGACTTTAATAATATATATTTCAGAAACAAGCCGAAACCTCGACAATTTAATCGTGACATATTACATAAAGCTCCGTCATTACCAAATGTTGAAAGATTGCCTGTAACTAAATTTGAACCTTTTAACATCACTAAACCAAAGAAAAAGCCTGTTGTAGAAGAGAAAGTATCTGCTTTCAAAGCTAAGCCTTTACCAGTGAATATACTTCAAGGTCCTGTTGGAATTAAAGAAAGACCACCTCCTAAAGTAACAAATGCTAAGACACCAAATATAAAAATGCCACGAAGAAAGTCCCCAGTAAGCAATTGTTGAAATACTTCAAAAGTTAAACCATTGTAAATTGAAATTTTTACATAATATTTTATTTCAACATAAATAAATTTTCCAGATTTTTAAGAATGTGATTGAGAGCACAGATAATGCTAAACCACTCAAACCCACAAAAATTATGCCTTTTAGCTTCGAAGAAAGGAACAAGAAAATGCTAGAGCGCAAAGAAAAATTTATTAAAGAAGTTAGTAACTTTTGAATCTGTATCTAATTTTGTTTAAAATTCATTTTTTATGTCAATTCCAGTATATTGAACGTGAGCAAGCAAAGATAAGTTATCAAGCTCGTCCAATGCCTAAATTTGAAACACCTAAGAAATCTTGTAAAATGACATCTAAGCCGCTAGTTGCTAAAACACCAAATTTTGCTTCAAAGAAGTTGCGTGAAGAGGCTGAGCGTAGATTTAAAGAAAAGGTAGAAACTGAATTATTTTCTAGAAACTTGTGATAAAGTATTGATAACTTGTATTTTAACAGTTAGAACAAGAGGAACAAGAAGCTAAAGCTAAAGCATTATTTAAAGCTCAACCACCAAAAGTTTTATACACAAAGCCATTTGAGCCAAAACACAATCACCAAGATTTAAAAGTGCATGAATTTAAATTGAGTAGCGAGGCTAGAGCAAGAGCTCGTAGAGAGTTTGATGAACAGCTTAAATTAAAAGAACAAGAAAAATTGCTTTTAGAAGAGAAAGTAAGTTGAATCTTAACATACATTATTTAACATTTATTTTCCAATATATCTACAGTATTTATGATTTTAGTATCTAATTCTTAATTTACAGATTAAAGAGGAACAACAAAAACGAGAGCAAGAGGAAATATTGAAAATCCGCAAAAATTTGGTTAGAAAAGCTCAACCCATTAAAAATTTCAGACCTTTTGAAATAAAGCGTTCTGAAAGACCACCAACCCAGGCAGTAACACCATGTTTAGGAAAGAAAAGACAAACAAATGCTGAAGATAGTGATTAGAGTAATCATTTATCAATTTTTATTTAGTGATGTTATAGTTTTATTCAAGGCATCAAATATATCACTTTTTATTTGTTATTTCAATTTTAGTAATACATAATCTGCTTGGATATATTATATATTACATCACTTACAATGAAATCATTTAAATAATCATATTTTAATGCAAAATAGTTTTAATGTGTATTATTTGGAAATACGAAATTGTAATTAAGCTCAATAAATACAATTTGTATGATACATTGAAAATATATATTCCAGCTGATCTTGTAAGATGAAAATTGTGTTGTTATCATTATTGCAGCATTAATTACATATACTATTGCAATAATAATAATATTCTTGTAAATGTTAAAATAATTAAAAATATACATAGTTTATTGGTTAATTACCTTCTTGAACAAGGGGTATTCTAATATTATCAAGGATCTTGAATTAAATTACATACCCCGAATGAATTTTGAATAATTTGTATTATGATTTGATATGATCCAAAGAAAGTGACTCACGGTTTGACGATCTGTGATATCTATCAAATAAGTATTGCCAACCCTGTGCGGTGTGAGCGGGAACAAGTTTGTGCTTGAGTTGTCGTTCTTCAAGAGACGTTCCTTTCTGTATCTCTAGTTGTTTCTTGTGTGTGTTATTTGTGGCGCCTTGTGTTTTCTATTGGTGTTATTAATGGTATGGAAAATCTTCCAGTATGATAATTTACGCATAACTGCCATTGATTTCGCGATTATGTTCAGTAAACGTGTATAGCTCTTAGGTATACTAATCGGTTTCAAGTATTACCTTTCATACCCTAATTTAACTTCGCATCCATTGCGCATTCCAAAAAGGCATTCCGAGTTTGATCAATTCTAAATTTATATTTAACTTGCAACGTAAATTTAACTTGAAATACATACATCTCAATAATATTGTGAATTGCTTTAGTTAACATTTCACAAAAATACACAATTTCAGAAAACCGGTTAATAACACTTTTTTAATTGCTGTTGTAACCTCAAATATTTATAACTGACATTGTAATTATTTTAATTTAGTGCTAGTTTATTCTTTGAAAATTAAAATATATTGTGCAATCGATTAATTGATAATATTCTCTAGATTCAAGATCAGTGAACACAATGGCTGATGATCTAGATAACATGTCTGATGCCGACATTCGGACAAGGCTGTCCGAATTTGGCTTTCCAGTCGTGCCTATAACTGCAACCACTAGAAAAACTATGGTGAAGAAGTTGCGAATGCTGATAGAAAATCAAAAGAAAATTTCTAAATCTAGTCGAATGTCTTTAGCAAAGTATTCAAGTGGAGAAGATTCCGATGTAGATACAAACAAGAAAGTGACTGATAAGAGCCGAAGATATACAACCGTTGGCCAAATGTTACCCCCTGTAACAAAAAAAGGTTGCTATGAACATTTATTTAAATTACATAATAAAATTATTTGAATGTTAACATGCAGCATTTATGCATCGTTTTCAATTATGATGAAAATTTAGTGGTTGGATCATGAATCCTATGATTACTAAAGAAAGTAGACCTGAGCTATTATTTATGAGCTTGGATAGATAACCTCATATTAAAAGATATATTAATTTCTAATCATTAATGTTTTCAGCACCAACTCCAGTGAAAACAACACCACCGATCCCAAGTAAACCTTCATCTCCCCAAGACAAACAAGACAATCAACAATTCGAGATTTGACAAATGATTTGGATAATGAAAGTTCTGGTGGAGAAGGTACAGTGGATAACATAAATTCTAATAGTTAGTAATGCTTATGTTCTTGATGTTTTGTACATTTTACAATTCAAGTGCAAATAGCATTTCTTGATTATTTTTAATACTAATCTTTTTTTGTTTTGTAATTGTTAATTATGTTTTTTTTTTTCAGAACCTGTTAAGACCCGTCGAGTAACAAGATTGTACAAAACTACCACAACTACTAAAGAAATAAACAACTCAAACTACAATGACTCTGTATCTGATAGTGATGATGATGTAGAGATTGTTGAAACCCAAACTGAGAAACAAAGTTCGGTGATTGGTAGAGATAGTCCATCTTTATCACTACATTCTTCACCTAGTAAGCAGTCTCCAAGTTCAACCAGTACAAGTTGGAAATCTGATATATATAAACCTTATTCTACCAGGTAAATGTTAAAAGCAAATATTTATATTGAAATGTATTACTAAAATGATTTACTTTTTAGTTTGGAGCCTAAATCAGTTCTATCCAATCGAACAACTTTGCACACAAGTTCTGTTAATCGTTCTGAAACCATTGATTACAGTCCATCAGACAGATATGGTAAGAATTATTGGTAAATATAATTTGGAATTAATTAATGTCTCAATTGTATCATGCAGGTCGTAGTTCTCAAACCAGTGAAAGTGTTAATATTGACTATAATAGCGCAGGAGATCATGGATCTGAGGATAAATATGGTAAGAAATTTATTCTATCTTAGTATGTTTAAAGCAAATATGTAATTTATAATATGAAATAATTTTAGAATCACCATTTTTGAGTGAGTTTACAAGAAAACTTGAATCAACGAAGAGACAATATTCTGTATTAACCCCTCCTAACAAGAATACTACCTTACTGTCAGATGATTCCGGTGTATCATACTCACCAACAAGGGATATAGCTCGGAGTCCAATCACTTCTGTAAATAACACGCACAACAATTATAGAACATTTTCATCTTACAGGTAGGTTATTTAATTTTTTTTGAATAGATACAGTGATTGCTAAAATAAAATTTTAGTCGTAGGCCAGTACCCTCCAGAACAAATTCAGCTCTTGAAAACATATTTAAGAAGAGTAATATAATTCCTTTGGTGCTTGTGGTAGCAGTTGCAGTATTCTTTACCTTTGTTGGTTTTATGTATCTTGGAATGAAAGGAAGAACAACATTTCAAATAGACTCTAGAGGTATGTAAAGCTTATTATATATTTTGAAGTATACTCTAAATATAAGTGCATTTAAATATCATTTACCATTTTAGATCATAACATACCTATTTGTAAGAAAGCTGTTTCATCTGATGTTAATTATGGTGGGAGGCCATCGAGACCTGGAGTAAACTGTGTTATAGAAACTAGTGTAGCAGCAGCCTTGAATTTATTCAAATTTATTTTGCCTGAGCTGAATAATAGAGCTGTCGACTATATTTGTCAAAACACCAAAAATCCTCCATATATGACAAGTGTTGATATAACAGAATTTGTGAAGAAAGATAACCCTAGAATGGTTTGTTTAGAATTGCTTTTATATAACTAAATTCGGGCTGAGTTAATGAGCATTACTGTTTACAGGAACCAGAACGGGTTCTTTCAGATCTGGATAATCTTCATGTACTTATATTGAAAAATCCACAATGGGGTGCTTCTATAATAGATAAAACTGACCACACTATTTTGACAAGCTTGGTAAAGATTTAATTGGAACATTGTATTTTCTATATTTGTGGAATACTATTATTGTTGGCATATTTTTATTATTATTTGTGAGCACGCTTGGTAAATTGAATTATTCACTTTCAGGATGAAATACTCAAATCAGAAACTTACCAGAATATAGCAATAAAGATATCGAATCCTGATTTACCATTATACTGCATTTTTGCAAATAAGCTCGTAAATATTGTTTATACTGCAGCTCTTGTCATTTCTGGTGAGCATTCTCACATTGTAAAATTCTTATAAAATGCAATCATTTTAATATTTGTCTCTTTCTGCAGGTTTGGTGGTTGCAATAGGCTTGCAGTTCATTATTAAATTTGGTTTGAAAAAGCGAGAAGAAAGAAATAAGGCAGTGAGTGTTGAATATTAGTATGCAGTAATTTATTGCAAGACTTTGGTCATAAAATATTTTACTACAATATCTATTTCTATAGTAATGTATTTTAATATTAATTCTAGTTTTCTATTTTTAGTACAAAATTAATGCACAACAATTATTTTTTATGTACGCTTCGTATGAATAATATATTATGATTTAAGACGAGCATATTTTAGAATATATTCATATATAGGTACCAAGCAGTTAAGTTTAACAAATGTTAAGTTTGATTGATTGGCAGTGTATCTTAATAAAATTATTTGAAACGCAAACCTTAATATATTTTTTTTATTTTAAATTTACCATATGAATTGTTCAAGGTGTATGCAATGGTGGAACGAATTGTAGAAGTTTTATCTCAAGAATCTGGTGATGGTGATGATTCCTATATGGCTATAAATCATGTCCGTGATAGGCTTATTCTGCCTCAAGAACGTAAAAGTAAGAACTGCTTTCTATTTACAAAAATTAAAGCAGATTTGCACTTGTTCTTAATTTGTTTTGTTCTGTTTTAGATATGAGCAGGATTTGGGAAGATGCAGTGCAGTTTTTGGAACAAAATGATTCTCGTGTTCGTTCTGAAGTGCAAAATGTTGCTGGTGAGGACTGTAGAGTTTGGCGGTGGTTAGCCACTGGTAACCACACTGCAGGACCGTAAGTATATCATAAAGCACAGGCGGTTTCCCTCTCGCACTTTTATTTACCAAATTCTTGAATTGCATTATAATTTATTCTTGTATGAATGATATTGAGCGAGCTTGATAATATAAATTTGATTCTTGTGTAAATGATGTTTATTATTGAAAGTAGATAAATATATAGTTTCATAATTTAATAACTTATGAAACCACTATACAAAATTTGATAACTCTCCAATGAACTTACAATCAATAAAATAATGAATTCCAATAACAAAGTTTTAAACTTTAATAAAATTAGCTATTATTAATTCAAATAAATAAATCTTTAAAGTACTAATTTATCATTTTCAAGTATATTTTTGTGCGAGAGGGTGTTCTTATATGTTACAGTTAAGAGCATGTATCTATTTGACTCAAAGTTTATGACTTTCTACTTTTAGCTCGAGCCCTCGCAACAAAAGCAAAGTTTGGCAGGGACAAGCATTCGAGACTCAAGAGGGTTCTGTTAATAATTTACCTGTATCGCCAACGCCTTGCCTTAAAATAAGACAAATGATAGATAAACAGTAAGTAAAGAATCCATTCATTTGTTCATTTCTTGTATAATACTCATTTAAAATACTTTGTATTTTAATATATACGTGAATGAATTTTTGCAGTGATGATATACCAAATCTAAAGTCCATTATCCAAGATGCCATATTAGAAAAATGTGGTGACGATTGCAACATTCTCCATGTCTATGTGGACCAACAACTTCTTTGTGTTTATGTAAAATGTGCATCTAGAAAAGATGCTGGAATTGCTTATAGGAAACTCCACGGTTGCTGGTTCGACGGTAAACTTATAACTGTTAAATATGTTAGACTGGAAAGGTACATGGAGCGTTTTCCTGATTCACCTTCTAATCCACCCTACTTGAAGCCTTCTAACAATAAAAAACTATCCCTTCAATTTTTCAAAGTAGACAATAGTGAAAATTTATAAATAAATTATAGGAACATTTTGATCTCACAAAGTTCTTGCAAGCAGCATTATCTATTGATGAGTCTTTTTAAAGTTTATTTTCTTTCAATGAATTTAGTTGTATGCAATTGATGAAATTGGTGACATTATTGGTGAAAGTGCTATTTGTTTTAAGATTTCTACCAGATTCTGTTTGGTTTGTTTTAAGTTTTTGGTATTAACATATTAGTAATTCAGTAAGATTTTTATGTAAATGTTGTTTTTAAATTTCCTAATTCGTTTTATTTTTTTATTATTCTGTGTATATTTTTTAGGAACATTTTTAAATAAATTACATTTGCTTTATTTATTAGAATTATTTATATAGGTACTTATAATTGCCAGTTAGTAATACTTTTAAAATATGCAATTACATGTATATTTCACTTGTACAAATAACGTATTTGAATTAATATTAACTTTTTTTAAATCATTTATATTGGTAATAGTATATTGTTAAATAATTAATATTAACATTTTTACACTAGCATTTTTTCCAAATCTATGTTAAATATTGTGTTCTGAATTTCAATTTGAAGCTTCAAATTTTGTCAGTTTGCTTATTCAAAGGAAAAATGTGTATGTTTTTGAGACGTTTGAAATGAGTAAAAGAGCATAAAAAACTTTACTCAAAGAAAATACTATTTAAATTAATATAAACATTAAATCAAAAAAATAACTTTCAAATATTATTTATTCTTGTGCCTTTGTGTATGATTGCTATTAAAATATTCAGTATTCGAGACACACATTTTGTATATAGATAGCCAGTGGCGTCGGAACCAAATTTTTGATGGGTGGGCTCGTTTTTTTTTTTTTAGATAGACAGCCAGTGGTCTCATTTTTTTTTTTTAGAGATATTAGCCCATATAATTCATGGGTGGGCCCAAGCCCACACAGCCCACACGGTTCCGACGCCACTGTAGATAGCAATAAGCCAAATAATATGAAATGCCAGTATTATAATTGTGCTTATTAGCAATTTCGAATACTAAAATATAATTTTAAAATTTGTAAATATATTTGCTTTTTAGATTTTGAAATTTCAACAGAAACATAAAATTCATTATTATATTAATACTTTGCTAAGTTCATACGGTTGCCAACTGTATTAATCTTATTTATTATTTTGACATACGTGTTGTTGACATATAATGCAAAAGTTTTTAGGTTATAAAGTAAATTAATGTTTATCATTTCATTTATATATTAATATTTTGTGAAGTGATTTGTATGCTGTTTATTGTATAAATTAGTGATTAATAATTAATGATAATTAGTAATATTTGTTTCTGTCTTAGAGACAAATTTGGGGCGACAACAGGTGAGTGATATCTTTTATGTGTTTCCATGAAATCAATTTTTTTTTTTTATAAAAAATATAAAAGTATGTACGGCCCGTTTTGATTTGATCACGGCAATTGGTCTAGCCGTTTCTTTATAATTAGCAAACGAAAAACAGATGTTTTGTCCTAAATTTCAGAACAAATCCTGAACCTACCCATATAATTCATTATTTATTGCCTAATAATTTAAAATTTATTGATCTTGCAATTATTTATTAAAACATTTTATTTCATTTATATATTCTATACAAAATGAGTATTATAATCAATTAACGTAAACACTAATTAAACTAATTGTAAGTCATACAGAATATATAAAAGTTACATCGTATTTTCTAAACAAATTATATTATTTATTTGAATACGTATCACATTCACAAAAATTTGGATCTAAACCAATATTCTTTACGATTCACTTGTGCTGAAATATGTGAAAACTCCGAAATTATTTTTTAAGATTTTGTATTCTTTGTGATCCAGGGTATAAAATGTGATACCCTGCTGTAGACTCCGGGATATTGTCCTTTACCACATCCTATTCCCCAAGAAACGATACCGACTTGTGTCCATCGACCTTCGTTCACCATCAGAGGTCCGCCACTATCACCCTAATAATGGAAATATGTGTAATATGCATTACTGATATAGAATTCTTGACATTTTCAATATTTACACTGCAAGAGTCCCTGCTCGCTTGTCCTGCACACAGCATATGATCTACTATTCCACCAGGCGCTGCATATCCATATTTTTGCCGGCATTCAGCATTACCCCAAATAGGTATGGTAACTTCTTGGAGCACGGACGGTTGTGGACCACCTGGGAAATATATCATTATAGATTTTCACATAATTGTTTGGTTAAAATTGTATTTACTTTCTCGTAAGCTTCCCCATCCGATGACGGTTCCTGTTTGACCAGCGTAACCCCTGCTTCCTGCTGAACTGGGTAGACATACAGGACGAACTTGTCTTGTGAATTGCACCGGGGAATCCATTTTTAGAACTGCTACATCGTTGTACTAAGAATATTTATGTTTAGTATATGATTAATATATTAACCCAGATATCGATATAAAAATTACCAATGTTCTTGAATCAAAACCTCTGTGACGAACCACTCGCTTCACTCTTCGTTCTACATGTTTTACTTCATGATCTGATCTGATGTTGTGATCACCTAAACGTACGGTGATACGTGCTACGTCCCAAGAACTCATACTATAAAATATTATAATATACCAAATGTATAATAATTACTTTAGTTTAAATAAAATCAAATATACTGACTGTGCTACACAATGGGCGGCTGTAAGGATATGTTGATTGTCTATGAGAGAACCGCCACAGAACTGTCGTCCTCCATTAAAAAGTGCTGCTATCCACGGCCATTCATTTGGATCCGCGTTATGTCCGCCTACGATTCTTTCTTGATCCTGATTTTAACAAGGAATCATATATAAGTTGGGACAACTAGAATTTGCAATTAAAATTCACAGCATTTTTCAAATTGTGATAAAACAAGAATTATCGAAATGGTTATTAAATGGAAACAGAAACCTGGTATCCATTTTTAGCACCGCAAGCAACATCTGATGAAGGAGGATGTGGTTCGGCAGTTGGTCTGGCAGTCGTAGCAACCGTCGTTGTTTGGTAAATTGGCGGTCTTGTAGGATAACTCGGAGGATGAGTTGGTATAGGTGGTGGCCATTGTGGGTAACTTGGTGGTTTTTGTGCCGGTGGTCGCGTAGGCCATGTCGTTGTCTGAATAAATTAGTATGTGTCGAAATTTGGTTAAGGATGTTCTGTTAAATAATTATCAATAATTTACACTTACCGGCCTCTTGGTCGTAGTAGTTATTGCAACTTCTTGTTTCGGTGGTTTTGTTGTCGGAGGTTTATGTGTTGGTGGTTTAGGCGGAAAATGGATGCTGGGTGGATGTGTCGGTGCCGTGTGGTCCGGAGGATGTGTTGGAATCGGCGGTGGCCAATTGGGATAAAACACGCTTGGAGATTCGTTTGGTTGTGCAGCAGGACTCTCGAAAGTATCCGATACAGAACCGACATCCAAGGATGAGATTATTGTATTGTTGCTGCCGTCATTTGCGGGTATGAATTGAGCTGGATTCGTGCAGCAGACCCCATATGCCTGATGATAAAATCATGTTTGTTAATCAATTAACACATTCAACATAATGAAGGCTTTGGAAATTATTTTTATTACCTGACGTCCGTCTTTATTAAAATAGCTGCAAGTGTCATAATTTCCCAAAACCCAGCTTTCCCATAAACCGAGATCTGGTAGTTTAAAATAAGGATAACACTGCCTAAAAGATGTGCAAGCGCCTATAGTACCTTTGCCTGTCAGGCAAGGTCCGCCTCCACCTAATGGAAGAACTTCGGCCCAACCTCGAAGGACAGCGAGATGTCGCGCCGACCTACTGGAGGGAGCTGGAAATAAATCAAGCAAATATAAAATACTTTAGCTTCACGATCCCTAATTCAAAATATATCATATCATAGCAGAAATGAGGGAGTGTGGTATTTTTCCTTAGCAATTATTTTACACAAATTGAAGACAATCACCTCAAAATATTTGCATTTCAGTGCGGTGCGAAATAGAAAGGATGTTAACGCGGAAGTGTGTTTTCGGAGTACGTTGATCGACGATAGAACAAAACGACATGTAAATAAATCGTGCTTCGTCTGGCAGACGATCACGGTACACATTAAAATCCCATTACGATTAATATTCAGATCACGAGAATTAGTATTTTACTTACAAAACGGGCGATAGATTGCCTGAGCGTGTCATTGACAATGAAACAACAATCGGCAACAAAACGACTAATTGATTCATGATTATTGTAAAAAACTCAAATCGATTCATACTTTGGACTTATTCAGTTTATTAAAGACAATATTAGAAAAAAATTGACGATGTTGCTAATTTTTTAACATTGAGAGGTAGGTAATTAAAAAGTTGTACTTCTTAATCGTCAATCGTGATAAGGAAGAAATATATGCATGCATAGATATTTGTCTCATAAGCATTCTAATTGCTACAAATAGTTAACAAAATGAATAATTTCGCCCATTTTAAATACACCGTTACCAGTATGTAGGTGTAAAAATCATAAATTCGATCTGACATGCCCGCAGAATAGTAATTAGCTTTTTGGTCCAAGAACTGTCAATCTTCTACAAACTAACCGTGACTGGATTAAGAACGAGTTTTGTGTGTCACCAAACAACAATAGATGAAATCATTTCTGTCGAATTATTATACGCCAACAATTTCGCCAACTTTGAATCAATATTCCAAATAACCAGAGGAATCATAAATGTATGGTACAAGGCATACCATCCTACCGGACCAGAACTTGCGCAAGGCGAAGGCTCTCAACATTAAACCACGGAAGACACTCCTTTTTGAAATAATATTAAAATTCTTTATTTATATCAATCGTACTGTAGTCGTTACACTGTTCACATGCAAAACGATTCAAATCAAAAGCAATAAAAGTGGAATTGAGTGTTGTAAGGTCATTGGCAACATAATGCACAAGAACAAGAATTCTGCAACTCTATTGATTTGACAAGAACAAGAGGATTTAGTTTTATTGCCTTGGAAATAGGATTAGTATATACAATCCTATAATTATATTATGTTCCATATTTCTATTTGTGATTATACCGATTCTTTCCATTGTAGAATTTGATTAAAATTGTGTTCTTAATAATACAAAAATATTAATATTTTTGTTTTTGCCAATGCATTTGTCTGAATGGTAACACATATCTGGTGCTACAAATGTACAATTTAAAACAAAAATAAATATTTTATTGATATCAGTATCTGCTAATTAATTTAAATAAGTAATATATATTTCTACGAATTATTTTATATATTTTCGATTAAATAAATGCTTCTGATCGATATATTTTAAGAACATAATTAGAGGCAATAAAAATTCGTTAATAACAGTATCCAGTTACGTTAATTTCAGCAATAAAAATCTGTCGTTGGTGAAAAATGTCGAACTATTAATTTGAAGTAGAATAGCATAATACACACACACGCACACATATATATACATATAAATATTTTTTGTATATTTGCATAAAAAATCTAACTATTTATATACAACTGAAAATTCTTCAAACATTTTCTAAATAAATACCAATTTTTGAAGATGGTGAAATCCTATATTTTCGAAACGTAGAATTAATTACATATGAAACGTCAAAGTTGCAAAAGCAAGTAACCTCTATGTACGTATATATATATATATATATATATATATATATATATATGTGTGTGTGTGTGTGTAGATCAGACATTAATTAAAATAAATTAAAATTCATATTTTTTGTATATTAAAAATCAACCTAACTAAAATTTGAATCCCTAATGAGGGTCGTTGCCACTTTGTATCACTTGTTATTGTTATTGAAATTCCAATATGAATATAACGGATTCCAATATTAAATTAAAGCAATAAAATTAAAAAAAGAAACATCCGAAATACGCAATTAGTGATCATCATGATCACTGAATCCATTTTAACTGTGACAGCAACTTGCAAATTGATGATGAGATCCAGTTTTTCGTGTCAACTTATTTTTAACAATCAAAACTGCACCATATCCAGTTTTATGACTTCATATACGAATACACTTTATGACCACAACCGACTTTTTATTAATTATTAAAACACCTCAGCAGAAAATATTGAATAATTACAAAACAAACATACAATCAGTTTTTTAAACGAATGAAAGATATTCGAAGCAACAGTATACGTAATATTATATTATGCAAAAATTCGAGCTACTCTGAATTTTTGGCATCATTCATCCATCGACATATTATATTTGTCACATTATTATTTAAATATTTTCAACCCAAATAAAATCATTTGCATTAATTTGTCGATTTAAAATCGTATATTGAACTAACAACAATAATAAAAACGTAAGCACATACGTATATGGACAGACAAAAATAAAATACATTAAGCCACTGAAATAAAGAATGAAATTAAAAATAGATAAATGAAAAATATATAAATATTTTAATAAATAATTAAATATTTTAGTAATTCGTAATTGCCTTGATTTTACATCATTTAAATCCAGAAAGGAATAAAATAAAGCGAAGTTGCATTTTAAATTAGTTAAATTATTTTTTGCTGAACTATTTTTGTTATTTGCTGAAATTTTGTAAGCGGATGTTTTTATTATTGGTTCTTTAGAGATATGTTTATTTTTAACTCGATAAAATTAATTAATTAAATAAATTTGCAGTTTTGCTTTGCACGTCCATAAATAGTAAAATTTTGATTGCGACTATTTAACTTCATTGCATCCTAAAAGTCAACGTATCGAATGCGTAACTTAAGTTCAAGAGAAAAAAACTGTGATGTTTGTAGATAAATTATTATTTCAACTATCCTTTGCTGGTAATTTAAATAGCTCAATCCAAGACATTTATCAAAACAACAGCTAATAATTCTTTCGTCCAAGTTGTTCAGGAGCCGGTTTATGTGGGAACTTTGTTTCACCCCGTGGCAAATAACTATCAGAGAATCCAAAGCCGTGATTATTGTCTGTTATTATCGGATGATCCCCAAGGTTCGTTCAACTTTAACTCGATCTGGTCAATAATCGTAACAACCGAAGGGAAAACAAGTAGACTAATTACTTTTGAATATTAATTTAGTTGAACCAATAATAACAAGAAATATAGATCATATTTGCAATGAATTTAGCAACAAACGGTCATAATTTGGGTAGTATATTCGGATGTTTGTGCAAACAGGAATAAAGGTATGTAATTTGTAACTATTAGATGAATACTATATATGTACTTGATTTTAGTCAATAAAGTTTCTAATAGTGTCTGAACGACAGAAGGAATTTATTTACAACGATTAGTACAAATATAAATGCCCAATTTATTTTCACTCGTGGGTAAGTAGCTAGAAAGATTGGACCTATGTCAGAGGTCCAGGTTACATTGACATTGGTGCATCAATAAAATATTCGTCATATTACAGAATAGGACGAATTTATTTTTTTTTTTTGAATATTTTTTTAACAGCAATCAGAATCTTACGGCCTATGAGCTGATGGGCTTAACTTCTCCTTACTTCGTATTTTTTAGATGGTAACCCAATGGTTAATCCATCCATATTTGATGATTTTGTTATTAGAATTAATCTAATAGGGCTGACTTTTTATTGGTGCAGCAATGCCGAGCAAGGGCTATTTTCACTTGGAAACATATTGCTATCTATATTTCCAAGTGAAAATCGTTGTCACTGCTGCCTGACAACAGCTGCTCGAAGTGGGTATCGAACCCGGGACCTCTGATTCAGGTCCCGTTGCCCTTAACCGCTTATCTACGGGCGAGCTCATCGAATTCAATAGTAAAATTTGTCATACAGAGATGAGACAACGGTTAGGGTTGTCATCTGTAAAACCTGAAATAGTATTATGTTAAATTAGCCCAACAGCTTATCGGACTCTTAAGTTCTGATTGCTGTTCAATACAATAAAAAAAGAAAAAGTATGTACCAATTTATGACACCCTTAAATTTTGATGGAATTTGAGGTCCTCGTGAGCTTAAATCAGTAGCGACGAGTTTATATTCCAATACTTTTGAGTTGATCAATTTTACAATGATATTTTTAATAATAATCCTTTAAAACTAGATGAATTATACATGTTACATGCCTAGTTTATTTTATTTTCCTTACCTTCTAGTATCTCAGAGTCATCAATAACACTAAGCCCTTCGTCTTTGTCAACAAGTGTATTCCCCTTGTCTCCTGTTTCTTCGCTGCAACATTGTTGCAACCCCAAAATGCAGACAATCAGCAGCGAACGACAAAATCTGATCGTTCTTTTCGAACCACTCATAATTTTCAAAAAATATAGTCAAACCCCACTCATAAAACTATTTCTCTAAACCGGACCATAAAAACAAAGACAATAGAAATCAGTTTATCGATGTCTTTTTGATTCCCGATTTTTCACCCCAAGGCTAAGGACTCGGTCTTGGCCGAGGTCGACGCGCGCACTCGTTGTGTGTGACGCGGACGACTCGTTGGTTGTTTATAAACGTCCCCACTACGAGGTCCCGACATCGCGTTTGTCTCATTATTGAGACCACGATGGATCCCATCCGAGAAGAAGATCTGCAACTCTTTTGTTGATAATCCTGCGAACTTAAGGACTGGCTCGATAATAAAGGATGCGGAGGAAACGAATGCGCCAGAGCCATCAGAGAAAAGTGGTTTCTTTGATTCTTTTTCGGCAATTTGTGGCGCCGAACAACATTTATGAGTTTTTGGGCAATCGCGGTTTTGATTTTATCAATGTTTCTAAACTTCCTTCCTAATTTGGAATACGAGATCCTATCGTCTTCGTTTGTTTAAGGGGATGTTTGTCACCCCTGAGATAAGTAATCTATATTAACAGTTTACTTTCCTATCTTATTATATGTAGGTACTAATAATAATACCATAAAATAGTCCAAAATTTTACAAATATTAATTAATCAAAATTTGGTTACCAAATTTGACCCTATCGTCGCCCCTTTGTGTTAAGGGATGTTTATGACTACCAAGATAACTAAAAGCTTATTATATCATTTTAAGTTTACTTTACTATCAAATCAATTCTTAAATTTTTTAGTAATTAATTATTATATATTTTTTAAATGTGCTTTACCACTTAAAACTTATATGTAATAATTCATAAATAACTTGCTGAAAATAATAATATTAGGTTTGGACTTTCAAAATGTCACGTTGATTTTCTTAATTTCCAACAGTATCGACAATCTATCATATCCCCCTTAACATAAAGAAATGATAGAGTTAGGTCTTATATATGCCAATAGGTCTATCCAAGGGCCCAAGGGCCCCGAGGCGTTCATTAATCACGTGATCGATTTCAAAGGATTTTCCCTTGGTGATACGTGGTGATATTAAAAACTTCTCCCCCTCCTCCACACGTGTATTTTTAGTACGATTACGAAAATTAGTTACGATTTAGAAAAAAGTTTTTAGATTTTTTTTTTAAATTGAAGTAAAAAGTAAATACACGTGATATCTTGCTAGACCCTCCTTTCCTACGTGATATTTTGTGATTTTTTGTCGAACACCCCCCTTTAAGGCTCACGTGATTAATGGACGCCCACTAAATGGACGAAAATAAAAAATTTAGATCATTATACGTTGAATATAAGATGATCACAAAAATCAATTCAAAAAATTATTTATATACACAAATATTATTATTTTAAAATTTAACATACTTATTCACAAGCTGGTTAATTTGCAACCAAAAAAATCTGAATTTGTAACGCTATAATTAGAGGGTTTTATACATATATTTGTCTATTAAAATAATAAATACCAAATTCATTCATTCAATTTACCAAGTGCTAAATTTTAATGGTTTTTCTAAACAAAAATATAGCTAAAATGTACCAATCTGTATAGATAACACGATTATTTCTATTGTTGAGCTAATTTTTAAATCAAGTCGGTTACAATGTTTTGATTCTGTGTATGTGAATATAAAATCGTAAAAAATCGGTCATTAAGTGAGAATGCATATGCAATAAGATCGGAATTCCGTTGTGTTATTTTTGGAACTTCGCATGCAAATAATAATCCTTATTTAGGACTCGAAAAACTGTTATATATATATATATATATATATATATATATATTATGCACATAATTATTAATGATCCATACGTCGGAACCAAAGTTCAACGACGTATCTTATGAAACAATTAGCGTAATGGTCAATATTGTTTTGGAAGGAAAAATTGGTACCGAGTAAGAAATATCCTTGCAGGAATAATAAAATGTTATATAACGCGCTGCAAGGACAGAAAAATATATAAAAAATACGATTTTGCCGCTGTTCAAAATCAAGCTTTTTCAAACGTCCCATTTTCAACCAGTACAGAAGACTTGATCTCAACCTGAAACAACGCTTAGGTCGAGGTTAGTGCGCAAAGCCGCGTACCGGTTAAGTTTGGGACGCAAAACATTTATATTGATATACATATATTATATTAATTTTTTATGTGTTCGGGTAGAATTTGACCTACAAATTCCGAATCGATTATATAATTGTAAATATTCTGACTTTTTGTATTACATTATGAGTTTTGAAATTTAGCGTGACTCAAATTTTAAATTCACCAAATGAGTATCAAATATATAGTTTCAATGAAATAAATAGCTTTTTCGGATAGATAGGATTAAACTCTATGAAATTGCATCAATAATTTTAAAATTTTTCTCGTCAAAAGATACATTGTACAATCTATATCTGATCATTTGTCTCCGAATAGCTAAGCACGTGGTAAATATTAATACATATTACTTGACTCTGAGTGTGGTTTTGTTTTATCTAATATCGATAAATATTATATTAGTGCGATGACTGATCTTGCAATTAGTGACCATTATCTTCTCTCAACAGGTTTCGATTTTCGAACATCTATATATAGAAATCTAATTGCTTTGGATTCGAATCGCTCTTTATCTGGAAGGCACCACGTGTGATTTATGAATTTATACATATTAATGATCAAAAGTTGACGAGGTGCGATATATTGAAACAAATAGATAAAAGATAATTGATTTACTAGACTAGTTCCAGTAAGTGGAATAAATGAATAAAATAAAATGCATAATTTAATTATGAAAAGTTCTTTGTAATTCTTTTTGGTTGATACTAAATATGACACAATATTTAACATCATAAAAGGATAATATTTTTCCAATCTAGTATGCAGGATCATTACATTTATTTAAAGTAATTTAATTTTAGGGAAGTAGAATATATCAAAATTCAAATTCAAAGAGAAACAATTGTAGTGCAATTTTTGTATGAACTACACTTTAATCAACAAAAATAATAAATCCAAATATAAAAGTGGTCTTTATCATATTGGTCTGTTTATTCATTTTCCAAATAAATCTCCAACAGTTTATTTAACGGTGTTTTTGCGAAAATACTTGAAATTAATCTAAAAACGACATTACCGAATCTACTTAGCCAATATCGTTAATTTGTCTCTGAGATCTCGATATTTACCGGTTTTAAGAGCACTTCTATATTCCATCGCGAATATTTTTTTTAAAATGTTTTTATTTCGCTGGTCATCGATTTTCATATACATTTTAAATGATAATTAGTTTTGTGACTCACTTAAATACTTGTAACTGTATTAGCACTATGAGAGATAAATCGCAAAAATGTTATAGGTGCACCAGGGCCGAAATTAGGGAAAAACTTACAAGAATCAGTTTTTGTAATTATTATCAAGCTTGTCTGCATATTTTCCCAAGTTTGGATAACATTTTTCAGAAATCTTTACATATGGAGTACACATAAATCTTCGTAATCTTTGAGAATTTATTAAAGCCATTAAAGCATTTTACATTTTGATTGCGTTTTTTACGGAATTCGCGAGTTGTAATAAAGTTAATGCAAACAACGTGAAATATTTTCTTCAAAAAACATGGAAACATTAAGGTTTTTGAGGGTCATAAACATTAAAGAATTTTTTATACGATAAAAAATAGATATATAAAAACTTGAATATTTTTGGTATTTTCTTGTTTTTTTCAAAATCTGTTGTTTTGAGATTAAAATGAGACAGTACTGTATGTTGTCACCATTATTTACTTATTATTTTTTCTACTTTCCGGGTATACTTAAAAAACATACCTTCTAGAGTTCTTTACTTTACTCTTTACTCTTACCTAATTGTATTTTTCATTTAAAGTTGAAGTAACTAGTAACTTCTACTTGTCATTTAATTATTATATTATCATTTTTATATTTGCTTTGCATTAAGGTGCAGTTGCAGTATGTAATTGTAAATTACATGGTGAATAAAAAAAATCTGTAATGTGTAAAGTTACATAATAATATTTTAAGAGTTCATCTCTGTTCATAATTGAACTATCAGTCCATGACAAAGAATGATATGTTTGTTCGTTGAAGTTTAAGCCTTTGTAAATTATGTTAATATTATTCTAATGGATTATAATTCCAGTATTGCTTCTGAGAGGACATGGGCGTCAAGTTCGTTGATTCGATTCGAATCGAAGAGGTCGATTATTTCAAATAAATGAATTGCGAAAAAATACTAATCTTCTTAATGAAGGATTAAATGAACCTGATACACATTTGCAAAATACATACACATATAAATAAATATATATTTGTAAACGAATTAATAAATTTCCTTGAAACTTACTACGTCGTAGGAATAGTTCAAAGGTTCCTCCTTGGGACATGTTCTACCCCAAATTGATTTGATATACAATATAATATTTTATTCATATGGCCATAGGTATATAGATAGAAGCAAGACTAAACTATGTTTAAAAAATAGACTTCTAAAAAACTTCTAGAAAAAAACTATTTGGAAAACAAACGCAAACAAACAAAAAAACCACGAAACCAATTTTTTCGAATTGAATCTTGAATTTGAATAGTTCAGTCAGAATAGACATTATTGATGTATTAAATATAAATTATTCATATTTAATTTTTTTTTAATTATTTTTTAATAACATGATCGACATATTTGAATAATATATTTCATGATGATAAAAAACAGATTTTGTTGGGATCCCTTATTCCTTCGTCAACTTATAATTGTGCATTCATATTAAAATATGACAATAATTAGTTAAGATAAATAAAAAACACAAGAATGTTTGTGATCTTATATCTTATATTTTGCATACTTAAAAGCAATACAGAACATGAGTACATCACAAAATATTTGTTTGTTAACAAAAAAATAACTCACATTTTACAAAATAAAATATAACATGGTAACTTAAGAACATACTTAATTGTGCATAATTCATATCTAATTACATTTACATATATGCTATATAATTTTTGACTCGTTTGTATGATTCGTTATTAAATCTTTTTTTATTTATTAAGAATGTTATATAAAAAATAAGATAAAATTAAAAAACTCGAAATGTACTTCTTCCTGCAAAATGAAATGTTGTAACTTTGTTGTTTTATATATTGAAATAAAAAATAAAACTAAATGAAATTGTAATTTTAAATATGTAAGAATTATAAAAAATAGAAGTAATATGATATATTATCAAATAATAAAATGATTAAAATTAAAGTATTGATGATAAGAAAATTTAATAATAATTAATAAAAAAAATATAACTTTAATAAATGAATATTTTATCATCAACAAATTACACAGGAAGAAGTTAGAAGTAAATAATAAAAAAATCTTCAGTAAACTTTCCAAGTATTCGCTCAGGCGTATTTTAGTAACTTTTTGTACATAAATTCAGTACAAAACTGTCCTGTTTTTTTTAATTTCAATACCAGTTTTGTAACATTTGAAAAATAATTTTTCTCATCATAAGGATTCTAAAATTGAATCAAATCGTTTGGTGCAACTTATAAAACTAAACGCATCAAACTACATAGAATTTGGTTGGTTGGAATCACCAAAAAATATCAAAATAATTTTGCTTATTTACTATATGTTTTTTATATACATATTTAAATTTTGGCTTTATTCAACTGGCATTAATTTGTTGAATGGGATTCTCAAGAACATTTCGTTGACAAAGTTTGTCATGATTTGGTCTCCGTGTTCTTCTGCGTATGGTAAAAGTGCCTGGAAGGCAGGTTGCCAGTATTGGTTCATGAAGGCAACGGCTGCGTTATCTGAAAATTAATAATAAAATGAAATAGTAATAATAAAACACATAATCGTCTTATGCTTATACATAACACTTATTCTAAATTTAAAAAAGGTTGTAGGAATCCAAGAATGTTTTTAATGGGCAGTATTTTTAAAAAGGGTTTTGAACAATTGATTTCTTTGAGCTGATATGATGATACGTTGAGTGAAATTTCCTTAAATTACTGCTTGAAATATATTTAGTTCATCTTCAAACTAAGACCTAATGGCCAAAGTCGTTTCATTTTTCTGATCCAAAACGATTGGGTGATCACCTATTTTTGGATTTGTATAAGAATCCAGTTGGTTTTTGTATCTTTTAATAACTCTTGCGCTAATCGCACTAATTTAATTTCTGAGACTATTGATTTGCTTTAAAAAATATACTTCTATTGTAGTGACCATAGTCTTTTTTTATTTATCTGCAGCTTTTACCAATTCATTATCAATTTGTTTTGTTTTTTGATACGATTTACTACTGTATACTTACTGAGTCCTTCATCGGGTATAAGTCCACTTGCATAGATTTTCATATCTCCAACTTTTGGGCTGACACGGAAATGTTTGATGCGCATGTAAGTCTCTCCATCGCGTTCTTCAGTTGCTCCTTCGATTTTCCAAGTGGCTGTCACATCATCTGAAGACCAAAACAAATATATTTAATAAACTCTCACAATTTTAAATATCCTAGAGTATTAATATTTTGTATTTTTAAATATCTACTTACACATGGTGACGTTGAAAATTCCACGGCTCTTGATTTGGTAATCTCCAAAGCTGCTGTCGCCCTTGTAGGATCCTTCGCTGACAACTTTTGGGAAGTACACTTCGGCGTTTATGAGCAGAGAATTGTCGGTCACTTCAGATCTAGAGTAAAATAAATAGATTGAACAAATATCCATAAAATTTGTCTTATATACCATCATACTTGAACGTCCAACCAATGGAGAGGTATTCGATTTAAATATTTTAAGCATTACCAAAAATTTGCTGATGGTACAGACATTAGAAAAAAGATTGATCTTATTTCTAAAACCATGAAGTTACACCTGAGAATAATTTTCAGTAAAAACAACAAATTATTTTATAAACAAAAACATCTAATCTTACATGTAACTCTGCATGAATGCCTTCCACATAAACTGCTTATTTATTACCATATTTTTTTATTACAGAGTCCTTTACTCACTTGACATCTTTGACGACCATATTGCTCAATCCGTGAACTTTGAAGTCTTTTGCTACCAATTTGCTGCGCATAAGTCCGGCGTCAACTCCGGTTTTGAATTCAGAGAGTTCCATAGGATCAATTGGCCTGAGTCCCAGGAGTTCGTGTCCTGACCGGAGCTGAGGCACCGCGGCCGCAATCGACTGCTTCAGGCAGGTGTCCAGCTCGGCCGAATTGCGGGGGCAGGTGGTCAGATAACTTGCTGCAAAGGTAAGAAGAAAATTAATGAAAAATAATTGAATTATTAGGAAAATTAATTGATAAGAATTATTTGATGATTAACACTGTTCTTCTAATTTAAAAATATGTTTAATTTATAAAATGCCATGTTTAGACAAAGCTTTCAACTCTCGTCTCGTTTTTCAGTACTCTATTAATTTAGTAGAGTTTATGAATAACAAAGACTCAAACTTTATTCTTATTATTACCTTCAATTGATTGTGTGCGCCAGTTTTTTTTTTAAAAAAAAAGCACTAACAAACCCGACGAACTCCGTTTCGCCACCAGATGGTTTCGTGATAAAGATGAAGAAATTTTTTGTTTGTTTTATATTTGTAAAGGAAAAATTTCATTTTATTACACAACAGTAATGAATTTGTTTAGATTACAAAAATGAAGTGTTTTTTAGTTGAACTTCTCTAAGTAAATGAAAGTGAATCCGGAAATTATCTGTTTCATTGAAGTGCTCTTTGGTAAACCACATTTTTTGTGTTTTGGTCTGACGTTAACACAAACAAAGCGGATGGTTTCCCAACTCGTGAACAGGCAACGTATAACTGTTCATGTGAAAAACAACGATTTTCTAAATTTATCCCGCAAACATTAAGCGATTGGCCTTGTGACCTGTTAATTGTCATTGCGAACGCAAGGCGAACTGGAAATTGCAATCGTTTGAAGTCAAACGGAAGACCAGTCGGAATCATTGGTATGTCACCAAATCGCCAGCAATTTTTGATTGAATGGTGAAATTCAGTGCGTGTACATAATTATTCTTTGCGGCAAGAATTGCTCGTTGACTTAACCAAGCATAATTCTGATAATTCTCACTTATGTCATTACTCGAATTTTTAATTATGGTGCGTGAAGTTCCAACAATTTGCATTAAGGCACGACGCCATGCACCACTAATTTTCTTAGCTATAAACCTTGCGGAGCCCGAGATCTTTCCAACGAATGCAAAATTGTCTATTCGAATTGCAAAATCGGTTTGCCCGTTCTTGAGTTATATCGTCAGGAAGGAAAATCCGACTTATTTTTATATATACACGTATGTAGATGAAAATGATTTCACATCTTTATTTTAATCTCACAATTTTACATAATTTGTTCTCATAATGCAACACGATACCTCTTAATAAAATCATGCACACTTTTGCTCGCTAACCATTTAATTTACGCATTCATTATAAACACGAAAGTAAAAGTAAATCGTTAGGTTATTAATGTTTTTGTATAATCATAAATATGTATAATGTATACATACATGTATATATTTATATATAAAAGAAATTTCTATTCTGCAACGAACTTTACGAGCGGATATACATATTACTCATGTATAGAAAATTAAACATTTCCGATAGAAAATGGTAAACTTTCCAACTGAAGTTTGTTGATCTTATTATATATTTATATTAATCGGTATATTATATTTTATTTGTGTAATAAAAAATAGAATTATAGTAACCCACAGTGATTCTGCATATATTCTCTATATATATTTTTAAGATAAATTGCTTGTTGAATGCATCTAAACAAATATGTAGAGATCATATACAGAGACTGTTTGTTACAATAATTCTATTTTTTATTACAGTTTTAACTGCAATATTTTATTGCAAAAATTTAATTTAAATCTTAAGTAATATCAATTGCTTAAAAATATTGGTATACTTGAAGAGCAAACATTCTGAAGTTAAAGTTCTCTAGTCCAAGTTGCAAATTTTATTGACTATATTTTTCAAGCAATTTTTAACTGCAACATTTTGTTGTATCGGCTAGTATTTTATATAATTTTGTTAAATAATATAGATCTCTTAAAAATATTTTCTGTCTATTAACGTTCTCTAATTCAAATAGCATGTTTTATGTACAGATTGTTTTTTCTAATCTGCAGTTGTATTTATTAAGTAATATTTCATTTTTCCATAAAAGTTCCATGTGCTCGGGCCATAAATTTCTTTTTACTGGATTCCCACTTTCACTAAATTTAATTTAGAATTACAATTACATTTTATAGGTAATTTTTTACTTACGTAATTCAATTTCAATTACTTCAATTTCTTCTGCCAATCCAATGGCCAAAACAGCAGTGAAAAAAATTGCTAGACGATTCATTTTGTATCTGAAAATAATTAAAGAATAATGAAAATTTACTAATAGAATAAAATTTCAAGAGTTATATGAATACATTCCATAGTTGTGATAATATAAAAATTACTTATTTGTAATTTCCTAATTTGTTTTAAATTCAATCCGATAGCAAAAATTGGGTACTTGTAATTCCTTAAATTTTTCAATTCAATCTGTAGCTTAAGTATGATGTCGATCTTTGTTCTATATAGGATTATATATTATGAAAATATTAGAAATTAAAAAAAAAATTACATATTACTACAATTTTAATTACTAAAATTATCTAAATTGCGTCAATGCACAATTATTTTAGGACTATACTTGGATCACGCAAGAAGACTTTGTTGGGAAACTTTTACATTATTTTCCGGCAATAATTATTGTCATTATTTATATTGCATAAGTATCCAAGTGTTTTTTTAAAAAAAGTTTCGGTAATAAAATTAGATAATTCATATTTTATTTGTTTTTGTTCTCGATATTTGCAACCTGCATATCCAGAAAACTTTCTAAATACTAGGCGAACAGGATGGCGGTTTTAGATTATGCAGTTTCATAATTGTCGATGATGGTAAAAATATGAAAACTATGAAATAAAATTCTCATTTGCTAAAAAATATAGTAATTCAATATATCATAACACTAATTATTTAAAAAAATCTTTTTTGAATGTAAATTTAAATGTAGAGATCCAGAGCGTCTGCAAAAATTTTCTTGTACAAAGTTTGTTATAAAATATGAAGCTGTTTCATGTATTTTTGATTATTGTTTTTTTTAAATAAATAGATAAGATAAAACTAGTTTTATATATATTCGTCGCGAGAATAAAACGATAATAAATTTAAAAATACCAAAACGTCTTTAATCGAAGGTCTTTTATAAATGACGCGCTTTGTCGATTTATATATAAATTATCATAAAATATAACTCATTTTCTAAAAGCTATTGAAAAACTTGTTTTAATGATCTTCATGAAAAACTAGTTAATTAGTTTAGCTGTTAGGCCTTGGTTTATTTAAATACGCACATATTAATATGATCTATGCAAGATCTCTGAAATTATATATAAATATATAAATATATAATATATCAAGTTTTATAATGATGTTTTTTAAATTATTGTTAATTCATAAATTTTTATTTGCGAACAAATATTGCAATCAACAATATCTGGAATATTAATAATGCATTTTGTGTCTTTGATTTCTCAGAGAGCCACAAGTAACTGTTTTAATCATTTTATCATTCAAATGTTTGGAAATCATTTTTCATCTGTATATCATGTACAAAATTTAGGTCTCTAATGAGTCCGCAAAAATGATATTTTTTTTATTATTTGGAAGATGTTGCTCTCTGTCGATGTCCTTACAAAATTCTACGTCATTTATCTTGAATACAAGATGACATTGACAAACCGAGAAATATATTTAAATTCAATATCCGCAGTTAATGAAAAAATATATTAATCCATTACTGAAAGAACTGTAAATTATTTTTACCACGGTTATCTTATATCAAAGAATTATGTAATAATTCTTAATCGAATCGATTTGTACATGCGCAATTAGCTGCACCTGCAATCGATTGCGGAAATGCATTTTCTAATTTATCCATATTTCTAAATTCTACTGCGATTGGAATTACTAATGATAAAATATCCTTGAAGCCATTTCTGTAAACTCAAACCATATATAAATTCGAACTACATATAAACTTTTAGTTTAAAAGATAGGTATACAGGTAAACTGGTAGATGGTAGACAGGACAACTGGTAGATAGACGAATATATAGACAGATGAACAGGTTGACAGGTAAATCGGTAGGCAGGTAAAATGGTGGATTGATAAACAGGTTGATAGGTAAATTGGTAGACAGGTAAATTGGTTGACAGGTTAATTGGTAGACGGGTCAATTGATAGACAGGTTATAATGGACAATTGTTGATCAGGAAAATTGGTGGACTACAATAAATTGGTAGTCTGATGTCTACCAATGGTAGTCTTAAGTCACTTATATTACTTTTCAATTATAATTAGCCATTCTATTTTTTATAATTTAGTCACATTGAATCTTGTTCTAGTTTCAAATTGTAGAGCCATTGAGGGACTGTTCCCTATTTCCAAAATTATTATGAAATCTTAACATATATAAATATTTATATAATTTTTATAAAACATAAAAAAAATTCATAAGCTGAACATCAAACAAAAATTAGAATTTTTAACTTTTTACGTGAAAACGATTAAAATTTTTAATTTCTTATGAAATAATGTGATAAGTATTTAAAATTTTGAAGTTATATATATATATATATATATATATATATTAGGGTGGTCCTTAAAATGGTCATTTTTGAATTTCCTTGCTCCCAGGGGCTCAAATGGTTCCAAATTGATAAAAAACAATTCTCTGAAAGTTTTAGCTCTTAATATTAACGTTTAGATAGAGCGCAATTCAATCAAACTTTGTATGGAAAGAGCATGGAAAAAAATTTTGAAAATTTAAAAAAAATGTTTTAGATATAACTTAGCGACAAATGAATGAGTTTTATTCATTTATTTACTCGCTAAATTACATCTAAAAAATATTTTTTAAATTTTTGAAAATTTTTCCATGCTATTTCCATATAAAACTTTGATTGAATTGCGCTCTATCTAAACGTTAATATTAAGTGCTAAAACTTTCAGAGAATTGTTTTTTATCTATTCGGAACCATTTGAGCCCCTGGGAGCAAGGAAATTCAAAAATGAGCATTTTAAGGACCACCCTAATATATATATATATATATATATATAACTTATATATTAACTTATAACGTTAACTTATATATAGGCTGAATATTTGAAAGTTGATTCCTGCTTCTCAAAAATTAGATATATGTATCTCATATATAATTTCAAAACAAATAAAAAATAAATTACACTAAATTATATGCTTTAAATTTGACTTCAATAAAATTATTGACTAATACAATTATTACTCTTATAGAAATATGACTATTAAAATTAATTTGAAAGTTATGAAAAAGCTTTAATTTAAATTTGAAAGCTCAAAAATATTTTTTTTAAGTTTGATAAAAATAAATTGTTTGGATAAAAAAATATTGGAACGAGGTACAGGTAGACATAAATAAATGTTAAAATAATTGGAAACGGAAAATTTATCTGAAACTAATATATCATTTATTTAAATATGAATTGTTTTGGAGAGTACGTGAGACAATACTAGGCAAAGAAAAGTTTGTTGAAAGCTGAGTAAACCAGGATACGGAAATAAAACTAATATTAATGAAAAATCAATATGATAACATTTCAATAAAAAGTATATTAAATGTCGCATTATAGGGTATAATTAAATTACAAAATCATAAGTAGCTATAATCGCTTTACAGAGGCTAATAAAAAATAGATTACATTAAATTTTACCTTTAAGTTCTACGCCAGGTGTGTCCTAAGCCCAAGATGTTGTTTATTATTTACACTTTGAATTATCAGATCTTAATAATGTTTACCTGCGTGAGTGTGTCAGACTTTATATAAACACTAACAGGTGGAAGAAGTAGAAGGGGCCCTCGTTTATGCGAAAATTGCTCAACCACAACCTGTTCTGATTCGATATATCACTCTTGGGAGACGGCCCTGGCGGCCAAAAGCAGGGCTATGGACATGTGTAATATACTCTTGTTTGTTATAATATTTTCTGTACTATTTATTATTACAAATACTTAACTATTTATATCAAATCATTTCTGCATTTACCATTAAAATATTCATACACCATCATATAACAAGGACAAAGTACAAGCTTTATCTCTACATCTATTGATGCTGTAAAAATATGTACAAATTTATATACATATCTATTTCTATTGCATAGTGGCCCGATCTTTCAAGCAATTGTTTACCTTTGCACAAATTAATTAATACTAGACTAACGTTTTAATTTCAATGGCACGCATCAGTGTATAATTAAACTTGTTTGCTAAAAATTTAATAAAATATCAGAATTATTTTTTTTGATATGAAGATTATTCAAATTTTATGCATAGTTGTTCATAAAATTAAAAGTGGTGTATAAGGAACTAATTAAATTAAAGAGGATGTCACACACATGCACACACAAATTTTTATATATGTGTGTATACATAAATATCATTTTTGTCTAATCATAAATATTTAATTTATAATAAAAATTGATAAAGCGGAACATAAATAAATACTGAAAAAAACAATTAATTTCTATCATAAACTATTTGTATACATAACTAATGTATTAGTTGCAACTGTGTGTAAAACCTAATTAGACCAGTTATTACTTAGGGGCAAGTCCCTAAGCTGGGCATTTAACCTGCGCCAATGGGTTCTCTCAGGTTGCGGTGCGGAATGGGTTAGATTCCTGGGAAACCCATAAAGGGCTAAAAAAAATGCGGTGAATCATAGTAACGAATGAAAAATAATTTTCTCTAAATTAAAATGTTCTTGATTATTAATTTTATTCCATTGTCTTTAATGTACCCGTAATTAACGCAAAATAAATATTTTTTTTATTTTTGCTTTTTATAACATATTTTATCCAGTTTATGATAAATAAAATAGAGAATATATTATCAATTTTTAAGTTTTTAATTGATCGTAGTATACGTACATTTTAAATATAGTTAATATTATATATTACAATAATAAATTCATAAAATTAAATTGGTAAATTTTGAAGACATTTATAAAACCAAAGTATTTATTTCAATTTAATACTTGAACATTAATTTTAAAATTGAATAAGTTATAAAGTAAATTAAGATAAGATAATAAGTATAGAGTTTGTGATTAAGTATAATAGTTTTTATATATTTATATAATAATTTTATCGAGATATAAATTGATAAAGGATTTTTCTTTGGATCTTAAATACTATGAAGTAAGCATTGAGGTAAATTTCAAATAGTTTTGTTATTTACAATATTTTGAAGTTGATTTAACCAAAAAATTATCTATTACCATACTCAATGATTTTTACACGTATATAACAAAATAAATATAAATACAAAATTTATATTAAATTGTTAACATTAACATATACTTATATTAACATCTGTAAAAATTTATATACTCATAATATATTAACCACTATTCTAACATATTATATCCTGTTCTAATAACTACCATTACAATCACATATTTGTTTCTAAGCATTCAGTTTGCACTATCAGTTTTTATTTAGGATTCTGGGAACAGACGTCGGAATGGTATTTTTTCAAAAACATAGTTCATTCCTGTTTTGATTGGGGGTCCCCAGAGGGTGCTCAATATTGGGAGCGCTTCTTTGTATAAAGAGCGCCAGTTTTGATTCATGGTCACTAGGAAAGCGTCATCTGGGAAAGAAATATAGTTGTAGTAAAACAATTAAACCTAATAGTTGAATTAAAAACGTGTAATAATTTTTTTTATCATAAATTTTTCGAATATTTGGGAATGTAGTAATTTGATTAATAATAAATAATTTTAATGAATCTACTGCATATTTAAAAATGTTCTATTTATGTTTTTAATAATCGTTTACTAATAATTTGTTAAGAGAAAAACCAATTACAAAATTCACAAGTATAAGCATGCTTGAAGCAAATCAATTTTAACTTTTGCTTGTTATGTCTAGGTTGTATCTAGCATTACTTTAAAGCTAAAACAATACAGTAATTCAATTACACCATATTAATTATTTAGTCATTTAAAGTTTCTCTTAAACATTTTTTTTATTCAAGTTAAAAACAGTAAAAACAATGAAAGAACGTCATGATGTTTTGCTTGGTAAATTTGGGTTCCGCATTAGCTACCGGCATTTCTGTCAGAACTAACAATTGGTTTTCATTTTCACTTTCGAATATATATTATTATACAATCATAACATTTATCTAATTTGCTGTAATTCATATGTACAGCGATGTACAATTTTTTAACGTTTTTTGTTGAACTGCAATCAGAACCAGGAACTATATTTAGGGACGATGCTAGTTCTAGGATTATTTATTTATTTTATTTTATTTATTTATTTATTTTATTTATTCATTAAACCTTGGGTTGCTATCATTTTAGTTTTTGAATACTAAAAATAATATTGGTATTTTTTAATTAATATAAGATAATAATAATTTTACTTTAGTATGCAGGTTCTTCATTTTTATCTTGATTTTAATTCTTGAGAATTTTTATGTTCTTTTACTATAGTACTGATGGTTGACTTATCAGGAAGTTCGATATTCCTACTACATTTATCCCGAAAAATTGAAGAAATCAAAACAAATTAAAATAAATCTCTTACATGAACTTCAAATTAATAGGAAAATTCTAAAATTAATATAAATAAATAATTAACTCGAATTTTTTTGACTCCAGTATGTAGATTCACCATTTTCACACTATTGACTTTCTTTTAGAAATAAATGAAAATTTTGAAAGTATTATCAGAAATAAGCAGTTCTCTAGTTATACTTACTGACTGCTTTATCAGGGAAAATATTTGTGGCATAAATATTAACATTTGAAGGAACTGGCGACATATCAGCTTCCTTAATAACCATATACTTTTCACCATCACGTTCTTCAAGTTCACCTTTCACAGCCCAAGTTGTACTTACACCCTCTAAAAAAATAAAATAAATTGAAAATATTTGTATAAAGAACAACTAGGTCTGGAAATAAACTTAAACTATTTACAGTACTTTTCTTATTATCACATTACTGTCAAGATCTTGTCAGAATTGTTTTCCAGTCAAAATTGAAAACATTATTATAAAAATAGATTTATAAATGACTGACAAGTCTCGTGTCACTATAATCGACCTTTAAGACTAATCACGTAATAAAAGCAACATAAATAATTTAATTTATTATAATGATATTGTTATAACGTGGCGAGTTTAATAGTAATTGTATATAATTAGATGTATCATGGGAAGCAAATTGGATAATAAACTTAATAAAGATGGTAAGAAAAATTTATGGGAATTTGGTATTTGATCCACAAGATGATGATTTTATATGTTTTGCCACTATGGCAAAAAAAATAGTATCATTGTTATAAAGAATTTATTTTTCTTTTACCATGCTGATGTGAAGAATCCTTTCGTGTGTATTTGGAACAGGTTGACGCCTCCATCAAATTTATAATTTCCTTCGAAAATCAAATCGAA